AACTAAAAAGACAAGCATACATTTTTGTTACTTTTATTTATTTATTTAGTTAGGTTGTTGGTCTTCCTGGCCTGTCACTATATTTGAGATCATGCCCTTGGTATTTCCAATAAGGATTTCTTTTTAACTAGCATATAGCTCCCAGGGTGCATTTTTGCAGGAAACATCTTATCAAGTCAGCCTGAATCTGTTGTTACTTTTAATTTCTGAGTCAATTTTGGGTAAATTCAGCATTTGTGGCACACCATTTAAAAATAAATAATATATATATATATATATATATATATATATATACATTTTTTTTTTTTTGCAGGTTTTTAGTCATGAACCAAAGTACAGGACAAATTTCCTGGCAATCCCTACAAAAGAGTCTGGATCACTGGTGGATTTTACAGGCTGGTTACAGTTATTTGGTCTCTATAGAGTTTATTTAAAATTGACTACTTTTAGGTAAACAACAAGTATAAACAAGTGAAGGATTCACTTGGGGGGAGATTTGTTTCAGGTGTGGTGTGTCCAAGAAGTAAGGGGTGTACATTTGTTAGTGGCTGTTATTGCAGCAACTACTTTGCATTTAGAAATCCCCAGACGATTGGTAGGCACAGAGTTTTGGTCGGATTTCTCAGGGGATGGTTAGAGGTGTGTTGGCAGGACTCATGGCCTCAGTTTATCTGGCTATAGCCCTGAATCCCAGCTCGTCTATACAGTAATCTGTGAACTACTCATTTTGTTTTCTTTACATTAATATATGGACAAATGTGCATAGCAGGCAGCTTCAGCTAGTTCTACACCAAGAAAGCAATTATGTCATTTAATGATATATTAGTTCCTCTTCCAAGTTGACTCTCCTCCGTTCCACTTGAGTGCAAGTCAAGGAGAGGTTCACTGATCCTCCTTATCTCACCAAAAGGTGAATCGAGGCAAAGGCAATTATTCCTTATTGATTCACTGATCACACAGTAGGACATGTAAAACACAAGCAGATTAATCAGAGCCGGAGTTTAAAGCTTTGCTACCCTGATTAGGCTGCAATATATCAGAAAAGGTCCCTAAAATTTCATACAATCAGCAGAATTTCAATAAAATAACCAAATTAAGAAAATTAATCATCCAGCTTTGGGTTTATGATGGTCACACTGTGGGTCCTTTGAGGATCCTAAGCAAAACATTTGAGAGCCGTTGCTATATTATTAGCTACTGAGCCAAGAGACAACATCAGCATCCTTGCAGCTGAGGCATCACAGATACTGCTTGACAGTCATTAAGAGTGAGTGATTTATCACACATAGGCTAACTGTCAGCTAGTTAAGTGAAATCCTAACAAAAAAAATAGATATTTACTGCCAGTATCTGAATGATTACATGTGAGTCTTTATGAAATCTTTTTCCTGCAAAAGAAAATGTCCTGGGAAGTATTTTATATTTATACCCATCATCCTAAATATTAGGAATGTTGAGAAAATGTTTAATAATGCATTATATCTGCACAGTTAGTGAATGCAGTTCCTAATTAAAGGCTTTTGGCTCTTTCCAATTGTCAAAGACACTAACCTCACTTTGATCTACACTTGTATTGAATGCATTGATTAATTCTCTTGTCTAGTACCTGGCTTTACGACTGGTGTGAAGGAGTCTGGAAGGGTTAGCAAATAACGTACTCTCAATTCAGATTTTCTACCTTGCTGCAAAGAATATCAAGGTGGTTTCGGTGGCGCTTTTTAATGGAGATTTGGAGCCATTTTATTGAAAATTTCAAAACCTATAACACATGCCCTTGTTGGGATTATAGATAAAGGTATAGTCAGAGGCCACAGTGTTATCAACACAGCGAGCCTTCATGTGCCAACACAGGTTTAGCTTTATTAGACGGTGACCGATTTCATGAATTAAATCTGCTTGTTGCTTACATTATTACAATGCATTTGTACAAATCTACTGTATTTTCTTGTTAAGAGTTAGCTAACATTAGCTTCTAGCCCAGATGTAATGTGTAGGCTATGTAACATTGGAGACTGAAATTATGAATAGGCTAAACTACAGCCTGCATGTTTAGCTATGTTTTTTAACACAACCTGCACCTCACTGACTACCTGTTGTGAAAGTATAACTATACAGTCATTAGAGGAAAAGTGTGGGCTGATAGAGAAATCTTACACCAGTGTATACTGCAGAGGAATACATGTGGTTTTCTGTAGATGTATGTATTTAGGGCCTGAATGCAATGTAATGCAGGGACACATTTCTTATCAAATTCTTAGCTGAATCATGCCATGTCACCATAGCTTTGAAATGTTTTGCAGTAAATTTGTGTGCCTGCGTACATGCTGTTTGACTTGCCTGCAGTCATTCTTGACTTGTGCTCAATAATGCATACAGTAAGTGACTTACGAGCCTGTTAAGAGTGACAGGAGGCGAGCAACAGCAGCATTAACTCTGTTTTAGGTGTGTTGTTTTAAGGGGAGGACAGGCTTGTGATGGAAACAATTCTCGTTCATCTGCAGAGGTTGGATGTAATCTTTACTGAAGCCTGAAGGACAAGAGGTGAAGGCAGGAGGAAATGAAACAGATACATATCTGAGTGGTGCTTAATTCACTGTCGGTTCGGTCCTCCTGGCAGCTCATTCAAAGAGAGAAGTGTTTGGAACTTATGATATTGTGATCTTCAATGCATTTGTTCTACAGTAGCAATATATCTTTTTGTCATTAATCTGCAGAGTAAAACTTTTAAAGAGTTTTGTCAAAGTTGGTGAAAAGCCCTACATGACTTTTCTCTCTCTTTCTTTATTTATTTGTGGTAAAATTGGTGCAAAAAGAAAACTAGAGACAAAATAAGCACCCACATTATATCATAGTCATTAAATCCCAATAAGGCACACTCATGAGGTTCATTTCAGTTAAAATGTGAATGTGTTTATGATAAAACATCAATTTCTGAAGATTACACCCACATGCTATAATTTTTTAAGAGCAGATCTTTTAATTTTGACAGAAAATTCATCTATTGAATAAGTCAGAGTGAAATTTTACTCATTCAAACATGATGCTCTTCAGTCATTAGCACTTGGAATGAATCTTGCATAATTAACTTGCTTCATAATCAAACGCTACCTCATTACTCCATTACAGTATTGGGAAAGAAAAAGATGAAAGTTACTCTCAAAGGATATTAAAATCCTGATGAGCATCTTACTGAAAAGGCTCTTCTTTTTTTATGGACCTGACCATTACCTTTTTTTTCATCTGACTGCTATGGTTACCATTAACTATCAATTCACAGTCATTTAACATTAGCACACAAGGGTGTGGTAAATAATTGCCTCTTAATTAAGAAGATATCAATATACAAGAAACAAATCTTGAGAGTTATACTGTAAATTAAGTACATTTAAAAAGTAATCTGGGATGTAGTCTCATAAATAAGTGCACAACACATGCAAGTGCATCAGTGTTACAGAGACTATTATTTCCATTGCAATACCCAAGGGCTTAAGGCCAAATGACAAACAAATAGGCTACTGAGAGAACACATGTTTTATAGTAAAATGTATCACTTGTGTTCTTTTTTATTTTTGTGTAACCCTTTTTATAACCTCTCCATTAAATTTGATTAGAGCCTTTGAGATCGAAACAAACAACTCATGCATTACATTGTTGTATGTTAAAATGCATGAATGCTTTTTCTATGCCTGGCAAGTACCAAAGCACATGATTATATACCATTACAAAACTGCCAAACAATTGCTAATTTTTTTTTTTTTTTTGTTGCAAATGACACATTTCATTAGCATGAGTTGATTTTTCAAATCATCATTGTGGCTGCTAATGGAGTGCAAGCCACGGAGTTGCAAGAGACAGAGTTGAAAATTGCTTTTCACTTTACTTAATTCAGGGATTTACTATTCTTTGAACCGCAAATAATTTTGACCATGGGAAAAAAAGGAAATAGATGCTAAATCCATCCCTTTACATTCATTATTTATTACTTATTATAAAAGACCTAAATGAGAATATTTTCTGGGTGAAATATAATATAAGGAGAGGGAGAGGGGGGTGATGCATGAAATTAACTCATTGACTTCATTTGTATTACAAACTTCTTCGTCTTACTAGAGATGGGACATACAATCCTTCCAAGTGTAAGATGCTGCCAAACTGTATACAGTGTATTGTATAGGGTATTCAAATAGTGTAAAGTTACTGAGTGTTGGGGGGTTTCTGCTCTGTGCTAGGGAGATAGGAATGAGATCCACCATTAATCATTTTAAAGGGACATGACAACACCAAGGAGAAGGAGCTGAAGGGATAATAAGAACACACTGGAGAAAACAAGGCCATTCATTGCAATAGTTCAATAGCTTTAAGAATACATTTTGCAGTATATGAATAGATTATCATTTTGAAACACCCCAAGCTAATCTTTTTAAAAGCCAATGTGTGCTGTCTTTATGTAATTTACAGGGCTTTTCAAAATGCTTTCAGTCAGTCCCCCGAATGGAGGTTCAGCCAGGTGAAAAAGAGCAGTCACTTAAACAACAGCAAGCAGCAACCTTGGGGATTTAGAGCGACCAACCTGGGGTGTTTTTCCATTGTCATATTGCAGAGTGAGAGGTCGCTAAGAGATGACAGGGGCGAAAAATATTTTCCATATCATCACTCTGGAAGAAAATCTACCCTCAGGAGACATGATAGATAACTCAATCAATTACAGTGGCAAGGACCAGAGATGCCTGTCTAGATGCCTGCTTGGCCCTGCTGAGGCGGCACACCTGGATGAAAAGACACAGCTGCATCAGTCATGATTGAAGCTGCTTAACACCACAGGGCACAGCTCAGTGGTGAGTTTAACCCTGGCAGTTAAGAGGGTCTCTGCAGAAAGCATGTAATGGCTCTCCTCTGAGAAGCTAAATATACCGATAAGTAGCCAGATTACATCCTATCATTAAGAGGAGAGCTGTGAATGTCAGACAGACCTTTATGACAGAAGCCTTGGGCCAACCAAATAAGATTTTAAAATCTTTATGCAAACACAACATCTGTATAAACAAGCTGAACACAATATAGGGGTTTAGGTAACATCAGACAAGGGGATAAAACAGCTCATTCATAGCAAGCCCATATCCAAATAATCTTATTGTAGAAGTTGTGGAAAATACTATTATATATGCAAATTTCTTCAGATTAATTTTATAACAAAGCATTCTGAGCCACTGAATGCAGCAACACATTTTTAATTTGTGTAGGTGTATTCTATAATCATTTTGAGCCGGTAAAACCAATTGGGAAATAAAGTTTCTGTTGAATTTAAAACAATTATATAAGTTGGTATTATTATTTCATTTCACACATTTCAAACATAAGTGACAGAACACAAGTGTACTAGCATCTTTAAGGTGTGTTATTAAGCTACTGTTTTTTCTGTATGAATAATATATATGTTACATAAGTAGTCTTATTAAGAAAGTTATTAAAGAATATTGTGGCTTCTCAAATTAAATAAAAATAAATTTGCAAACCTCTTCTTTCTTTCCTCAGCTCTTGATGTTTGTGGTATGAGCGACTTACATGACATTAGCTTCTTCCGGCTTGTCTCCCTATAAGAAAATAAAATTAGTTTAGGTGCCTGCAAACGCAATTACGGGCTGATAGAAAGTATCCGATGTGTCACCGTATGTGTAAAAAGGTTGGGGCAGCACCATTGATTTAGGTAGGCCTGATTAGATGTTGTTGGGGAAAGTGAGTTTAATTTTTCAGGAACTGACATAAGAACAATGGGATAGTTAAACACAAAGACTTGTTTCATTTGAACGTTAGAAGGACAAAAACACTGTCTGACAGGTTAGACAATGACACAGCCCTGTGGATTCCACAGATGTTTGTCATTCCCATCTGTTCAATTGTCATCTGACTGTTTACTGGAGATAACAATCACACAAATGTGGTTTGCTTGCAATTTTTAAGACATTGAAGGCCTCATAAATTTTAAATGGGAGTTGCTGCAGTAAAAAGGACATTTCTAACTATAAATCATTCTACCCAATCTGAAATACACGGTCCTCTCCAGAGAGCCTCTTTTCATAATATGATAGTTGCGTTTCAAACTCTAGTGGATAAATTACAGTGAGAGCAGGGTCAGCAGGTACTTTACTTTGTCAGGCTCCTGATATAAACCACATGACATTGTAAATAAGGATTTTACTTATCTAAATCTAAGCTTCCTGATAGCTGTCTAAAAATGATTCAAAAAAAAATTTAACACAAGTATCACAGGAAAAAAGTCCAGCCAAAGAATGAAAGTAGAAAAAATAAACAAGTGGCAAGTGTAATTTTTGTTAACCTGTAATGCCTTTTCCAATTCTTAAACCCCCCTTAGGATTATAAAAAGATGCATGGATAGTTCAGTGTTATACAAACATTAAAAAATGGCAACACTGGGAGACAACCCAAGCAAGCTAACAAACAGCACCTTGTATACTGACGGTCAAATGTCGTGGAGAAAAATAGACATTTTGGAATAACATAACAAAGATAAAGGAAACAGCAGACATTCACTTATCAACCAAAATAACTGTTATCTCAGTCCAATTTAACTTTTCTCTCTTTGTTTACAGTAATTTTATTCCACTCAACTCAGTCAGTCAGTCTCTTGTGATTCCAGGAAAAACCCTGTGAATGTGCATGTCAATACAGCTCCTGAATCCATGCATTTAATTTCAATTTAATAAGGTGTCACTGTGGTAAATGAGTGTGGAATAAGATGGGCAATGTTTCCCTCAGTCTGCAGGAAATGACTGCTTAATCAGAATGCCATTGCCTTGTCATAAAACATACAGGTATTTATAGTTGGAGGAGTTCAATAGATGCATCTCAGTGATGATCCACTAGTTCTGTTGTCATCCATATTTTTATCAGATTATTAGACACATAACACCTTCATAAAGTCTGACAGGTTTAATCAAATGAATGCCTCTATAAGTCATTATAACAGCAGTCATCCATATGTGGCAGCAGCATTCATTCCAAACACAAAGAAAGCACACAGAGGAAGCAAACAAGGTGATTCAAAAAGGAGAATCAATACATGCTTTGTACTTATAGGGCACTTCACCTGATTCTGACCCCATATGTTGGCCCCTTCCTATTTTCCACTTTTGTGTCATTTAATTTTATGTAAATGCCTGATTTGGCATCAGCAAATGGCAAGATCTTACAGTATGTGATACTTACAGCACAGTTATTGCTGGCAGAATTAGACAAAAAGTGAGTTTCTTTGTAATCCAAGAGGAATAGACTATCTTGTAAGTATATAATGATGTAAGGAGTTTTATCAAATAAATGTATGAAGAATGGGAAAAAAAATTAAATCCAGTTTTTGTAAGTATTCTTGAAAGATATAGAGAAGTAGTAGTAGTCCTTGTGCAGTTTACACTGTTTATGATTCAATAATGAAAATATAATAATTAATCTTTCCTAAAAATGCCCTACTCAAAATGAGGATAATGTCCACTTGTGGAATTCATGTTTTCATTATACTGTAATCCTTCCATTCATATTGCAACTACTCCTCCAGTAGTTGCACTATTTCACATTTTTCACACCTCTGGGCCACATTCAGAGCTGTGGTTCCAGAAGAGTCCTGCAGAGTCTTGTCTGCTCCATTCAGCAGCAGAGCCTTTACAATAGGCATACTTCCACGCTGGGCAGCCAGGTGTAGAGGTGTTGCCTTTCCTGAGTTTAATGCATTGACATCTGCATGATGTGATATTAAGTGGAGGACACTTGGGAAACTGACACTGGTACAAGCTACATGTAGTGGCATCCATCCTTCACTGTCTTCTGACACATTGGGATCGGCTTTGGCTGCCAGGAGCCTTGCTACCACTTCCGGCTCACTCTGGTGGCAGGCGAGATGGAGTGGGGTCCATCCATTTTCACCCCCAGCATTCACACTACCACCCTGACTCTCAAGCTGGACCACTGTGGCATCATGTCCCCTTAGGGCAGCCAGGTGCATGGGAGTCCAGCCTTGGAGAGTCCTGGAGTCTGGGCTTGCCCCGTTTGACAACAGCTGCCTGCATATGCCTGTGTGACCCTTCAGAGCAGCGAGGTGAAGTGGTGTGTATCCTCTGCTGTCTGCACTGTCAATATTCACCTCACTCTTCAGCAACTGTCTGACTACTCTGTTATGGCCCTCTTCAGCTGATAAATGAAGAGCTGTGGAGAGGGAGCAGTCCGTAGCATTGGGATCTGCTCCCTGAGAGAGGAGGAGCTTGGCAATGTTCAGATGCCCGTAGGCGGAGGCTAGGTGGAGCGGTGTCCTCCCTTGCTCCTCCGGTTCTCCAACTGCTTCCTCTGACAGCCGTGAAAGCAGCAGGCGAACCACTGTTTCATGGCCATTCTGGCAGGCCAGGTGGAGGGGCATCCAACCAGCTTTTTCCCGGGCATCCGCCACGGCTCCTTTGTCCAACAGGAGACGTACAGTCCTGTCATCACCGTTCTGAGCAGCAAAATGAAGCGGTGTCCACTGGTCCTCATCTCCCTGGGTGGCAACTGCACCATGTTCCAGCAACAAAGAGACGATGTCATGAAGCCTGTAGAAAAGAAGTTTCATTCATAGGGTATAATATTTCTGACTCTTCAGCATGAGGTTGCTAAGTAACCTGGTGAGAGTCCAGCCTTTATACTAAGCTAAGATGACCGTCTTCCTGATCTAGTTTCATATTCAGCATTCAAACATCTAACTCTCTGCAAGAAAACGAAAGAGTATTTCCCAAATTGTCAAAACAAAAGCACACACATTACTTTTCCTCATGTCACTTCACAAAGGTTTGTAATGTATTTTTTTTACAGACCTGTGCAGAACTGCAATAATAAGAGGGGTGTAACCTCTGGCAGTCATACAGTTGACTTCAGCACCCAGATTCAGGACATGCTCGACACTCTCTGCATCCCTGCTGGCTACCGTGTAGTGGAGGAGGCTCCTCTGTTCGTACACATGCTCGCTTTTCACAGACTGTCTGAAAGTACCAAAGTCCTTCTTGGACAGCAGAGAGAGAATGTTGTCTTTGTCATGTTGGTCATCTGCGAAATTGGAGCAAAAGGCATTATATGAGAAAGACAACTGCAGAAATTATTATTTTTTTCTGTGTAACAGGAACTTTTATTTTGATGAATTTTGCTGTATTAAAGTTGAGTCTCCTCCTTTTATTGTGTGCCGCAGCAGTGCGCTTGTGTACATAATGGCAGAGGATGAAGCTGTGGCGCTCACTCAATATGTGAAATGTTTACCTTGTGCATTCATATTTGAACCAATGTACCTTCTACATTAATGTTTTAATGGCACTGAAAGCATTGATTGAAAGTATTATGAATCATCTATTCAATAATCTGGTCCTTATTTCTGAGAAAAAGGATCCAAGAGGCTGCGTGGATGTTTCTTTTATTCTCTCTTCTACTGATAGTTGACTCTGCTTTCAGTACTAAAGGTAATATTAAAAATGTGACAGGACTGTAAATAGCACTTTTTAAATGTCAGCCCTCCAGGCTTTGTACTGCACTGAACATGATTTCCCATCCTACTCTACCCATGTGTTTACCTGAGGGAAGGTCAGGCATCTCAGGCAAAGTAATCTAAAATGGAAAAGAAGGAAAGGAAATACTACAAAAGTTATTGGTTGTGACATCAATCATCACAGGTGGTTAGTAACCACATATATCAATCAAAATGTGAGTGTGGGGGCGTTATGAATTACTCAACGCTTAAACTGCTACAGTACTATTAACTGGATACATTATATGCCCTACCTGCACAGAAGTATTTTCTCTTTTAAGCCACACTAGCAGCTAAAAATACCATGACATTTGCTACAGGTACTGTAGTGCCATGAGTAGGAATTAATAACTTTAACTGTTCTCCTGACTTCTCATCTAGCACAAAGTGTCTAGTTTAGAAAACATGCTAAACTAACATAGTGAACATGATAAACATTATACCTGCTAAACATCAGAATAATGTCACTGTGAGCATGTGGAATGCATGGATGTAGACTTTTTTATTAGTGTAAACTGCATTACCTTTTCCCAAAAGCTACCCTATAATACCATTAACCTGATATACTCATTATTCCAAAGGTGGAGTAGATACAGTAGATACCATTCAAGCAGAGTATCAAGTAGAACTAACCTTGTGTATCGGGGACACCAGCCAAGGATAATTTGATTTCTGGCCCTCGTCACCATTTTTGTGACATTGGATTGGTCCAGGAATCTTCAGGACTTCACTCAGGGCCTCCATTTTCCTCACAGTGTCTGCAAAGAAAACACAGAAAGGAAAGGAAAGGAAGGGAAGGGAAGGGAAGGGAAGGGAAGGGAAGGGAAAGGACTGTTATGAATTTGCCAAATCAAATAAATGTATTCTTAGACTCGCAACTCCAAAACTAAGTGGGATCCTCTCATAATTGCATTTATACAGAGAATGAACGGTCATGCATGAATTACAGGTAAATTCTTTCATAGATACGGTTAACACAAGTGAGTATTTGTAAACATTACAAATTGGAATGGTTGCTGTTTATGAATAAACATGGCACTCATTTGTATTACCTAACATGACTTCTCAAAATAAGTGTTTGTCTAAACAAAAGCGACCCACCTCCTCTTCATGCAGTAGCATGTGACAACTCAATGACTTTTGACAGGATAATTGCACACAAGGCCAAAGTGGCCTTGTTTTGTTTGTTAAATTTATGCTTTCCATAAAGTGGATCAAAAGAGGGACAAGAGCCAAATGCCTTTCATGACAGCACATTAAAACACAGCTGTTTCAACAAGATGTCAAAATGTCAGATTTTAATCATTTGGCACTTGCCCATCCTTTAGTCTGTAAAAGTCTGTATATTGTTCAATGTAACTGTGCTTTTTGCTTAAAGCATCTTTTTTCTGGAGTGCATTTTTTGATAGCAGTCTTTTTAATAAAACACAAAAACAGTCACCATCATGTTGGCATTCTCATTAAAGAAAAATTATTAATATTGTTACTGAAAATCTTGGCATCATTTTATGCTTAAATATTATTATTAATGAGTAAAAGCAATTAAACACAACATCAGACAAATCTGAACAAATTACAATCATCTCCCTGTGAATGTAGCCAAGATATTGGGATTGCTATGATCTGAAAGGCAGACTTTGATACAATAATTAAACCAGTCTTTGTACAAATAAGCCTTAAAATTCTTTATCCCAGGACACTGGAGAAATATGATTCCTCAAACTTAGAGAACATTAAATTCACATGTGTCTTTATACATCATGTATGCAACATTTGGAGAAACCGAGACCCTCCTCTTTCACATGACTTTTTAAATCTCTTCGTCTATAAGATATATGTTCTTTTTCATCACCGTGCTTTCAGGCAGTTAGCTCCAGTAAAGCACCCACTCAATAGCTTTGGGAACTTTTGGAAAATAAAGAGCTGCAGTTTCATTGAGAGGTTTAAATCCAAATTAGGAAGTGGTCAGAAAACAATTAATCAGCATTTTTCTTTCTTTGCCTTTTGACCTCTGCACCTGAGAATAGTGGCCTCTTCCTGTGGTCCTGGTCCCAGCACTGCTTCATAATGCTGATCATCTGATCACACTCATTGGGCTTCTGTTCAGGTATCATTTCCTCACTGGGTCTTTTCCCTTGTGACACCTGTAAGAGCACTGTGGTCACGCTGCACCCTGTGTCCATAAACAGACATGTCAGACACAAGGTTCAATATAGATCAACGTATGCAGAGAATGACCATGTTTACCTGTTTGTTATGGTAAAGGAGTAGCCCCAAAAGTTTTTTACACTTAAACAAACATGTTAGTGAACTTTAAAGGTGCTGGCAAATTGATTTTTTGCCTTCGGACAGAGCCAGGCTAGCTGTTTCCCCTTGTTTCCACCCTTTATGTTAAGCTCAGCTAACAATCTCGTGGCTATAGCTTCATGTTTAAAGGACAGACATGGAAGTAGTATCAATCTCATTTCTCTCTTTCTCCCTGCAAGAGAGCCAATAAGCATTTCCCCAAATGCCACTATTTCTTTAGGTTAGCTTGCTTGTTTAAGTAAATACAACAAAATACTAGGGCAGAGTTGTGGCTTGGGTATAATTAGTATTTGACAACGACTGGGGTTAAATTCACATAACAAGGTTAACCAACAATTAATTGAAGTCATTGTTAAAGAAAGGGTTATTGCTTATTGAATTAAATAATTCATTATAAACTTGACCTTTGCACCTCTACACCTTCCTGCATGTTATTTCAATCTAACACTGTATGCCCATTGCTTTAAATTACCAGATATTTTAGGTGAAAAGTGTTACTTACAGTATAGGCTTATTAACAATATATTGGAGAGCTATGGCTTTTTGGTTAATTCGACTATGTTCACTGTGCGGTTGAATGAATTAATAAATGAATGTTGCAATTTTCATCTTAAAAAGACATTGAGATGAAACATTCCTTCAGCCTCATGCTGTTTAAGTGTTACACAACTCCTTGCTGAAGTAACACCTAGAAATCTATTTGATGTGAAGATGTGATGAATTTCAAATGAAATAAGTCCTACCTGCGTACGGTTTCTGCTGTGTCAGAATCTCCCAAATCACAATTCCAAAGCTGTAAATGATCAAAGCAGAAAGGAGCACTTCAGTCCTAATTTTTTTAACTTTTCATATCATGTGTTCAGTGAACTTTGTGGCAGTCCACCTATTATATAAAAGGCACTAAAATAAAATTAATAAAAAAAAAACAATGTTTTTTTAATATAAAATAAAACCAGTGAATGTGAAAGACAGTAATACTGTAAAACAGGGTGAGTCAGACAATACAAGGGTAATACAAAATATAAAGAATATGCCCCAGTGAGTAAAAACATATACATTAAAGTGCAAGGTTACACTGTATAAATTGTGGACTGTGCACTGAGTCGGAAAAAAGCAGTGCAATTTCAAAAATGCCCTTGGCAAGTCACCTGTACACATCAAAGGTAGATCCTGGAGGATCGGGGCACTGAGTGAAGATCTCTGGAGGAATGTAACTTATGTTTCCTCTCGCTGTCAGATTCTCCATGAACAACTTCTTGCTTATGCCCTCTTCAAAGTGGATTAAACCAAAATCTGAAATCTTAAATCAAAAACCAGAGTTCCAGAGGAGTACAGAATTAGCATACATTGCTCTGCCGAGCTCAGAAATGTCAAGAGATTACTGTAAGCGTGCAGTCTCATTAGGCTGTTCTCACTGACCTTGACATGGAGATGGTCGTCTAGTAGGATGTTGGACGTCTTAAGGTTAAGATGGAGTAGTGGAGGTTTCATGCTGTGGAGGAAATTCATGCCAATGGAGGCCTCATGAATCATCTGAAACTTCTTTGGCCACATCAAAGTGTGACTGGCCAGGAGATTGTTCAGCGATCCATTACTCAAGTACTCCATCACCACAGCAGTCGCATCACTGCACATTCCGTAGATGGACGCAATGTACTTGAAATTCACTTTGGCTATGTTGGATGCCTCGTCTATTATTCTTCTGTGTTGGAAAAAATAATGGCTTTGGGCATTAAATCGGTTTTTGCACTTTCACCACTGGAAACAGTCATTCTGTGTCAAACATTGTAGACTTACAAAGAAACCACATAATCTTGGTAATGTTAAACGTTAATTAATTAATAAGTAACTGTGCCATATGCTAGAAAATTGCTGTAAATTCATTACATTTGCTTGTATCTGACAGCAGGATCATACAAAATTTGTCCCACCTGTAAAAGTTGTCTGCGCACAACGTTGTGTCAAAGCTTTTCAGGGCACATTTTACCCGCCAGACCTTGAGCTTTACCTGGTACACCTGACCATATCTGCATTCAGCCACCTTAATCCAGTCAGCCTCAAAGTCGTCCTTCTTGAAGTTGCTGAATTGCCCAGGAGATCTGTCAAGACAATCCATGAGTACAGATCCACGCAGAGACCCACTGAGAGACACACTCGCTGTCTAATCCTACACATAAACGGGGGGGCGGGGGGGGGGCGGTTATCCTTCAGATCAACACTGATCAGTGGCACCACAGGAGCTTGTGTATCACACAGATAATGAGAAAGTTGTAGAAAATGAATACACATTTAAAGCAGCTGACTGTGTGAAAGGCATGTGGAATAGCGTGCTACAAAGTCTATCTATGGGAGGAGCTGAGGTGTTAAACTTGTTTGCACTGCAATGTTGCAAAGCCGGTTTTTAGCTGCCAAGACTGCTGACCAGGCTTACAGTCTCTCAGACAGACTGTATGACTCTTATCTTTCATCTCCAACAGCAAGACTGACTCACATCCATCTGAAAGGAAAACGAAACGATTCCTAAAAAATGTGTAGGTTCAGCACCAGCAGAGTATCAGTTATGATCGTTGATATGATGTATATACTCACTGTAATTTGGTGCTGTATATACAGTAAATGAGCTGCCTAATGAACCATCCACTTCTATCAAACTGCACTTTAACAAGGCACTTAACCCCCAGCAGACCCAGTGGAATGGCTCAGCAGTCGGCAGCTTCAGTTTGAGAATATGTCAATTCTCTGTAGCAGCAAGGTCTGCATGGAGTCCGTTTGTTGTTCAAACACAAACACTCCCACACAGGTGCTCTAAATAGCCCTGCTATATTTATGAAGCAGCCTTGACTTCCAAACTCATTAATAGAATAGGCTGACATTTTGAGAAAAATGCTTATTCACTTCCTTGCAGAGTGTTTGATGTGAAGATTGATACCACCCTCCTGTCTGTCAGTTAAATATAAAGCTACAGCGAGTAGACAGTTAACTTAGCATTGCATTATATCTGAAAACACGGGGAAACACCTACCTGCCTCGGTCCAGTGGCAACAAAATCCGGTGTCCAGCACCTCTAAAGCTATAAAGTTTTATGGGAGGTTTAAGTGCCGAGCTATTTCTTAGCCTGGCGCAGCTTCAGGAAGTCACTGTTTCTGGCCAAGAAATAGTATGTTCCAAAACACCAATATGTTTTTTTAACACATTGGTATTTATAAAGATTACACGATTAAATAAAGCTTTGAATTGAACTGACTTTAGAGGTGCTTTGGTATTGTGTTGGTAGTTCTTTTCATCAGATTGTTTTCTGAGATAAGATAATTCTCTGATTTGAACATGAGGATTACTTTTATTTTCATGTAGTGTTTAATAAAGGACACATTGCTTTTTGTGGCAACAAAAAAGTTAAGTTGAAACCAATAAAGAAAATTCAAACCAAGACCAAAATAATCATATTCATAAGAACATTTTGTACTTCTTTATAATTTAAAGTAAACAGGATAGCACACTGCCTTAAATTGTGTTGAAAATTGACACTTTGTTGGCAAAGCTCAAGCATTCTTTATGTGTAAATAAAGGCACTGTGACACTGTAACTTTAACTGAGCTTCATTTTTCTCATACCAATCATTCAGTCAGTTGGGTTTTCCCCTACTCTGTTTAAAACACAGAGAACAAAATGAGATTAAAAGCTTTTGGACTGATTTGTGTGCAGAGGCTTATTGTCTTCAACAGACAACAAGAAAGGGAATTATATCATCTGCATTATACTCACTGTGTCTGTTCTCGAAGACTGTTCTCACTTAAAATGGGATAGTGTGCTGTTCCCTGCTTTGGAATAAATTTAGCACATGGTAAATTACTTCTTAATTCTTATTAATCAATAATTGTTTGACATAAATTGATTTTCAGTGTCTTTCCTGATGGTGTAGGGGCTGTGATTCATGAATTGCACCCATTTCAGGTCCCAAGCAATGTGTCACGACATTTATTGCCTTCCACCTTGACTTCCTGTTAGACCTCGAAATCGTGGATTTCATCTTTCTGCATCATTAAAGCGAGGTGTTATTTGAGAGAAAAGATTTAAACTGCCTGGCTTATGTGAGAGGATTAGGGTAATAGGAAGCTCATTCAAGAAGATGTGGAAACAAAGACGTCCTCAACCACCTTCCATTTTATTCTCACCTGCTGTTCTGTTTTATAGGCCTCGTCAGTTATATTTTACCACCACTCAACCCTCTTTATGGCTCAATTTATCTGGGGACATGAGGTGTTTTGTTGCAATGTTAAAGAAAGAGATGAACTCAGATAAGTACATTTATAGACACATACAAACATATATATAGAAATTGTTCCTGTGGGCCACTAGAACCTTTGGCAGTCATAAATATTTGGGCCAACTCCCTTGGGTTTCTTCCTTCCTAGCAGATAGCACATTTAGATTCAATACGGTTCCTGCGGAGAGCATGACGCAAATCTCCAACACAAACTCACAATTGTGTGCAACCCTCACTGGGCAGCTGCTAACCTCTCATTGTCTCTTTCTCCAGATTTTATAAACTGTAAATGTAAATGTGATTCATTAGGATTTCAGTCCATACTGTATGTCTCATAAGAGAGCAGATACAGGTCAGGATTCTTCAATCATATATTCCCTTCTTCTATTCTCTGAAATAGCTCTTTGTTTAGGCTTTCATCTCAAAGTAATATTTTTACTTCAGTAAGATTTTGTCCTCCTTGCTCTTTATAAATCTGCTGGCTCACCCTGCAGGGCTGTTTTAGGTAGCGGATGCACGTCTGCAGGATAACTTGCATTAAGACATGTCTCATGGCCTACAGTATATATTTGTCTTGTCACCACCCTGAATGGAAAATGCTGTGAACACATCATTGTGAGACTTCATATGATTAAAGATTAATTATTTTGCAGCGCATTAATACACCATGGATCGTTATGGTGGGCTGTCATACATTTTTTAGCTGAAATATGAGAATATGTGAGCAGAATAACCGATAAAAACATTAAAGAGCATCATCATTAATGCAGAGTATATGATGAATCTGCACTGTTTTGGTTGTGTGCAGAACTCCCTGCAACCCAATGTTTTCCAAAGTACCCTAACCCCTCAACTCTCTCTATATATATGCAGGCGAGTAATGGATGAATTTAACATTCACATTCCACAGTTTCATGCTTCACTGACACAAACTATTATTTAGTACAGACTCGTGGATTGATGTTTCCAATGAAAACCAGGCGCTCGTGATCAGATTCCTGATAGGCTACCTGAGGGGAGAAGTCTGTCTTCATTGATGGAACCCACATCTCCCAGCTCAGCCAATCACATTAGCAGGCTCCACCATGCTGGGTAAGCTGACTGGTTGAAGCCAAGGGCTTTTCCATTGCCCCTCATGTCCTCTGATAGCTAACAAGCTTAACTCTAGTGTCTCTGATCCATATTCTGCGAGCACAGAAAGTGCTAAACATAACCAAACAAAATTAAAGAGTGGGCGGCACTGAGGTGAACGGGTTATCTAATCTGCTATGTACTGTGATAAATGCTGGAGTATGTAAACTGTGTGTTTCAGACTAGAACGTTAATTGGTTCCTGTATTTCTCTCAAGAGCGTTCAACGTTTTTTAATCAAATCCTTATCTTATGCAGATATTGTACCAGTTGTATTCCCGCAGAATTCTAAACATGTAAGGTGCGTGAAAGACCAAACCTGTCAGACAAATTAACACTTAAACATACGTACATAAGCGCGATGTATGAACTATCTAAAATGACAGAAATCATCTTTGGAAAAAACTTATATGACATGTAGTTTGTTTTTTAGTTTGGCCCATGTTCCATCTGCTAACATATAGGGAGCGGGGTTTATGACCTATACTGCAGCCAGCCACCAGGGGATCATCAAGATGTTTTGCTGTCACTTTTGGGAAGCTGTCATGTTATCCATCTTTATATACAGTACTGTTTTTTTCACAGTTTAGTGAAAAAAGCGACGGTCAGCAAGGGAAGCAGAATCACAGTGTTGACAGTGTTATAAGTAAATAATGTCCTTTCACTGATGAAATGTATGAAGGTTTATGATGTGAGAAACAATGCAAGAAAACTGAAAATGAAAAAAACTTTGTAGAGAATTGCCATATACACACATTTAATTAGTTATAAAATGGTAGATAATGATTCATTCATGCATTTTAAACCACTTGGCTTTAAAATATTACAAAATATTGATAGAATATAATGAGTCATTTTGATTGTACATTTAAAAAGAAAAACCAACATTGCAAAGGGTTCTTCATGTTTTCTTGCAGCAATACATTTGCTTGAATCATTCTTACCCAAAGAGACACATTTTCCCTAAACAGTCTATCACAGGGGCTCAATATAACAAGTCAAGCCATGAATGCATACATTATATTAAACCAGTATATTAATGAGCTATCAATCTTAAAGTGGGGTACAAAGAGAATTGATTTGTTGCCACTAAAGGAAAATAAAGGGATCAGCTGAGCTTTTGTATTTGGGGATGGTGTTTATTTTCAGTGAATGATAATAGACTGCTCATGGTTTAAGTGTGAAATTCGACTGCAACAGCTGTGTCACCTATGAGAGGAGGTGTGAATTGGATTGCTCCTCATTGTCTAGTCTGGCCTATACCGGCTGATACGACTGGCCGTCTCTGCGCTATGGTTAATATGATTGACTGCTCCACTGTCTGTTGACTAATGTAATTGTCGGCAGCTATTTTGGTGAGGACGTGATCAGTGTAATTGGCAGTGGGTCCTCCTTGATCACGGTAGGATCAAGTCACCTCCTGGGCGCAGACAGCCACAGCAGGCTCGTGGTGGAGCTGCTGAGTGGAGCAGCCAGATTGCCCGGCGACGGTAGGCCAGCCACACCAGCAGCAGCGTCACTGTGACAAGAGAGGAGCCAACCACCAGGCTCACCATAACCAAAACCAGATCCAGTTCTGATGGGTCTGAAAATTAAACAGACAAACGATCTGACATGAGGCTGCGGTCATAATTTGATCTTAGTGGAGAAAAAAAACTGCTTTCCATCCACTGTCACCCTGCCTTCAGTAAGTTGCAAATATCCTTTTGCTTCTTTCTGTTTCACAAAGACTCACAGCACTATATGCAGATTCTAGTGTAGCGCTTTCCATGATAAACAAATGAAGAGCTGTATATATTTGCACTCAGGGAGCCACTTAATAATATGGCTCTTTTCCACACATGCTATAGATAAATGGCATGGTCATCTCTCATTTCCTGTCCTGCAGCATCTCCCATATATGCTCTGTTATCTCAGATTGATCGTTTTTGTTTTTAGGCACAGCTAATAATTACCTATCTCCTCTGGGAAGGTAGAATTCTTCACTTCTTTCAACATGGGACCAAAGGATATGCGATTTCTGAGATTGGTGACAATGGCCTCTGGACCCTCTAAAGGAAACGCACTCCTCTGCTGAAGGCACTGCTATAAAAAGACAAGGTGAATATGTAGCATGTGAGTATGAAAAATGATAGAGTTGCTAAATGGTAATTAACTTTTAGGAAGAAGGATGGTGTTCCTGTTTATCATCAACAATAGTGGACACAATGCACAGAAATAATAATTGAAATGATACAGGTGCACAGATAAATATGTCTAAAACTCGTTTTCCTGTGTGGTATTTTTTATTTGGATTAAAGGGTGAGAGCAGAAACATCTATTTCCAAATAGAAAGCTGGAAATAGGATTTTATCTCAAAAGCAGCACTCTTTCTTTGAATCTAAGCAGCCCACTCTTGGGTTGGAGCAGTTCAAACAAGGTAGTTAGATAACGTATAGCTGTAATGTAAATATAATGTTTCAGGAAAATATGGAGCCTGACATCAAGTGCCAATAAAAAAAATCACAATTTCAAGGAAACAAGAGAAGAAAAATAAATAGCTGCACACAAAGAAAGTTGCAGATTATATGGAAAAGTTCATTATACATGTACTGTAGTCTTGACAGAGCGATGCATTTTAAATGTTTAAACTGACTCACAGCAAAAAATAAATGTTGATCTTAGAGACCATTGCATTACTAGAAAACATGAGGAGACACTAAAAACATCATCAGAGAGCTGTTAAAGTGCTCTACAAAGGCAGACGAGTTTATCCTTCTTCAACTCTGCCCTCTAATGTGTACTTGTTGGATGATTCAGTTTTCCCATTAATTCTAGGGCCTCATTCCCACAACAGCAGGAGACAGCAGTTGGCATCAGCGTCCTTTGCTACTCTGCAAGTGTTATTCTGAAACTTTGTGAAGACCTTATCTGACCTTCAGAGCACATAATGACATGACAGATGCTTTAGGCTGCGTGTCTTTGGCTTTCAGACTTAGTACATCTCCTTCTTTTCACATTGAGAAAGTGGTTCCTGTACATATGGCAGGATATTTTAATCATACGACACCCTTCCTTTTCACTTCTAATTCAGGAAAATTATTTATCCTCTTGCTTGCTTCCTCTCCTCCTAGGTTTCATATTCAGCCATAGATTAATTTACCTCTTCTCCAGTTCCTCACTCACCTTGGTCTCCTTTCTTGCTCATCTTCCCAGGTCATTTACATCAGCCTGTTCGCTCCTCATCTGTCCCCCCCTGTTTTCACAGTGTCACACCCCGTGTCACTAAATTTAAATCACTCTCAGCCGCTCGTTCTCTCATCCTTTCGCATTCATTACACTGTGCACCCAGTGCAGTCTTACCCTTTCACAGTCAGAGCGGTTCCTCAGGCAGACACTGAGATCACAGTGTAGGTACACTACTGAGTAATTAATCATTTGGAAGAGACTGATGGTGAAGCTGGCACTGGTTGACAGGGCACTGGGCAGCAGTGTGATCCCTGCTGGCTCTGCTGCTAACCTGAGGCACCAACACAAACAGACGAATAACCTTAGCAGAGTCATTTTCTCTTAAAAGAAATAGTGAAATGTTTAAGCAAAAAGGGTCAATCTGACAATATCCTGCAGGACTCCATACAGCTGTCAAAAGCCACTGAAGCTGTGCTGATCAATAAACATGAAAGCAGAAAAGAAACACAGACCAGCTAGCTATCAATAATTTATATTGAATTGGGTTGAAAGCTCAAGAGAAAAGAAATCATGTTCAGTAAAGGTCAGCTTTTACTTTATGTTGCTGTTGTATCAGTATCATTACTTATGATGTTAATAAGTTATGTATTTACATTCAGCATTATAATATGGAATTTATTCACTGGTGTGTTTTCTGTTTTTCTTTTCATTTTGCCTAGAAGAGATACAATAGATTTGTCTAAGATTTGTCCCAGATGTAGGCACTTTTTACAAGTGTTTTTGTTCAGATGCACAGTAAAAGTCAACAGCCAGCCTATTCACATTTTGACATATTTTAGAGGTTGTGCATTTATATGGCCACCTCTCAAAGTGTGCCAGAGTACACTGAATTTCCATCTATATGAGTGATGCTGTCTCACAGAGATAACACCATCAACCACCAAGCAGAGAATATTCAGCTCTTAAAAATTGACCTGCAACTTCCTGAATTGATATGAATTATAGTAACACTGTTTCTCTAGTAAACACATCTGTAAGTCTGCCCAGGTTTTGTTAAGGCTGTTATTGAGGTTGGAGAGTTGCATTATTCATGGCCGTATTTCTATATCTTAATAAAAACCAAAAGTCCGGGTTTTTACCATTTATTTTGGAAAACCTCAGTCCAATCTTTACCATATTAGGCAGCAAATGAAATACCAAAACCTACAATGAAAGACAGGGGGCTTGTTTTCTTCTCATGAAATGCAGTCCAGATGGCTCCACATAGATCAGTAAATGTACTGTAAATTTCCCACTGCGTAACTGCTGTATTTGCTGACTCGTCTCTATTTAGTTTTTATATAACAGAAAAATAGACTCCCTGAGCTACTTGTCCTCATATAACTTTGCCTGAATTAAGCACTTTTACCTCAAAATGACAAATCTGGAAACCTTACCGTCCTAACATAAAACAACAAAATCTCTTCCCAGTCACCTTATTTCAGTCTTTCCTGTGTACCTGGAGAAAAGGCAGCAGGTGGAGTTGGTGAGGTCAGGCTGGATGGTAGGGGACAGGCAACAGGAGGTGACCTCCAGGTTTATCTGACTGTTGTTTGTCTTCAGGTTGATAACCACTCTGAGGTTCCCCATGGCAGGCACAGCATCACCAGGCTCTATGCCTCTCCCCAGGTTCAGACTCATCTCTGCAGTGTAGTTCCCACTGCCACACAGGTCATCTGAAACTTCTGTTACACTGGCAATAGATCAATATTGTTGCAATTTGGAAAAAGAAACAATGGTACTGTTTGTCCATTAACCTAATAAAGATCTTAACTGAAGGACCATACCAGTAATTGTGCTTACTGCCAGTAATTTCTTGGCCATAAAGTACATTATAAATGACCACGGTCTAAAGAATATGTTTTAGCAGATATTAAAGATTTTATGATTAATTTCTTACCTTTCAGGCAGTAATTAGTTCCCATCCATTTTGCTGTACCATAAAAATCAACTTTAGAGAGCTTGAGAGATGTAATCCATCACAGAGAATGATTTCACTGCCTGTATCTTTTATCAAAGTTGAGCAGGTAGGATTTGTAGACATCTGACAATTCAGATTTGCTACTAAATAGCAGCCCTCCAACAGTCCATTTCTACAAAACCCCAATAGATTAAAAATGTCCTGTTGGACCGAAAGTCTGTTTTTTCCCAAATTTACACAACAACTTATGTAGATAACTAACTGGGGTTTCAGAATAAAGGCCCATCGGAACAATTCGAGATAACTGCTAATGTCAGCCTGCTAACATGCTTACAATAACAATGCTAGCATGCTGATGTTTACCAGCATTATATTTATGATGGTTGCGAGCCTTTGTTAATTGTGTTAGCATGCTAACTTTAACTAATTATCACTTTACACAAAGTAGACTTTAGGCTGATTGGAATGTCATTAGTTTTGCATGTATTTGGTCATAAATCGAAGAGTTGTATAGATAAAAACGATCGACTCGATGACTGAATGAATGATGTGCTGCATTAAAAGTTAAGGGATTTCGAAGGACACATCACTGTTTGATTACTGTTTGTCTTGTCCTCCAACACCACAGCTCATGACTGCAATGCTTTTAAGCAGCAGACTCCAGACTCAAATATTGGATTTAGGAGTGGCCTAAATGCATCATCGGGAAGCCTTTTTTAGATCTGTACCTGCTCTAATTGCATTATCATGTGACAATATTAATTAAAGGAAAAAATAAAGCAGCTTGCTGTGATGGATTATCTACTTAATAGCATAACTCACCAGTATGGTTCTTTAATTTGTAAACTCATGATTAATAGATAATGCTAGAATAATAGGACACACAATAAGATTACCCAGAGAGATACAGATGAGGTGAGGTCCTTCTTCTGTGTTTCAGTGTTGGCAGCTCTGATTCAGACTCTGGCTCTGGCAGTAACAGCCTGCGCCCAGACTCTTGTACTGCTGTCTCTCCTTTAGACATAGCATGCGTTGACCTGGTGGCATTTTGCACCTCAAATATCTCAGCTTTGGCTGCCTCTCTATTTAATTGTGTTTTTTTGTTTTTTTCAGTGAGCAGTGTCCGCTCAGGGGTCTGCGCAGTAGTTGCTTCAGGTTCAGAAAAAGTGACCTCTGCTGCAATAGCCTCCTGAGCTTCATAGGTCTCTCTGAGAGAATGTGTTGTTTTCTCTACAAACTGATCCTGCTCAAGTGTCCCACGTCTCTCCAAATGATCAGTTTCAACAAGTACTCTCCATGTTTTTGTTGAAGTTTCATAGGTCATACTCTTGGCATTTGTTGTTGGAGTCTCATCAACAGTGGCATAGTCATGATAAGATTTACTTATGGGTAATGAAAGCACTGCATAGTCGAGGTTTGTGGCCTGTGGTGTTGCTTTTCCAGGTAGAGGACAGTCAGTGCTACAGTTGCCATTTTCTGGTTTTGTGCCAGCAGTGAGTGCTGTATTAAAAAGCTCTTTTCCCATGTTTCCAGCCTGTGTTTTATACATTTTCTCTGAAGCGGTATGATCAATCTCACCTGCTTCAATTGTTGTTTCAGTAGTCTCGCCTGACTTAGCACAGCCAATTGTCCTACAGCTGGTTTTATTAATAATCTCTGGAGGCGAGATCCCTGTAGGCGGTACAGAATCAGTCACAGCTCCAAGTATCTCCTGACCTGAGGTCTTTTCAGATAATGCATGATTCTTATGTTTGTCTGCTCTGTCTAGTGTATGCACTGTTGGAGTCCTCTCCTGTAGAGGATTTTTGGCTTCAAAAGCAATTGTTGTCGGAGTTGTTTTGATGTCTTTAAATGATGAATATTCCACTATAATGGTAGGTGTAGTGTCACGTGACCCTCCAGCCAGGTTGGCAGTATTTAACAAACCTGTCTGAACACCCTGCTCAGGGTCATTGATAGGACTTGTTATTGCGATCATACCAGGTGGGGTGTGCTGGCTTTGTTCAATAGGCTGTACAGAAATTTCATGCTTGGGCTCCTCTACACTTGTTTCTGTTGCATTCTTTCTTTTCACAGCAGGGGGGAGTTTGCCAGTAGTGGGAGTTGTGGGAGGCTCTCTCAGTGACAAAGGCTCAATATGACTATTGGACTGTACCATATGCTCAGCATATGCAGCCTGAGATGACTTTTCAATAACAACTTGCACATTCTCACTAGTGGTCAGTGCTGATTCATGAGCTTTTGTGGACACAATAAAACTGCCTGTACTAGCAGTTGTAGTGGTTATCTGAAAATCAGAGGTAACATTCATTATCCGGTCAGCAATCTGTGGTGTGGATATATTGGGGGCCTTAAGGTCACTTCTGAAATTAATGTGTTGCTCAGGGAGAGTGTTGTCACCCACAGTGCCTTGTGGTGCAGAGAGATCATGTTGCTTTTTGGTTGTTTTTGCTGTATGGTGCTCCATATCAGAAATAGCATTCTTAGTCACATCATTAGCCTGCAATTGGGGTATTTCGGGCAGACGATCTGACTCAACAAATACAGTGGTGCCAGTTCGATCATTTGTGTCAAGCGCAGGTATAGCAAAGTCATTTGTAACAGGCACAAAATCCTTATTTATTGCCTGCTCAATCTTGTGGGTGGCCTGAATTGCAAACATCACAGGTTTAGCACCTGTTTCATTATAACCTTCTACCTGGGAGAGATTATTCTCAAGGGTAGTTTTTACTGTGTTGTTTGCTTCATCACTGCCATCTACATTGAACAGATCATTGTGGTTGTTCTCATTTGTGTTTTTTACAGCTTGATTCTCAGTCTGTATTATAGACAAAGAGTTAAATTCATCAGTGTTACTGCCATGGTGTTTACTCTTGCCAGTTGCTTGTGCTATGGGAGAAGAACTGCTCTCTTCATCTCTGTTCTCTGCCATTTGCTTTGTCACTGCATCTGAATCTTTTACTGCCAAGGTCACTATATTTTGCAGACTGTCATTCTCCTCAGTTTGATTTGTCTCATCAGCAGTCCCTAACGAGGACTCAGCATGGCCTCTTCCACTATTTGCATATTCAGTGCCAGAGTTGGCCCCCAGTATTTCTTTTTCTGAGGCTGATCTTGTTAGCCCTGTCAGGCTGTAGATGCCAGGTAAACTGTCACCTCCAAACGGCACGAGATTTAGCTGTGGTGACATGCTGCTGAGAGGAAATTGATCGCTTTTTGCTTTAGGGCTCATTGATGCCATTAGGGTCTGTACAGATCTCTGCTCGTTATCGTCAACAGGAACATGCAAAGCATCTGAATGGGCTGTCTGCTCTGACAGTTTAAATGAGCATGGCTGGCCTGAAGTCATGTCAAAGGATGAGGAGGAGGACTGGCTTATCTGAGGGGCAGATTTCCCTTGGTGAGGCTGCAACTGGCCAATTGAGATGTTGGCCTCAAATGACAAGGCTGCTGTTGTGGGTGGCCTGGTAGATGAGTCATTATACATCTGCAGTGGCAGAGCAGGATTCACTGAAGTAGATATATTCACCTCTTCAATCTTGTTAGAGGTTAAAGGGTCCTTGACATTGTATTCAAATATATGTGCTGGTATAATGTGTTCTGCTTTCTCTCTCTCATTCGTAGTGAGTGAAAATGAATTTGCCTTCAAAACTGAAGTACTGAATTTATGCCTATGATCTGAGGTGCTGTAAATAATTGATGCACTGAGAGTAGAACTGTTTACTGTAAAGTGGGACTGAGCTCGCAGGAACCCAGCTGTGATTGCCAATTGTGGGGTGGTAAGTGACAACATGTTACTGATACTGTTTAGTACAGGGTGTGCTGATTTAGTCGCAGTGCTGCGCGGGGATATTGTCGGCTTGAATGCATCACTAAATTTTGAAGTGCTAACTCCGAATGTTTGATAGAGTTTTGGGTCAATTTTTTGTGTGGCAGTCACAGAAAATGTAGTCTCAACAACTTTGTTCTGGGTACTTTCTTTAGTAAGTGAAGACGTACCTCCATGCTTTGTACGCATAGCCCCATGGGTTGACTGATGAGGTTGAATCTGTGTGTGTGTCTCTTTGGGAAAATATGTCATTCTTGGTAGTTTCGGGTTCTGAGATATCAGAGTTGAGTGTAGCGGTCTGTGATTGGTTGTCACTTTGTAGGAAAATGGCTTATTTTTCATTTCCGCAATTTGTGCTATATTTTCACCCAGGTAAACGCCCTTGCGCTCAGTGGCTCCCAACTGTTTAATCAAACTGTGGCAGGAAGACAGGTTTGTAACAGTATGCCCTTTGTCTCTGTTAAGTTCTTTAGAATTAGTAGTTGGCCCAAGGGGAACATTTGTCATGTCCTCTGTCCCAATTTCCCTGTTATGTTTAAGGTCTTCTCTGCTTGCTGTTTGCTCTCTTCTAGCCTCTGCTCCTTCTTTTGTCAAAGACATTCTCTGCTTTTCACCTACACCTTCTTCGTCCCATCCTTCCCCTTCCCTCAGATCTTTGTTTTGTCTCAAAGTTACATCCTCCTCACCAGTTAGCCCTCCACCTTCCCTTCTACTTGTCTTGGCCTCATGCTCTTCCATTTTATCCTCTTCCTTATTTTGATTTATCTTTTCTCCACAATGAATTATATTTTCTTGTTTCCTGCTTTCGATTTTATCTGATCTAAATAATTCTTCTTTTTTGTTCCCAAACTTTTCATCTTCCCTGTCATCCTCTTCTTCCTGCAACTTTAGTATCTCTTTTGACTCTTTAATTTCTTCACCCTGCTTGCCCTCTATCTTCATAATCTCTTTGTCCTCATCTTCTGCAACTACAGTCAACACCTGCTCATTTTTATCTCCTGGCTTCAGATTGTGTACTATTAGTGACTCTCTGATTAAATCCCTGTTATATTTTACAAAAGATTGGTGTGTCGATTCCACAGACTGATTGCTAACATCAAAACCCCTCTCCTGAGTGATTTTAGATTGACCTCCAAAAAGTCTGCCTATTGTCAGTCTCTTGGAGAATGACTGGCTTGATGGTGTTGTTAGAGTAAACTTGGACGCATCATCATCAAAGTCCTGTCTTGATTCTGAAAGAAACAACTTCAGAGGCACAACAACTTCTTCTGTTGTAGAGGTTGGAGTTTTTGGTTTTTTATTCTCTGGCCCTGAAGGATCAACAAAAGTCTGTTTAACAATGCTGTTTACAGTGTTAAATATGTGAGAATCCTGCGTATCTGTCAGGTGTCTCTTTGTGGTTACAGATGCAAACTTGATGGCAGAATCCGTTAGTAACAAAGTCAATATGGGTTCTTTGGTCTGAGAGCTTGGTTTAGCTGGCGTTTGGATCCTCAATACAGAGATCAAAGAATGAGCTTTCTCTGTCAGAGAGTGAGAGTCAGGATGTTTGACTGTTGGCCTACTAAGGTTGAAGGATGTTATTGCGCTATGAGCTTCAATCAACCTTGTTCTAACAGTTGGATGTGATGCATTACTGTGATCACTACCTTCTGGAAGAACACTTTTCTGACTGCTGTTGGGAGCTTCAGCGATGACAGATGTACTGCTTACTGACCCACTGCTGACGTCCGAGGGTTGGGTATGGATAAATACATTCTTGAAGTTTGTTGAGAGACTGTGGGAAGCATTTTTGGTATTCTTACTGAGATATATTAGTTTTGACTGGGGGTCCCCGATGTTCACCCTTTTCTCAAAGATCTCTTGTTCTCCATTTTTTACTGGTTTCCTTACAGTGCGAAGTGACTTTAAAGAGTGATAAAGTGCCGTGGTGTTTGAAATCAGTCTCTCTGTGACTAAAGTTTCACTAGGAGAGGTGTGCCTCGCTTGTTTCTTGGCATCTTTTTGTGTTGCTGATGACATCTCAGCAAGAGGCCATGTGTCAAATGCAACTGTTCCTGTATGCAACAGAAAAGATTTGATTTGGGAATTATTCAAAATGCTTTGACTATGATTCACAGATTTATTGAAGAATGAAGGAGAAAATGTCAGATTGTAAACTTGTTGTTCCCTCATGCCGAAACCAGAATGCTCGCTAATGTTTTGGTGACTGATCTCTTGGTTCAGTATTTCTTCTTGTTCTCCTATTGACTGTTCATATAAACTGGGTAAGGAAGTAGCAAATTGACTGAAATCTATAGCGATCTCCTCTGTACTAAGAGAGTCTGAAGAGCCATCAGGTGACAGTACAGGCAGAGCCACAGATTTCTCAGTGGACACCGGTCTTCGATCTTTCAGGCATGTCAAACACAAGTTTGTCACAGTGTTTCCTCTCACTGAATCTCCTGCTCTATCCCTTTGGAAGATGGATTGCGTCGCACTGAACAGATACTCATTTCTTCCCAAGTTTGAAATCCCCTTTTCATCCTTGCCTTGAGATCGTTTGTCATCATTGTCATTAGGCGGTGCAGCCAGGTTATCAATTACACGAGGATGAGATGCAGATAGGATTGGAACTCCCGGCCCTCCGTCAGCAGATGTGAGAGTAATAGAGTCAGTGTTTCTCTGATTCCTGTTATCCAGCTGAGTGTGAAGCCAAAGAGAGGCTTTTACTGCATCTGTGGACGAATGGACCTCTGGCTCAGAGGTGCCATTCATCACTGATTCAAATGCAGCTTGCGTGGAAGAGAAAACCATCTTCTCATAATTGGAGATCACCGGGATTTCTGTTTCAGTGTGAATCCTCAAAGCAGATGGATTGTCACTCGTTGATGTGAGAGAGCTTTGCCCATTTTTGGAAACAAAATGCTTTCTGCTCTGTGAGGCAATTATAGCCAATGCTTTTGTGATTGGTGTTGTCTCATAAGGTGCCGTTGGTCTGGTGTCAAAAAACACCACCCTTGCAGCCACTGCCGCTGTAGTGTGTTTAAGTGTATTCTCTGTAGATAATGCTTCTGTGCCATGACCAGTTGTGTTTTCCTTTTTCAAAAGCAGATCTTTTGTGACAGTTGTGCTTCTTGTTTGTTCTTCGTAGAAACCCTGGAAATCTTCTTTTTCTGCCCTGACTACACAGAAAAACGAAAACATGTCAATCAAATTTCCCCGAAAGCTGTACCTCCTAAAGGTATCAGGCAGAATAAAATTAAATTGAGATTAATTGATGTTGAGCCATGCTGTACATTTGAAAAGCTTATTCAAATTAATGTTAAATGTAGCATTATTTTAGACATTTAATGAAATGAGTCCCAGTAAGAGTTTAAAAGGACCCCTCCTGATGTGAAAGATAGGGCAAGTAAAAAGTATATCATGATATTCAGCACATATAAGAGTCAGGTTACTCCAAAACCCACAAGCTTATTTGGAAGAGATTGGTGTGCTTCTAACACTGTTTTGATTACTGAAGGGAACAGTCTTGCCCCCACTTAATTTGGGCTCATCTCCCTCAGTGATTGAGGACACTTGGAAAGAGTGTTGGTTGATAAATTAGGATGGTTACTAATTGGGCAGTATTTTTAGATGCCTGCATCTGCGTCAGCCTCAAGCATTACAGCTACAGTACAAAAAATTGCAGTCTGCTGGTAGGAGGACTTACAATAAATAATATCATGCATCCCCATAATGCTATAATGGCAAATGTTACTAGTATCACAAGGACACATCTATGCAATGAGAACGGGGATGACATGTTCCATATTTCTGCTGTCTGCAGAGGGCTGTGATGGCCACACAATAGACAGAGTATATTTAAGGTGGATTTATGCCTCTCTAATGGTGTGTTATAGTCATCCCATAGAAGCTACCTGCAGCATAGGAATTGATTAATAGCACAGCATATGATTTCACCAGTCGACTGGAGGTTCTAGCAACAGACCACAAAATATAAATGTGTGTAGCACTGGAACCTGGAAAAACAGAATTAAGCAGCCCAACTTGACAAGTCATAATTATTGTGGTCTACACAATATGAAAATGTATGTAATGCAAAGTTATTCAATGTACAAATAGAAAAGGAGCACTTGTATAAACATTAAAAAACATGTTAGCAACGCACAAATGTTAGCAGGGTATTTGACACTTTGTTGAATGAAAGCAAAACTAATGGTTTACATTCAAAACTCCACAGGGTACCTTTAACAATTTGAGCCCTGTTGCGTCAGATACAAAGTCAGTACAAAAAGTTAATGATGCTGACACCCCTCAGTGTGTGACTGATGGCTAATATATAAAATGTTTGATGTTTTTATTGTTTATTGTAGCACTAATAACAGGCAGGTTTCTAATTGAATGAATTTGTCTAGCTAATTTGGGGTCTCATCATATCACTTTTTAATTTAGTTGATGAACTAGGAGGAGGCAACAATACGTGTATTGTTTAAATGCCATGTTAAAACAATGAAGAAATAATCAGGCAGTGTGGAAGACAAAATAATCTAATTATATTAACATTGCTGTATGTGGTGAGAGTTTCTTCCTTCCGGTATATGCTGATAAGACAAAGTAATATGTCAGCCGCAGTGGGAGGTAGACGAACTGATTTACTCATGAAATATTTCACTCTATTAGTAGTTTTCTATTTATATAGAAAACATTATATTTTTATAAATGTTTTCCATTAAAAGTGAAAATGACAATTTAATACTATTCAGCTGTTATTTACTGTAAGTTTAATGTTTCATGGCAAAATGTTTTTAAAGTAGTTTATATTTTTGTGTGAAAGAAAATAAGAGAATCCAGAAAAATGTCCTCAGTACTCGTGTCAGTTTGTAGATAAAGCTGTATCATCATGTTTTTAAACTGTAACTGAGAACTATATTCAGTATTCAAATTAAAAAATATATTTTTCATAAAACAAATTTACATGAAATACCAGCAATGGCACAAATGACCTGGGGCAAACTGTAATGGAAGTAACTACTGCACAGTACCTAAAACACAAAGATAAAAAGTGAGTACATACCTGCAAGCAGGAAAAATCCAAGTGCAAAACAGTAAAGCCTCCTCATTTCTGTTCAGACTTGTTTGCAATTGCTCAAGCCCCACTGAATAAGTGTTCTTATTACTGTTAAATCCAACTGAGCAGACGGTATCAGGTGTTTGCAGACATACACAGATGGTGTCATCCCTTACAGGGAGCTTTTGTCCTCTGCAGTTCATTTATTCATGGATTAGATTTCTCAGTTCCTTTTACAGTCAGTGCTGTTACTCCGTTGCCAACAGGTACAAAAGATGTTAAGAATAGTAAATATATTAGAAATGGAATCTGAATTTTATATATAGTAAGCTGTATTTATTAATTCAAGGTACACCTGTGATATGAATAAACCTCCTCCTCTTTGACTCCAGTGATACCATGATTAATTTTTAGACAAACATCAGATTCATGAAATGCTCTATACTCTTTAATTATTTGCACCTTTGTAAAATGTAAATCGATGAAAATATGCACTGCTATGGGTGATGTTAAAAGAAGGTTTTTAATTTTCTGACATGTAAGCAAGCACAAAACAAGTCTGCAATCAAGCCTCAGAGCAGAGGCTGGGAATACTTTCGCCAAACATGCTCACAATGGCATTGCTAATGTGCTGACGTTTAGCAGGTATAGTCTTTAACCATCTTAGCTTAGCTCATTAGGATGCTAACATTTGCTAATTAGCAATTAAACACAAACTGAGGCTGATGGGAATGTCGTTAGTTCTGCCAATTTTCATGGCAGTCCATGCAAAATTTGTTAAGATATTTAAAAAAAAAAATAAAAATTTCAACCTCATGCTGGCACTAGAGGAAAAGGCAAGAGATCATCAAAGTCAGTAGGCTTCGTCCTTTGGGGACCACGAATTTCTGTATAAATTCTTATGGCAAATCATCCAATAGTTGTTGAGGTAATTCTGTGGATGACTGACTGACCAACATTTCCATCCCTAGATCCACGCCACTAAACATCACTAAAAACTCCAAATGGCCTTTTATATTCCCTCCTAATGTGTATTAACACTATGGCTTCATGCAAACCATTTCAACAGGGCTATCCAGTCACATTCAGACTTGCAAATACCCACAAACACACCTTAAACCACAAGGTCTACACTATTGACTATTTTACAGTATAGTGCAGCTATACTTGTCTTGTCTCACTGGGTACAACTCTGTAAGCCATCACAGTGGGTGTGCAAACACTATGCTAGCAGAGTTATTGCTCTGACCTTCTTACAGTGGTTGTGCTCAACATGCAAGTAGCGACAGCAGCACAATGCTGCAGTGGTTAGAGCTGTTTGTCTGTCTGTTTTGCCCTTTCTGTGAGTTTACAAGTAATCTCCATATTTCAAAGACATGCAGATCTGGCAGACCCCAAATTTAGTTGAACTGTAAACAGTCTTTAAACTGCAAATTTGTTTATTTTGAGATAATTTGTCCCTTCAGTACTGCCATCCAGGGAATCAAAACACAGATGAAAAGGGTTTTTTTGTCAGTAATATACACAAGCCTCAACTGCACCTCTCTGGAAATTAATTTTAAAAAACAAAGAAGCCGACTGCAGATCTAAAGAACCAAAAGATAAGAGAAATACCAAAGGCCGGCACAGAGGAAAACAACACTTTCACACTTTATTTAAACTTGAGATTAGAGTATGGCTGAGTATGGCTGACAAGATTGCCAGTGATACTGGCTGCTAAGCCAGCTGTATACTCATTGGTAAATAAGAGAAAGACCTTCAAGATGAACGAGTGTCAGGTTTATGTCTCTATGCAAAGTCTACCATTGCTCTAATCAGTGTCTCACTTCAAATACCATCAGTATGTTAATGCTGCCTGATCAATATCAGGTCTGAATCGAACAGTTCAATCCATCCAACAGTTTGTACCACCATACAAGTGAACTCTTCAAACTAGGTGTGTATTCAAGTATCCAGGACAAATAATTTGTTTATGTTATCTAATAATAAACACATAAAGATGGTAAAACTGACTGCACTTGCACCTCCATCCACGTTTATTTATTTGTGGTAATTAACCATATAAATTCATATGGGCATGAAAAACAAGGGCGGCCTTTGCTAATATGTATGACCTTGTTTATGCAGATTTAGCAATTAAGAGCAGAACCATATTCAAGTAAAACCAATCTTTGATTATTCTCAAGACAGCCATAGCTTTCTTAAAAAAAAAAAAAATCCATATAATTTAGCATAAATGATTGGAATAGTAACTAACTAACTAACAAACTAACTAACTAACTAGTAACCCCCAGTAGTTTGGGAAGTGTCTAAATCAGAGATTAGAGAAGAAACAAAAAGACAGATGAAAAGCAAGGAGATTATAAAACATGTCAGTGTCACAGGTTCATGTGATGAGCTTCATACAGGAGTGTAGGATCTCAAGGCCATGTAGTTCTCGAAGTTTGTTCATGTGTCTAAAATTGAAGAAAAGAGCTGATTAAAAGAAAACAGTAAAAGTGTTCCTATAGGAACAAAGTGATGTCGTTGCTGCCATCATACATTATCAACACAACAATTATACTCACATAATCAGAAATGTGCTAGAATATATGGAAGACTCCCTACAGCATCACAATATTATTCATCAGATTTTGTGTTACATCTAGTAGTAATGTATAAGATTAATACATATATATGTATATATATATATATATATATATACGAAACATGATTTCAATTCCAAACATGTAATAAAGGCTAAATTTCTGACAGAATGGAACCCATTTTTACATTTCCTTGTAAGGTGAAAATAATGAATTAAGACTAAGACTATAGAAAATGCTATGTGGTGACACCAGGTGTCCTTGGGCACCACGTTGGAAATCCCTGTTTTAATCATTTTTTCAGCAAAAAATACCAAAACTTCCTTCAAATATGAGGAAGATGTGAAAACACCGAAACCTAAGTCCAATGTTATGAAGTCAAAACTGTCTCTCTGTCACTCTCTTTCCATTTCCATGTCCTTTTTTCTGGACTTCGGGACACAATTTAAAAATACACTCAGTACAATAAAGACATGGCTCAGTCTGTTGCCGGCTATAAGCCTATCCATCACAATTAAGCAGTAGACCAACTGCAAATATTAAGAAACAGTGGTAATATTACAGCTATCACCATGCATTACCATTGTTCATCAATCATCACATGTGCAGAATGAGTCTGTAGTAGTCAGAGTGGTCAGAGGACAAAAAATAGACTAACTGAAAATATACATATATATACAATATATAATAAGCAACCACTGAATACTCACTTTGAGACATAAATATAGTAAACAAATATGTGAATATTTCAGGTCAGCATGCGCCAGAAGTCATAAATGTGCCTCGTGTGTGACCAGCTACTTTAACCAGAGCCATAACATCGCATTAACTCATTATCAGTGTGGCATTTCATTGAATCTATCAGTTCTCCTTAAGGCTAGTTTTTAGATGTAATCAACAGCATGTGGTTCATAGAGTGAGGTGAGAGGGTACCTGGGCTCAGATCGACACAGCTTCCCAAGAGCAATTGCTGCATTTTGCTGCACAGCTGTCCTCTTAGCGTCCCCTGCAGCGTGGCGCAGTAGCAACAGCACAATATCAGTGCCCAGCAGGTTGCTGGCAATTCCCTCTAACTCAAGGCAGTGGGCCAAGCACAGGGCGGCATTTCCTGACACCATCTCATCACAGCTGGAATCCAGCAAATGAAGTAAAATAGACAGTTCTGTGTGGAACGATAAATGAATAGCAAATAGGAAGGGAATAGCACTTTAAAATATATTAACACACACGTTGTGACAAAAAAATCTACAGATATACAGCACAATGCATTCACACACATTCAGTATACATACGAATGCAGACACACACACACACACACACACACACACACACACACACACGTACACACACTTCATTTGCATATTAGGTCAAACCATCAAATATTATTCATGGACTAATGAGAGGGCTTGTAAAAGTAATGTCAATCATTTCTCACTTTTATCGGACTTCAGCAGCTCCTCCCGCGCCAAGTGACTGGCAGCAGTGCACACTGTCAGAGTCTTAATGGCGTACTTACTGGCAGTATGCCCTGTTCCCTGGGTAGGCAGACACAAGAATAACAATGACATTAGATAAGTAAAACGTATGTTTTTAATCTGAGGTCACACAAATGAAGAAATACATACCTGTGGTGGAATTACTACACATACACAGTTTCAGTTTTCCTCAGCATGTTTTCATAGCATCTTTAGATAATCATGATAGTGAATGTTTACAGGTATATGTAGGCATGAACTTGATAATCACTTACACTGTGTGTAAATGCAATGTTGGACACTCAAGTTTCAGATATCTGGGTGTTTACACCAGCACATGAAAAAGTAGTTATTCTTAAAGGTGACAAAAGCGATTCTACGTAATTCTAATCCAATATACTTTTTGTCAAATTCTGCAAACATCTCCTTGCAGTCCACTAGCTTTCTGCTCTGTGTGTGCGTACAAAAAAACACTGATATCAGCTGTGTAACTGGGAAACAAACAAAGTGAATCGGACTGAGCCACTCAACATTAACTTGTTATTCCAGCCATTCGAGTCAGGATTTATGTTTCAGGTAACGTTAAATGACTTGCCCACGCACGTTCAGCTTATTTTCTAGTTTGTCAAGATATGCTGTTGTGATGTTGGCTACAGTAGCTGGAGAGTTGTGAGTATCGTTGTCTGGAACTGGTGTGCTCACTCTGGGAAACGGCCTAGTCCTCTCTCGCAACTTTAGCAACAGTTTGCAAACACACAACATTAGTTACATTTCTTGCTGTGGAGTTGTTTGCACTTTATCATGGTATTTGTCATGGTATTGGATTTCTCCAGAATCACCTACCCAACCTTTAAATATTCTACATTACAACTTATATGAAACGTCCACAAGTAAGATACAATTCAAGTGTTGATGTATTCACAGAAACATGGCTGTATGTACAGTAGCATGTACCTTCAGTATCCGCCGCATGGTCCGGACCACATCCCCCTGAACAACATGCTGAATGGCCTCAGATGACTGAGGGAGGACAGTGCTCAGTACGCCTGTGGCTCTCTGGAGGACAAAGAAGAATGCTGGCATTAGAAAAGCACATAATAGAAGATCAAGAAAGGTAGAAGGAGAAAGATAGATGGAAAACAGAACAGAGGACTAGACAGGATAGCAGAGGATCAAGAGAAAACTGCTTGCAGAGAGAACTACTGGAGACAAAGTGAATGGGAAAGTGTGGTTGATAAAAAGGTGGAGAATTGGAAAACAGAAAACTGCTGTTTCAAGACATGAAATCAGTAGGTTGTTATGGAGTGTGTTTGCAGCAACAAAGTACCAAAAGTTGAATGTAAAGATGGTGAGAGAGTTGCCAGGAAACATGTTGTGAGTGAACATGAAATTATAGCGACACTTTCAAGGACAGGATAATAAAAAGAAAAGATGAGCAAATGGGAATTAGAAAAAGATCACACATGGGCACTCTTGCAGACTGGATCTGTTGAATCACACATTTAATTATTATTACATAGACTGATTTGAGGGCGCTGTTTAGTCATTTCAGGGTATGAATTACCCAATAAAGGTGACAAAATAACTATATTTACAAATTGCACAAATTAGTAATCTGAGAGAATTATTTGTAAGTCTAGGGCACATAATAGTACCTATTAATGTAAGACAAAGTTAACTAAAGACCCAGATATTATTTCAGGAAATTGGAACTAAGAGGCCACAGAATACGAGATGAATATGAGATAATTAACATTGTTTAATGTCTGTTATTTTTGTTTCCAAAAAAACAACTTTTTAAGTTAATCACACTGTTTTGTGTGTGTGTGTGTGTGTGTGTGTGTGTGTGTGTGTGTGTGTGTGTGTGTGTGTGTGTGTGTGTGTGTTTGTGTGTGTCTGTTATTATCATATATTAAAGAGAAAGTAAGGTACAAAACAAGAAAAGAGAACACAGCAGAGAAAAAGATTGAGGGAATTATTTAAAAAAAGATGTTGACACTAGGTGACAAGGAAGAAAAAGTGCCAGCCAGGCAGTGAATGAGCTCTAAAACAGAGTAAAGAGACAGATGGTTGGAAGTGTGGGACTCTGAGGGCATTGCATAGGCAGTGTGAAACTGCTATAACAGCCATTAGCACAGACAACAGCACCTGGAGCTGGAGTTTTAATCAACTGTAATGACACATATACAGGATCCTCGGAACATTGTGGATTCCTGTTACCACCTTTTGGGGCACATTGCCAGTGAGCTCACAAGCCCTTGAAATGGCCCATTACCAAAGACAAATGTCTTTTATTTTCATCTAGTTACCTAAAAGGATGGTTTTATGCTTTATAGGATGTACGCAAGTTTGGAAAACAAAAAAAGAAAAACTCCTTCAACAACCGTAAAAGTCTCTAAGTACGAAAACTTTTCAACACAGTAATACAACCCACTACTACAACTACAACTACATGTATAATGGGTTAGGGTTTCCTAGTCCTACTATAATAATCTTTTTTTAAAACCCTCCTTATAGTGTAGTGCTAAAGTTAGGTTCACTCACAGTTATGACTCCTCCATCACTATCCCTCAGCAGGCCCAGGCAGCAGTCACAGAGTGAAACAGCATGCTCCTACATAAAGGAGATGGACAAGTGGCTAAACCAATTTTCACATACATTTCACCTCTGATTAGGTGACTGATTAGGTCACACATCGCAGTTCACACAAATGCCCCCTCGGCTCCCATTGTCCACTGGCTTTTAATATATTCTTTTACAATCAAGTATATTTTTAGCTATTGAATTTCAGTGGTTTGGAGTGAACTTTTTCAAGACACATTAAAAGACAGTTCAGCTCAACCTTATCTATGATACAGTATCATTATAAAGTCAATTAGTACAGTGCCCACTATTAAGACAACTAGGGATATCACACAAAATAAATATCACACATCTACAAATATTACACTTCTCTTGTCTTACCTGAATAACAGGAGAGGTGACAGTTGAAAGGTTCATGATCAAACCAAGCATTGGGTAAAGGACCTCTCTGTATTCACATGCACAGCACTGCTTCTGCAAGGACCAACACATTCTACCATAAATAAACAGCCAATTTAAAAAACAGCTTAACTATTTATATTGTCTAATTGTGTGATTCAACCGTACTGAGATTTTTTATTTTGTGTGTGTATCTAAATTCACTTAAATGGACAAGTGATTTGTCTTTCTATGCAAAGAGTCCAGTCTTATGGTGGTACTAACAATGGCAACCACAAAGGTTTTCCAACATTCAGAATCATGAGCAAAATTGTGACGGATGACGTCATCTTGAGCCAGACAGCCAACAGCAAATATCAGTGATGGAAGGACCTGCCGATTGGACTTGCTGATATTGCTCTGAAAAATGAAGCAAACAGATGTGCACAACTGTCCAGACACACACTCATGTATGCATATTCAGTGGATACTGTTTACTGATATGAAACTTTGTATCTACAAATCTTACCAGTATTCTTGTAAATGGTGCAATGACAGAGTCTGTCAACACATTCCTTAACTGAATACGAAACCTGTAAGAAAATATGAAAATATTTGGTACATATAAGAGAGACCTTTTATGTATATGGGTATGTTTGTATTAATGTTTGAAGGTCTTCCACTATTAAACAGAAGTAGCACATATAACATCAAATGCTTCATTGCGCCTTTCTAGTCTTCCGACCACCCAAAGCACTTTTACACTACGTGCCACATTCGCCCTTTTCACACACATTCACTCAGGGATGGCAAAGAACTAACGCATTCATACACATTCACACACCAATGCACAGCATCCGGAACAATTCGGGGTTCAGTATCTTGCTCAAGGGTACTTCAACACGTGGCGGGAGGAGCAGGGGCTCGAACCAACAACCTTCCAAATTAGTAGACGACCCGCTCTGCCTCTGAGCCACAGCCGTCAGAGATGGAGTGCGTAAAAGTTTAATCCTTTTTTATAAGTTCTTTACAATCCAGCATCACACAGGAAGGCAAAACAGCAACTCCAACTTAGCAAAAGGTGAGAAAATTAGTTCCTAGTGCATAAAACACCACTGTAGACCTATACAGTCTTGTACTTCCCAAAATACACTAATTATCCTACTCATAAAGGATAATTAGCATCGCAAATCAATTTTACAACATAGTGTAATATACATAAATGCAAATGTGCTAACGCATATACATTATGTAAATGTTTTACTAGGAGAGATTTGTAATATGTAGAATCAATTTGGACTGGTTGTGTATTTAATTTTTACTTCCAAAACATATGTGAAACATATTCACAAAAGCCCAACACTGACCAGCTGAGCTTCGACAATGAAGAGAAACTCTGTAGGATATAACACATTTTTGTTTAGTAACTCTCTTTGAGCTATAGACAAAGAAAATCACTGCTTGACACCTGACTTATTTCCAGCTGTGTTTGAGAGCCAGGGTTGTGCTTTCATGTCTATTTTCATGAGGCATCAGAGAGGAAAACAGGTTGAGAACAGCCTTTTGCCTTTAAGTGACATTAACACTTGGATAGCACATGTTGAATTATTAAAGATGCCACACTTTCCATTTCTCATGGGGACCCTTCCTGACATGATGTGACGAGGGATTTTTAAATGCATTTAATATATGGAACATGCATATGATGTGAGGGAGGGTGATATACAGTTCGGTGGGTCATAATCTGAACTCTGGAGAGTATCTTAAAATCTGTATGTCCTTGTCTAAAAATAACATTAATCATTTTCTAGGATGTGTTTTTGTTCGCTGTGTATCAATATTACTTGTTTTGGGCTGCAAAGTTCTCCAGAATGTTGACCGCTGTGTACTCCTGCTGCTGCTGCGGATTTGTGAGGCACGCCATGAGGTTCCTCACTAACCTTTAGGTCCAGATTAAGAGTAGAGCAGGATAAAGAAAGAGAGAAGGGAATAGCAGGGAAAGAGTGAGAGGAATACAAACAAAAGAGAAGCAATGATTTTGCTTCTTAATGAATATCATCAAAATATCAGTGAATATTTTGTACCCAGAAAATGTTGCTGTCTACCTTTAGACCAGTAAGTTTGGCATACTGGAGAAATACTATTGTCAGAAAATCCAATCAGCTGCAGTTGAGATATTATCAGACACACGGATAATAAATAATCACTTGGGCTTTTCGATGTCATTTTTAAAATATGTCCCAGAGCAATGATATAATGATAATGATAATGATGACAACATTTATTTAAATCTCATTAAATGGACGTGACAATTGGACTGGCAATATTAAACATATGGCCCAGGGTTGACCTAAAGTCTCTCCAGTGATTCCATTAAAGGTGCAATATGTAAGAATTGACCACCCGTTGAATTCATACTCCAAACAAATAGGTAGTGGCATAGTTAGCTCAGTTAGACATGTAGTTACCAGGCATATTAGCTCGCTGTCACTTCCCAGACTGAGAGCTCGGAGCACCAGGTGAGTGATCTGCTAGCACAGAAGCTTTGGAATGGCAGGAAGACGTTTTTTTCATTTCCAACAAAACCAGGCTCACCAGCCTCCCACTGAACACAGCTAAGTACCAAGGTGATTTACAGAAAGCTCTGATCAAGATTCTGACTTTGAGGATGACAAATGGTGGGCAAACCAAGACAGAGGGCAGACTGGACCCTACAGTGACTCACTATGGCCTCTTGAGGTAAAAATATATCTCTGCGGCACAATATATAGACATCTTTGACATAACGTCAAAACTGTAATTTCTTCACATTCTTTTGATAATTATCGTTGATTTTTTTTTGTTTTAAACTATAATTGTTACATATTGCACCTTTAAGGGGAACAGTGTGAAAGGTCTGCAAAACCATTTCGATACCTACTCGGAATGGGAGGAGATAAAAAGTGTTATACTTAAGAGAACATACAGTAAGCCTAAGATCTCTGTCTATATTCTAGTTGCTAGCTGTCACCAGTTGTTTGATGAAAACATAAAGAAATGTCTTTCAGCGACAGACTCCTTCACCTCAAATGTGTGAAGGAGAGATATCGTAGATACTTCCTTCCTACTGTTTAACAATCAGCACTGCTCCCAGTAGACCCCCCCCCGTTTATATATAATATATATAATATTTATATATAATAACAATGTGCAATAATTACTGTGCAATACCATTCCATATTTACTGTGCAATCTATTGCCCATGTGCAACTGCTGCTGCTGCTACTATTTGTGTTATCTGTTGTTTGTGGATTCTTACTGTTTTTTTTCTCTTGTACATAGTGTTTTTATTTTTTATTTATTATTTTCCTACTCTTACTGTTTTTTTTAATATACTGCTTTTTCTCTATCCACTTTGCTGCTGTAACATTGGAATTTCCCCATTGTGGGACAAATACAGGAATCTTATCTTATCTTATCTTACATGTGCACATTCAAGTTGTCAATGGCCAAATATCTGCCATGTGGCGTCTGTGAGTACAAACATAGTAATGCCAGGCATTCTTTCCGTACTGCAACATGCTCTGATGTTACCAAGTGAACGATGGACTGCCTGCTGATTGGGCATGTCATCAACATCTTTTGGTTTTCATCTAAAAGTAAAAGAAAAACTGGTTAAATATAAAGAGTTCACTGGGCACAGTACCCTGTTGCATTCCCAAAGAACAGCAACCTAGTCGACAAACTCAATTTTCACAAAAATTAAGTTGCTATATATGTGTTGATACTGAAAATATGCTTTGTTGTCTATATAGTACACATATATGTACACACATTGTGAATAGCTGTGTAAACAAATTATCACAGTTGGCATAAACTGTTTATTTGCTGAAGCCCACATAGCTTGTCAGATTCAAAGACAAATAAAGGCCTTACAAAAGAGAAGCTTGAGAATCACATTGACAAGCTGTGCAGTAAGGACACAATGCCATAATAGAGAATTATATTAGTATCTCAATCATTTCATTTTTTCGTCTATTCCCTGCTAACCCAGTGAGAGCAAATTGCTACATGGATAAAGACAGAAAATTAAATGTAATTCAATTATCTACATACCATTTCCACAGCAAATAACCCTCCATAATTTCAGAACAGACACACACAACTCCAGGCTGTCTGGATCCATTGTTTTCTGCAAGAGGCAACTGTGGAGAAACGCAGTGATCAAAGCTGAGTCCTCCTCTAAATGACATGATACAAATTAAATTGAAATATTACTGTCAAATAATGAAAGTGTTTTTTATACAAGAGTATGCCAATAAAAATGTATAGCAACACAACAAAAGATGGAAACAAAATTAAAACTACAAAAACAAAAACAAAAAAATAACACATGACAAGTGTCCAATATTTACTTTATGGTCAAATATTACTTAATAATACCAGACAGAGGTAGCAATTCAACACAATTCACAAGAGAAAGAGACTATCTCTCTCTCTCTCTCTCTCTCTCTCTCTCTCTCTCTCTCTCTCTCTCTTTTCCTGCTTCCTCAGCTGATTAGGGGCTCATTTAGTTAACCAACCAGCCAATCATATCTTTGCCATCAAATTTAAAAGGTCCAGTGTGTAACATTTAAGAGGATTGATTGGTAGTAATGGAATAAATATTCATGCAAATGTTTTCATTAGTGTATAATAACCTGAAAATAAGAATCCTAGTGTTCTCGCTACCTTAAAATGAGCCATTTTCATCTACAGAGGGAGATGCCATGATGAAAACACCCTGTTTCTACAGTAGCCCAGAACCTGGACAAACCAAATGCTATTACTAGATAGTTACTTGGTAGTTCCTCCTACACACTGGTACATAAAATCTGTTTTCCTCTCTGTTGCTGTCAGCTGTCATTTCAGTGCAAATTGTCACAACCTTTCTCCGCCCCATTCACCTCCATTTTTATCATTTCCAGCGCCCAGGTATGAGCTCACCAGAAGCATCGTTATCCATCACCAACACCACTACTACACTACTCAAGGCTTCACCACCCCCTTAAAATATGATGACATCACAATGGGTAAGTCAATAAATAACTGACTCTACTGAAGTCTCTGACTGAAAAATATATTAAGGAATTCTGCTGCAGCAGCAGCAAGGCCCTGATTTTTAGGTGCCAAAAGACACTGAATGAAGACTTTATTTTAATACAGATGTATAAATAAAATAAAGTGCAATTAGCATAAAAATGTTTTGTGTCCATACAGTATGTACTGGTACTGATACTATACTTAAACATCGTAATGCAGTTTGCCCTTCCATTTATCTACATTTGATGTAGGTACCGTGTGTAACAAAGTCACTTAGCCATCAGTCACGTTACTTGAGAAGTCATCTGTCATCCTACTAAGGTGATTGCCACTGATGTATCACTGTTGTGTCTGCCCTGCAGAAGCTTGAAACTGCTGACTGAAGGTTATAGCCTGGTTTCTTATCCTTATTTCTGTTACACGTTTTTAAGAATTGAATTGAATTTGAGTTGAATTGAATTGAATATATATATGTATAGCCATCTCAACACACTTTTTTTCCTTAACCAAAAAGTGTTTCTGTTTTGGAAACCTGTAGGCTCAATACAAAGTAGCACCTTTTTGTTCATACCTTTTTCCACTTTATATCTTAAAAATATAATTTAGGCTTTTTGTAGCAGTGCCAAGAGCATGTGAACTCAGATTGTGATCAGGACATCCAACAATGTACTGGCCTTCTTTGCTACATGACTCACATAGGTTTTAGTTGTTTGTATCTGGCTCACAGCAGTATCCTTATTGGCTATTTTCACCAAGCTCAGAGTGCCATTTATTTGCACTCTCCACTTTCCAGACACTGTGTTCTAACTTGAATAATGACAGCACTAACAATGGACAACATAGGAAGTAAGTGACAAGTTAATAATAACCTTACTGATCTGACATGCAGGACTCATAATTTGTATCTTGTACAAAACACCCCCTCTCTCTGGGACAAAACACAGGGCCTTCGCTCATTTCAGTGCTCATCTCAATCTTCAGTGTGATCATCTTTTCCTTTTTGGGCTATCACACAAACAACCAGAGAGGGAGAGAGAGTGAGAGAGAGGGGGCGAGGGAGGAGAATGATCTCTCTAGTTTAGGCCATCATTGTCTCTGTATGCCCCTGTCCCTGGGTCCATCTGTCAATGCACCACTGAGGGCTGACAGCTACCTCTCTCTCTGGTCTCCTTACCTCCTCACCATGTCATTGCTGCTGACGATACTAAAGCCATTGTTCAGCCTGAAAAGGGTCTGGCCTGTACCTGTTAGAAGAGAACAGTAGATAGTGTAAGAAGACAGAAAACTACATATCATCACCAAGTAGCCTGGAGGTTTTAGAGAAACACAACACCTCTCTCTTTCAGTTTAGCTCGTATTGTTCACTGGTTTACAGTCAAGGGCACGAGAGTAAAGGATAAATAATATGTTGAGAGCGTAATGCACAGTGAGGAATGGTCTATTTTATACAGAAAGTAGAGCAGAGCAGTGAGAGGGTACTTTTAGGGGAGAAAACTTGTAATGTCAGCCCTGCTGAGATCCTTTCAGTTGTGAGTTATGTAAGTTTTGCCCTTTTCTGTTGAATGACACTGTGAGACAGGCATTATATCATTTGACAGTACACTTTTTATTCATCTAAATGAAGAAAAAAGAAAGATTGGATAAGAAATGTTTGTTATTCTGCAGTGGGTAGCCAGTACAAAATACTACAAATAGTGAATACAGGTTAAAAGTTGTGTTTGCTGAACAACAAGCTTCAAGCTTCACTCCATCCAATTCCATCAGCCTTGGCTGTGTGGTCAAAATACCTGAAGTTATACAAGGCATGCATGAGAACAGCAATGGGGTGAATCATGTCAGAAATACACAATAACCACTTATTTCTAATCTGAAATAAAACTAAATAAATACTCCTGAGAGGGCCATTGACCTTGATGAATTGTACCACTAGTGCTGTGTTACAGTAGTAGCAATTTCTGCCTTTTGGCAATAGCTAAAAACAGTTATATTAGAGGTGTGGAGTTTCAAAGTCATTTCTTGGGTCAAAAACATTTACAAAAATATCAGCAGTTGACAGAGGAGGGGTGAACAACCTGGTGGAGAGCAGCTGCTGCTTGTCCACAATGGCCCTTTTTCATACAGTAGAGGAATTGGTAAACAAATATCAGTTAATTTAACTGATGCCATCATTATGAAATGGGTGCATGCAGTGAAACATTTTGTCCCAGCACAAGTTTTTTTCTGTTTTTCATGTTGAGAAAAAATAATGGTCATGAGGAAATGTTCCTATGTAGCCTGTTTGGCTCGATTATTCTATAACCCATCTGAAGCAACAAGAACTGTGCTAGAACAAGAGTGTGGACATTTCTCAATTCTAAGATGCACTGCGATGCAGATAAGGAAGATTTTGCATCATTGTAGTGACACATTATAATTGGGACTTTGAAGCCTACAAAAAAATCAGAGCCTACTAACGCTGATTATCCTGCTTCAGCTGGTTGTTAAGGTATTACGTTGCAGTGTTGCTTTCTTGCACTTTTAAAAGCATTTTCTAAATAAAAAGGGAGTTCAGTTCAGTCCAGAAAACTGAGGCTGTGGTATATTGAGATGCATCGAGGTGCAGCGAATCGTTGACAGATCTTTGAAGATTGACACCTCTAGCTAGAACTAAGCTAGAACAATAGACCACAGTAGCCAGTCAGGGTGCTGCTATTGTGCATGGACCCCTATGGTTACCCTACTATTACATGTCAAAATGGCTGCTTTGAAAAAGGTCTAATAGAATATGATTTGTCCCATCATGTTGCAGTATAGGATTTGTTGTCTCTTCTCTTTACTGGTACCTTTATGAGCAGTTGTGTGAATCAATGCTCTTGTTTAAGTTTTATGAGGTTTTTTTTCTTGATCAGGGAACGTTGCAAGAATTTCTGGGTTTCCTGACAACAACTCACTCTTGTTCTGAAATATATATAAGCAATGATAATCTCTGGCATATTCCAGAGCCCCTGTCCATCGAGAAGACCTCAGACTAGGCTGTCATAAATCTATAAAGCTAACAGACAGGTACCACCATTCACTAGCTACCTACTCTAAATCTGACAGGGTTGAGTGCAGTTATGCCACTGAGGTTATGGAATAGACACCTGCTATCACAGGTGTTTCATTAAATTGTACCCAAAACAGTTCCAGAAGGCTTAATAGTGTTTTTGCTGTCAACCCATAATAACCCATATATCTGCTGTACACTAAATACAATTAGCATTGCCTACGCAACCCTGTACCTACAATAAATTCTATTACAATATCTTAATAGTCGTGATTGTTAGTTTCAACATTTCTTAACTCATGGAACAGTTGACACTGCTGGCTGGGAACAGCACACTCAGCAGTTCAGCAAGCAAATTACTTCATCATTTATATACCAAGGGAACATCTGATTCTTTTAATTGAGATGATCATAAATAGATCACAAATTAAATCATACTAGCATTGGATCACCCAGCATTGCAAAAGAGTAAACAATGTGAAGAAAATTGTTCTGCATGGTATTTTTTATGCAGCAGTTCCAAGTGTCATCTTATAGTGTTACACAGTGTTATGGTATATATACCTATCCTCTGCTCAGTGGCAGCACTGAGGTTTGACTCCTCCAGTGTGGCATTATAGTCTATATTGGAAATTTGCTCACTGTGACAAGCAAATGGAGCATGAAGAGATATCAGTGATGGACAGTGTGAGGTTTTCCCTCTCTTCCGTTGTCATATAGCAAGACAAAAAACAATTTGTTTTTTCACCTTTCACCTGGCTAAGAAGTTCACTGAGTACTTAAGTACTGTACAAACTCTCTTTTTCTCCTCCAAGTCTTCTTAACCTTCCTGGCCTGAAGGCGATTTTAACCATAGAACCGGGAAATAGGTGGACCAGTGAAGCAGGTTATTGAGGCAAGAGTGGACACAAAGAGATTAGAGGAGAAAGATAATTGTGCAAAGCTTGTCCCAAAATAACACTCACAGTCAGTAACTGCTTGTGACAGAATCTCAAATCCTCCACAGTAATAGAAAGACATCTGGCTGGGCCTTGACAGCTTCTCCAGCAGCTGGGGCACTGTTGTGGCCTTCCCATCTCCCTTGTCAAACTCTTGCATCGCATTCACCTCCTGACTTTCTCTCTCCTCTTCCAAATCTACCTGGGTCAGGTATCCTGCATGGAGAAAACAAAGGAGATTAAAAGGGTGAAGAAGAAAAAGTAGACTGTGATCTGACAGAAAGTTATTCCATAATAGTAATGCTAGTAACATTGTCACAGAAAAGAGCAAACTTAAAGTGTCCTATAGTGCAACAGCCAACCTGAGATGACCACCCCACCCCCCTATTGCCTTAAACATATACTTTATAGAAGTAGGTCTGTTGCCCATGTATTAGAAATGTAATACTACAGCAATATAGGTCATGATTTTTTTAAGCTGAATGAACAATTTTCAAAGGTATTTGTAAATTTAGATTTAAAATTATAGCACTATTTACTATGTATTTTTTGGCTGGACAACATCAGAGTGACATTAAGCTTTAGGTTTTCTTCATTTCCTCCCACTGTACAAAAATTAAGCCAAAATATCTTGGATATGGCCGCTTCCTATTTTTCACCATTTTGAGTCTCAGTCTGCACAGTAGTGATCGGGGTTGGCACTGCAGTATCCAGGTCCCGCCCACACGCCCAGCTGGCTCAACTGTGAGCAGAGCCTCCTCTATACTTTTGATGGGCTTCAGTCTAACTTTAATTTGGGGCATTTTTGGCAAGACTATTCTCAACAATGTATAAATGATTAATTAAATAATAATCTTATATCTCACATCAGAAAAAAACATGGATGTGTCCCAAATCTTCGTACGCGGTCCTGATCAATGGCCAATAAGGGTAATTATCACGAAAGGACTTAAATACATTAAAGTTTTCCAAACCTAATCTCTGAAAAACAATAATGTGACTACCTTTCATCATCTTCTTTCTCCCAGGTTCAATTTCCACTATCTTTTCAAAGCAGTTTCTGGACTGAAATATAGAAAGAGAAAGAGATTTGGTTCATCACTGCTTATATGATGTGCTTTACGGGTCTCTTTTTGGAGCCGTGGAAATCAATGATTCCAGCTTCTGCAAAAGACTACAGTATCTGAGCACAAGAGTGTAGTATATAGAAAAGATTTTTACCAGACATCAATGTTACATTTCAACCTATTTCACAAAGAATGGACTGAAATAAACCGATTTTACATACGATTGCTGTGAGGCTAGGACTACCTACATGCTATGTGCTCAAACTTACTTCAGAATCGTATTAAATGTGCTCTCTATTCCAGGCATGCAATTATTATTAATTATTATTATAATTATATAACCATATTTCTGCTGTAGTTAGATTAAATGCTAAGTGTAGTGCTTTTTGTATACAAGAGCAATGTGTAAAAAAAAAAAAAAGTGTAAATAGATGTAATTATACTGACCTCATTATATTTCTTCAATGCCAGATATGCTTTCCCCATGTGTAGGTTAGCCTTTATGCACCTCTCATTACACTGATAGAGACAAAATGATCATGGGAGTGTACAGCACATCTACATAATGGTGAATATTTCTGCACTGATAACATGAGCACAGTAAGAGAGAAATGCTCAGTATGAACTTCAGAGACACACTACTCCAGAAATCTTGGTATGCATACAGTGATATGATTACAGAAAATTTGGTTGCTTTAGAGCATATTTATCATTCAAAACTAGAGTTAGCCTTTTTCACTGTAAACTTGCATTGACAAAACGTCACTCCAAACAAACTACCAAATTGGAAGGAATGCATAAACACTATTCATTTTTTGTCCACTTTTTCAAGCACAATGTTCTCCTGTGGGAATATTTTAATTACCTGCATCGTGCATCTATTACTGTTGTTTGAGTGCAGCACAGCCCATTTTCCCATCAAACATAACTCCTCAGATGACACTATAAGAAAAGGGGTAGCAACTGACTGACACCAGTTTCTAGACAGGCCTTACCTTCAGAGCCCATTCACAGTCACTGATGGCTTCCTTGTACTTTCCCAGCTTCATGTAGGCCTAAGCAGATTTAAGCATTGGATAGGTGGTAACTCGGCATCAAAAACAGACAAAAAAATAAATAAATGTTCAAAGAGTAAATAATGTGATAAGTGCTGTGTAGATGTTTGGTTATTAATATACCGCAGAACAGACTTTTAAGATGCTGGGTCTCTGGATGAGATTATATTGAATCTACAACCTAATTGCATGTGACCATAATCACACTAAAACTAGAATACATAGCTGGCAAGCCTCAGGTTGCCTTGAGACCTGTGAAATCGAAAGTTTCTTCTTGATTTCTTCTGAGGGACTCTTGAAACAACTCAATTAAAATAACAAAACTTCTCCTACAAAACACAATTTCTGTTTTCATTGTAAAACATTTGAAAGAGGAAAAAACATAGGTTAAAGATATTCACTTGTGCTCGGTTGGTGTACAATGGCTGCATGTCCCGTAGTTCAGCCAAGCCATCACTGTAGTACTTCACAGCAGTTTCATAGTCTTCTTGGGCGTAAGCTTCATTCCCCTTGTCTTTGAGTGCTGCAGTGACACAAACAGTGCAACATTTAAATGGCTGCATTGATAGCCAAACAGAGCAGGAAGTAGCACAAACTGTTCATTTCCAAGCGCATCTTTAAGGAACGGAGAATTACACACCAGTTGCCTTTTTCTCTTGTACAATCCTTCTTACTCTCCTGCCTTCAGCATCTCGTTCCATAATCTTCATGAAATTCTCTGGTTAAAAGAAGAAAAACCTTTGAGTATCAGTGCTTTAATGGAGAAGGAGGGAACTGTAGAGATATTTGTCAGTAGGAAATACTTCATATTTCATCCTAATTTTCACTTTAAGGCACCTCTTGTTTATCAATCACTGAGGTCAGATTAAAAATTTCTAAACCAAGTTTTGAAAATCATTTTTTGTGACTATTAAAATTCCACAGGGTTCTTACATTGTGTTATTGTTAATGCTAAAAATGTTCTTGCAAAGACAGAAAGGGTATTACTCTAAGTCCAATGTAATAAATATCAGTCTCCTCAGCCTCAAGCACAGAATTACTTTTTCTTCCTCATTTTGTGAATTGAGTGTATGACGTGTCAACTTTAATATTAGTGGTTTCACACAGAGGTGTGAAAGGTGTTTTACCCCCAGAAGAATTGAAAAAAAGTGTTGATTTGAAATGTTCTTTTATATGGAATACCACATTCAAGGGTAAGACTAAAATTATGTGTATACAAGATACATATCATGAAAAAAGTTGTATACGTTATAAATGTACTGCACGATAACCTAGAGCTGGCTCCTACTTGGTTGTTTAATGTTTGAACGTACAAGTATTTATATAGTGTATTGTCTTGGTGGCCTAAACTGTCAATGCTACGAGTCTCCTAGCCACTAAGCATTAAGATGCCTGTAAACAAACAGACCAACAAAAGCATATGTAATGTAATGTCCAATCCATTCATATCATCTAATCCATAGCTGTGCCCTGCTCACCATGACACCATGACATACTGACAGTTTAATAAGTGAGTGAAGAGAATGAAATTGACAAAAATAGCACAAAAAATGGGGGTGTCTAAACTAGTCAGAGCAGGCAAGTGACACTAAAATTGTAGAGGGTGATTGAAATGCTCAGGACACACCTTGTACCACATCTATCTTCCTACTATTGCACATGGTGAGTCAACAACCTGCTAAACAGACACAGTTGATTAAAAAGCACCTCAGGGAATGTCACATCTGCACTCAACTTCTATGGAGCCACATAAAAATAGGTACATACTGTATACGTCTGCTTAAACAATGTTTCTGTTCAGTGCAAAGGACAACCAAATAATCTGCTCACCTGGACTTTCATTCTGCGGTCTCTGTAAACCAGAAAAAGAACGATTAAAAGAATGTAAACAAAAACCTTCCTAGTCACTGTTTACAAGGCAATGTTCAGCTTGCCCCCTCTTACAAGACAAGAAGCAACAAGGTAGAAAAAAACAACAACAAGGTGTCACTGTATGTGCTGTGTTGGAAGGACAAAGACAGAAAGACACACAGATTGAGTGAGACAGACAGACAGAGAGCGGCAGAAGGAGTGCAACTGTACTTGGGTGACTTTGTGTGCATGTCTTTACCAAGGAAGGCTGGAGTGGTGGGTTTGTGTTGATTGTAGTCTTGTTGACTTTAGTCCTGGAGGGTTCATCCAAGGCAGCGAGGTAGCAATCAGCTTTCTCCATTGCTTTTTGCTGGACTTCGACATCAGAAGACTTCAGATCCTTCACTATCTCACCTAAGAAACAATTATTGATATATTTCACTGTTTACAGCCTCGGCTCACAGGTTCATGATCAATAACAATCACTTATGTTGTAAAATATAACTTAGTTACATTTCATATACTTTGTGTATCAACTTTGCTTATTTCAATTCATACATATTTTTCATACTGTAACCTATTTGTATGTAACGTTATTTTATATTTCTCATATAGAGTTGGTGACATTAAGATATAACGTTAACATAACGTTATAACGTTAGATAGCGATAGATAGCGTTACTTGGTAGAGGTCGCTAATGTCTAAACTTTCGGTTAACGCTATAATAATATAAGTTAATATAATAAAGTAAAAAGTAAAAATGTTATAACGTTAGTTTTGCTCCAGTTTGGCCCAAAGTGCCATTTTATCTAACGTTATTAACTTAGCTAGCAGTCAGTTAGCGGTACATAGCGTTAATAATGTTCACAACTAATTATATTACTCACTTATGTTGTCAACATTCTTCAAAAAGCTCCCCCACTCTTCAAGATTGTCCATCATGCTTCAGCCTGCGTTTATTATTGAATAAGCTATCGCTATGTAACGTTAGTGCTATTTTAGTCTTAGCAAACGCTAACTTAAATTTACTTCACGCCGACTTTTCCGTCTTAAGTTTCAGCGTTGAGTTACCATAGTGACGTGATGCCTTCAGTGCCGCTCGGAACTTGAATTTGCACACAATTGTCGTTATGCGACAGTACTTCCCTGAAAGATTGTAATAGCAGAATAAAAGTCAGGGGAATGGTTTCCCTTTTGAAATTGTAATTTTAAACTTTCCATAACAAATATCATCAATACCTGTATGTACGCTACCCATTGTCATTTATTTCAATTGTCGACTGCTCCGTTTGCTAAATGTCATGTGTTTCATTTAACACTTATTCATCACTTTGCCATAAGTGCGCTGTGTTTCTTCATGATTGTGATCTTCACAAAAGTTATTAAAGGCAACACTTCTCGCCCTGGATTCTGGTGGTCAGCTTTAACCCAAAACAAAAGAATAGTCAAATGTATTTTTTATTATCAATATAAATGATTTAATGGCTGCCATTACTCTTTGATATTTTCTTCGTCAGACTATGAAGTGCTTCAGGGCCCCCCTTTCCCTGCACATATATTCTGTGCATCAGCTCAGTACAGAGTGGCCAAGTGTATTTCCCTAATATTTCAATGAACCTGCTTTTAAAGTGACCATCTTCATATGGGGACATCCTACACCGTAACTATCGTCTTCCCCTTTACTCAGCAACAGATCAACACTGCCTCCCTGTGGTTAAAGACACATAAAGGGACACAGCTATGCAAATCAGCTGATTATAGCTCATTATATAGTAGATTAACATTTAATGCTGTGATAACCTTAGGAAGGAGTAAGAGCTGACTTATCTACATAAAAATCTAAATGCATACAGTAGGTAATTAAGAATTGAACATTCAACAAAATGAATAGAGCAATAAAGGCTTCGATAAGCTTCATCAGGTGAAGAGTGCACCACAAATTCTATATGGATATTAAAGAGAGTGTTTATTTTGCTTGTCAATTAACATAACTACAGGGTCTGGGAAGTGGCTGCTGTGTAAGAAAGGTGGCTGAAGGCATTCTTGTATGTAGCAGTGGCATTGCAGTTTCAAATTCTTCCTTCAACCAATCGAAATTTAAGTATGGACTGAAATTACTTGTGCATTGAGGTGTAGTGTAGCTGCAAAACTTAACCTCCTGAGACCCTGTGAACTCATATGAGGACATTAAATTTTTGCTGTTCTGCACCATGATACTTAATTTGTAAGAACGTTGACCCATCGACCTCATCTGGGGACACTGCCTGCACCACCTAGTGGTCTCATAACAACATTACAGTCATGTGATAAAAAACAAGATGGCTGCAATACCTAGCAAAACTTTTTATGGCAGCTCCCGACCGAAATATGGACATGGCAAGAATCCTAATTGAATTTTATGAATGACACTTGTATATTTATGCACAATAACATCTGTAGCTTCATATGGCATGCATATTTGATCAATTTGAGCAATATTAGCAAGCTACAACATCTGTAAACATAAAGTACTCGTTTGAGGACATCGGGTCTATCGTAATTTTTTTTATCATTTATATCACAGGAAAAATTTCCTTTTTGAGAGCTGAAGAATTGCTCAGTGCGACTCTGACGTTGAAGAGCTATCAGATGGTGAAGAGAATGATCCTCTTGTGGGGGAGTTTGTTTCATGTGGAGCAACTAAAAAGTAATAAAAGTGCATTTTTTGTAAACAAAAGTGCAGATAAAAGTGTAAACATGTTTACACCTCATATGTGGACTTTGGTTTTGACATATATCTAGAGCACGTAGAAAGCAAAAATTTAATTTCAACTAAAATGAGGTCCTACTAATCCCAAATAGTAAGGAGACATAAAAAATGCACATCAAATAAAAGTCGGGGTCTCTGGAGCAATTTGGTCAAAATGCCAAAGGACATGCTAGTAATCTCAGGTATGCACAAGTATTTACAGATAACATCAATTAAGTAATCAATTTGATATTATAGTTATAGTTATTATAGTGGATTTATCCCACAATATGAAAGAGTCGGGTTAGATATTTCTTATCAGTGCTGTTATTGGAGGAAATCTCCTAAATTAAAGTTGTGTTCAGCTGATGAAGACAGACACTGTACTGAGTTACTTCGGATGTGAACAATGTAAGCTCTCACAAACACACAATGGGGAATCAACCCTGGGCACAACTGGACTTTATCAAGTGTCCTTAAAAGGAATGGGAGCATTGACCTCATCCCTTCAGGGCAACTGACCTCATGGTTACATCTCAGTCCCCAATAACCACACACAATGAGGCTCTTTATCTTCGTTTGCTCAAAGCAAATTAGGACAAAAACATTCCAGAGACACATTACTGAGCAGTCTAACTTGCCATTAACTGTGTTCTTGTTTTCAAAATATGAAGTTGCAGTAACAGTAATTACATCGACAATTTGAATGGTTGGTAACAGAGGTCTAAAAATTGTGGTGCTGTTTAAATCTCACACATTCCATAGTGACAGGCTGTTAAAATCTTAAAATAGCAATCTGGAAAGCTTTCCACAACCAGGATCTCAAAGGTCGAGAGGTCACATTCAGACACTTAGACACAAAGGGAGTTCAAACAATGATAAGTATGATGACACACCAAACACTAAATCAAACAAATGCATAAAAAATCAACTGAGATGAGAAGTTATAATTGCTTTCAAAATAAAGTTAGTGTGTAGTGTGCTGTTTATGCATTGTGTGTCAGAATAATTGCAAGAGCTTGGGAAATTCGTTGTACATGTCAGCTGTTGAGAAATAATAAGAGCTGTTATTCGCAGCATGCAGCGGGACAAAATGTATGAAGGCCTTTCGGCTTACTGTATAGACAGGGGATTTTGTAGGAGCCACTGCTGTGGATGCTACAATGTTGTGTCTCAGAGAATGACACATACAGAAGACACAATGCTGTCATTGACTCCATGCTTTCCTATTTATCTGCATCTGCACAATAAATCCATTCAAGGCTCCTGGCATTCTTCTGAGGTCAATGTCTCAAAAGATGGACTTTACTACGGAACTGCACTGCAAACTAAATGCTAACTGGACCTTCCCAGTATTATTTTTAGGTTTTATAGTTACAATTACAGTAAGTCCAACCTACATTGTTGGACAATGTTACATAACTGATGATGAGTTAAGGAACACATCATGGATCCATAATTTGATCTTAAGACATAAAAAGAAAACTGGTTTGAAAATATATGGCACAAATGTGCAAAAACTGTAATCCAAACAACTGTATCATCACATTGATAAATAATAATAAATAAAGCTGCAAGCAGCATTGGGCGGGACCTCGCACTCCATGCAACTCGGGGTTTATAACTGCCACTATCACTATGTCTGAATATTGTCACGTAGACATGTTCAGGGCGGGACTCTTATCGAACACGTGAAATTTCATTGAGATTGGACCACGTATGCTGAAGTTATGAGGACATGTTCAGGGCGAGATTGTTACAGAATATATAAAGTTTATTGGAGATTGGACATTGCACACTGAAGTTATGAGTATTGTTTTATGGCAAATCAGCTTAATTCAACAAGTTGTCACTGGCACGTGGTTCGACTTATAGTCAAAAATAGCTCAACTTTTCATCAACAGTTTGTATGACCACAGAATTCAAAATGGCCAACTTTGACGGCACGCTACAGACACAGCCTTCAACGTACAGTCTCAAATAGCACAACTTTTAATCAGCACCATTTTTTGACTGTACAGACCAATTTTGAAGCAGATCCAACAAATTCCCTAGGAAGAGTTCGTTCAAATACAATGCGAAAAGTTTGCCGAAAGTGAAAATCAAAATCAAAATGGCTGACTTCCCGTGGGGTTTGGGGTATGGGTCCAAGGGGCTTCTTTGTACGTCTCTGCACGTTACATGTGCCTACCAATTTTCATACATATCGGTGAAACGTGGCACCGGGGCTGCTTTTTTTAAGTCCTGTAGGGGGTGCTACAAACATGATTTTTGGTATGTGAGCTACAGGCACCAGTCTACACGTGCCCTGTGAATTTCATATTCATAACTATTACGGTCTCCGCACAGTTATTTACCATGCTACCAGAGCGCCACCTAGTGGCGGACTGTTGACACATTTTTTAGGGAGCCTCAGGGAGCCATGGGCAAGCATCGTGCTAAGTTTCATTTAATCACACGTCCCGATGCAGAGATATAAACTTCTTCGTTTTAAAGAGTGCCACCTTGTGGCGATGATTTCAAATTGTGAACGATGCCTAAGGAAGACATGAGGAACTATGGACCCAAGCTTGGTGTCAATCGGACATACCAATGTGGAGAAATGGTCCACTTCCTTTTTTGATGAAAAATGTACAAGAAGTGCTAATTTTTTGAAATATCAAAATGATTTTAATTACTTATTACTTATTAGGACGGTCCCCAGATGCTACATGAAATTTTTTTTGCGAATCGGAAGTAGTTTCTGGACATTTCGCGCTCTAGCGAAGAAAAATTATAGGCGGAAGTGGGCGTGGCCTATATGGGGAGATTTAGCTCCATTCACCGAACGTGTGGATACCAGGTTTTTTATGATTAAACAACATACTTCCTATCCATTACTCCTTTTATAGGTAAAGGGGCTTTCCATTTCTAAACTCCCTGAGCCAGACAACGAAATGTAAAATAGGAAAAGCCCCCTCAGAATCAAATACATTACAACAAGACCTTGAACCAGGTGAATGACCATCACTGACTTACCGTCAGTGTACACCCAACTCAAGCTCCCTGATTGCAAATATATGACTCACTGCCATTTGTGGTTCAGACATTACCTTGCACATCTGATTTACTGGCAGTACAACCGAGACATGATAAATGGAGGCTATTCCACTGCCATTAACCAATTGTACCTGGTGCACAGTCAGTCATCTGTGCTCACTCAGGGGGAATGCTGCTGCACTGTACTCCAACAGGGACGTATTGTGACGCACTCAAACGCCACTCAAAATTTTCACGACAGTTAATGTCTCAAAATATTCTTGATTGCTACAGAGAATCATGTGAATCTATATTGTTGACAGTGAGAAAATCTGCTCTTTGATTAATAACAGAACAAACGTAATTAGCATTGATTGTGGTATTATGGAATCACTTTTCCCACCAGGGGAGAGCAGAACCTGGATCACTGTTACACACCTTTCAGAGACTGCTACACATCCCTCCCCTCCCCTGCTTTTGGAAAGGCAGGCCACTGCTCCATCCTACTGCTGCTTTCATATATAGGCAGAAACTGAAACAGGAAAAGATGGTTTCCATTTACAAATGGAACAAAGAGTCTTACAGGAATGCTTCGAGACAGCTGACTGACAGATATGGCAACATCAATAAATATACAGACTCTGTCAGGGTATATATGTAAGTCAAAGATGTTTGAGTTCCTTTGTGTGTACATCACAGAAGACACTACACACGAACACTGTGGTCAAGAGAGGTAGTCATGTAGCTCTATTTTCTGAGGAGACTGAGGAAGTTTGGCATGAACACCAGCATCCTCAGAAACATCTACAGTAGCACCAGCAAGAGCTTGCTGACAGGCTGCATCATCAAGGACCATAGCCACCCAGCACGTACTGACTGTTTTCTTTGTTACCATCTGGCAGACAATATAGGAGCATGGATACACGTTTTTTACCACCAGGCCATCAGGCTTCTCAACTCAAGACCATGACTGCTACTGTTGTACCAGGACTGATACAATGTGCAATACTCTGTATACACTTGTCACTTTTACTTGTACACACAAATCCTAATTTTTCATTTACATAGTGTAGTATATATATACTTATGTATTTAAACATATTTATTTTATATTTATATAGTGGTTGTTACAACTTCGACAGGGCTCTAGTGTTTTCCTAGTGTCTCCTTGTATTTTTTTCTTTCCCTGTGTTTTAAGTCGTCCCCTGTCTGTCTTTCCGAGTGTGTCTGTGGTCATCTCTTCATCTGCAACTGCAACTATGTATCAACCAACTCATCATCCCAACCATCCTAGTCTGCTCACCTGACTCCTATCATGCCATCAACCTGCAGTATAACTACCCTGGCTCTAGCTACACTTCGGCCTTTGATAACCTAGTTTTGCTATTATTAAGTCTCCGCCATCACCCACTCACAATAAAAACGTTATCTTTATAGATAAAAGTCCAGCAACTCAAAGTCCAGCATTTGAGTACTGTTTTAAATTTTACCAGTGATACTCAATAATTCTCTATACACTTGTCACGTTGATACACAAAACATAATTTTCATATTGTTGTTATATCATTATTATATATTTTTTAGCTCATCCCATTTTTATAATTTTCATTATCATTTGAGCCTCTTTTATAGTCGAGCCAGTAAAGCTCAAGTCACAAGATTCCCAGAAGGCCAACTTCCATTCAGTCCCATTGGTTGCTCACATAGCTGTTAGTTTTATATGACACCTTAAACTCCATCCATAAAGGATAAAAAGGTGTGCGTCACAGACCCCGCCAGCCATTTGACATTAGAAAACAAAGCTCCCATCTACTTCAGGTGCGATAGAGAATGGAAGAAGGCCAGGGTCGTTCTGTGACTTCATCCTACCTCGGGTGGTCCATCTGTAACACTTTATGCTGCTGTCTGCCTCTAGGCATTGTCGCCATTGTCTTCTCCTCCAAGGTAAGTAACTTTACCTTAACATTGCCCTTTTTTTGATCTTCACACTGCTTTCTACTTCTGTAGTCTTAGTAATTTTTGTCAATACATACATTATACATTTTGTAAATATTTTTTGCGTGAAGATTAAAACTAGTTTTGATACTTTTTTAAGGCACAAAATGCTAATGCTCGCGGGGAATCAGCTCAAGCAGAAGATGCTGCGAGGATAGCCAGGAACATAAATATCATTGCACTTGTCTGTGGGATAATTCTGATCATCACTGCCATCGTTCTCACGACCACGGGAACAATTTAAAGGTACCTGTTGTTGTTTTTTTATTAACTTCCCCTCCCCCATAAACAGTACCACTAAATAGAAACAGATGGCCTTTGTGTGCACACACAAGTTGTATATAGAAGTATAGTATAGTAAGTATATTGTCTGTGTTCATTCAAGTATCCAAAAACAGGTTCTAGGAATGCTAATAACATGATTTGTCTAAGGAGAAATCTGTTCCTGCTTTACATTAAAATACTTGTTTTGTTGTTTGGTTTCAATATCTAGACACTGCAACATTAATGTTTTTGTGGTATATATATATATATATATATATATATATATATACATGTTTTGTGTGTGTATATATATATATATATATATATATATATAATGTGATGCAAAGTAATGCTAAAAAATTATGCTCTAGGAAAAGTTAAGTCGTATATGACAGATAGCAAAACAATAGTCTTTCTTTTGATATCTGTCATTCACGCATGCTTACTCATAATTTCCTTGCTGTCATATTTTGGGGCTGTGTGATATCAGCTGCATTGTAAGACTATCTTCTTGCTGCTGTCTTTTAAAATATAATTCTCTCTCTCATCAGCTTCATCATTTCTTCAGCCCATGAGCCTCAACAGACCACCACCAGTCTCTGGACTCCATAGGGGGATCTATCTTAGACATCCCTCGATTGCAAAATGAGAGTATAAGTGCCGAAGACTTTCTGTCAAGACATCAATCATTTGTTCTTCTGTTATAATAAACAATTATCTTACTTCCTTCACATGTCTCTTCTGATTCAACTGAGTTCACTTTACCAACAGTGTCTCTCCTGTCCATGCCAATTACTAAAATAAGGGCTGTAAAGCTTTTGTATCAAAGTTACAACATTAATTATTGATCTTACGTCAATACAAAAGACAACAAAGCATAATAGCCTCACTCCTCAACTCAAAATTTGTTAAATTAATGCACTTTCATAAGCTCATATGCAATCCAAATGTGAAATCCGAAAGAATGAGAAACACCACAGTGAGAATTCCTTGAGCAATAAAAATGGAGTCAAATGGAGTCCAATGATGTAGTAAAGTGATATCAGTTTATAAGTCTAATATGCTCCATGGGTGGCATTGAGACTTGTCAAGACTTCCAGATGTCAGCAAGAGGAGACTGATATGTATTGCATCATGTTATTATCAAACCCTTTCAATGTGTCCCAGACTTCCTGAACTCTCTAACAGTCCATTAATAGAGGGGCTGTGTCTTATCATCATTGCAATAAATAATTGGACGGTTTTATGTTGTTACACAACAGCTCTAACATGAAGTCTTCCCACAGATATCAGTAATCAAACATCCTAATGTTCTCTGAGAGATACATTTTTCAATTAACTCTGTGCCTTCATTAAGTATTTAAGTAACAAGTATGTATTATTTTGTACATTAGTTCCCTTTTAGTGACTGTTCTGGATGTTCCCCAGATTAAGTTGACACCCTCTTTATTTAGTTGGATCATTATTTTCTTGGGTGGGGAAAAGATTTTTGCAAGGAAAAGGAGCTTGATAGAATGAAGGTTTTAACACTCACTTGTTTTGTAATTAGATCTTTAGATTAGATTCCCATTTTAGTACCTCTTCTTTAATTCCACTATCACTCTTCGATCCAACTCCTTCAGTTGTGTTGTTATTTAGTTGTGCTCCAGATGCATTTTCATATAAAATATAAAAAATAAAGTATCCATCTCTGCCTGATTTTTTATAACAACGGTAATGTTGTGTAAGCAATAGCTATGAATTAATGTGCATGGTCTGCACAAGTTCTAGCTTAAAGGCTGCGATTGTTTCTAGGTTTAATTAGAGGGCTGGTGTGCCAGTTGCAGGGACATGCCAACAGGCAGTTGGGGAGGAGGAGGTACATTAGGGGCAGAGCCAAGTGCTGGCTGCGAGGCTGCTGCTGCTGCATGGGCAGCTGAGAGTCAGGTTGCTGCTGCAGGGTCAGTGCCTGAAATGGGCCACTACTCACAGGTACCATGAGTACCCTTATTTCTCACTGTATACCACCACCTCCTGGTGAATCTAGGTAAATACTTATGTAACACTTAATTTCTTTCCCACCGGCATTCTACAAATACCCGCCCTACTCTGCCTCTAATTGGCTAATGTTTGTTTTTCTCCATTGGTTTGGTTGATTTGGTTTAGGCATGAGGAGTGAGCTGGTTAGTTGCAAGATCAAAAATGTCAAAGTATGAGCAGAATATGGATGGGAAAGAAATAATGCGTAATTTCATCTCTGTGTACGCATAGCTAAACCGTACTGAAAATTAAAGTTAAAAAGTTAAAATGGATAAAAAAATACACCTAAACTATTGGTTAGGGGCAGGGCAGGGGCTAGCTGTAGTTGGCTGTAAAGTTGCTGCTGCAAGGCTGCAAGGCTGCAAGGCTGCGCATTTATGCCACACAGGCTGCACTGACCCCACTGACTTGCAGTCACATCACATGGCAACCAGATGTAGTACTTGTTGTTTTTTCTAGAGTCACGACTCTGAGAAACTGTACTACATTAAAAAAATATTTGTTTAATGAACTTAATATAGTTATGTTAACAATTTCCACAAAACTGTGTTGTGTTCAAACTAATTTAATACTATAATTACAGAGAAAATAATGAACTTATGTGAAACCAACAAGACTGTATTAAGTAACTTCAATATTATCTGGTCAAGTTATCCTTAATTGATCAGGCAGTGTTCAGCTAACTAAACAGGCATTCATTACACTGACCTAACTCACTAATTTATGTGTAACTCAGCTGCATTGAGTAACACTAATTGAACAACCCCTTGTAGTTCCAACTAAACTGACTTGAATAATCAGTACTTACATAGTTTTCATTGTTATCAAGCTAGTGAATAATGTTGGACTTACTAAACCTAGTTATGTCAACAATTTCCACACAATGTAGTTAAGTAAATTCAAATAATAATTTATTTTTTTTTTTTTTAAAATTATTTTTTTTTTAATAAAAAAAAAAAAAAACAAAAAAAAAAAAAAAAAAAAAATTAAATTTTAAAAATTAATTTTTTTTTTTTTTTTATTTAAAATTTTTTTTTTTTAATAAAAAAAAAAATTTTTTTTTTTTTTTTTTTTTTTTTTTTTTTTTCTTTTTTTTATATAAAATTTTTTTTTTATTTTTTTTTTTTTTTTATAAAAATTTTTTTTTTTTTTAATTTAAAATTTTTAAAAAAAACCAAAAAAAAAAAAAATTTTTTAAAAAAAAAAAAAAAAAAAAAAAAAAAAAAAAAATATTTTTTAAAAAAAGGGGGGAGAAAAAAAATTTTTTTTTTCCCCCACATATTTATAACACTTTAAATAAAAAAATAATATATTGTTTTTTTAAAGATCCATCCTATTCATGTAGAACCATCTACATGAATAGGGTGAACAAATGTCAAGTAAAAATACTTCAAAATTATCTTTTCCTCCCTGCCACTTCAGCATTGTAGGGGTAAAAAAAACAAACAAATCAGTGCAGTGTTTTCTAAAATTAAATCACAAAGGGAAAAAAAGGAAAAATAAAAAAGTAGTCCAACGTACATTTTCAACAGACAGTACCAAATCTTATGAACAGGAACTTGGTCAACGTTTGATCACAGCACCATAAACACGATTTCGATTTGATTCTCTCATCCTCCTTGCTACAACTTTCAATATTCACCCATCACTCTCCATTTCACATTGTTGATCTCCACTTCTGCAGCTGACGTGAATTCAAACTTCTCATTTGTGTTTTTCAAGTTTGTTATTGTCTCTTTTTGTAAACATTTTCTCAACTCTGTTAAACATTTAGTGCATCTGATCCACTCTTCACAGTTCACAGTTCAACATGCAGATCCAAAAATCTGTTTTCTGCCAGATGGTTTGGGATGGAATTTGTCCTCCAAGTTTCCTCTGTGCTGCTCAGGAGCACTACACTCTAAAATGTTCCTTCAAATAGTTTGTTCTTTAGCACTTGAGCCTTTGTTGAAAGTTTGTTGCCATCTAGTTCCATCACAAGTTTTTGCAGAACCTCAAATGTGTACTTCAGGTTTGTTGGATAGCTCAGGTCCAGTGAGTACATGAGGCCAAACAAAATGGCGACTGCATTTGCAGTGTTATCAAGGTCATGGAGCACTTCCACACCTTCAATGATTATTCCAACATCTGCCAGGCCATCTGTAGACTCTGCACCTTCCATCTTTATGGCAAAGATTCCCAGGACTGTCTGGTCCATAGCCTCCTGGTTGTCTTCAACATCCTCAAAAACAGAACAAATACACCTTCAGTTACAATATACACACCATTTATTATCCATCCAGCCTCCAATAATACCTTAAGACAGTAGTTCACAAACTGCTTTTAATGTGATTTCAATGAGGGAATTTTACTATGGAAGCATGTCCCAAATCTTTCTGTCTGTTAGAATGTCAGGCAATCTGATGCATTTTTCTTGTTGTCCATAAATGTCATGTTTGGATCCAAGACACTAAGGAACTGCCTACTAAGAAGTTTTGTGTGTGTACCCTAAGCCTGCATGATATCTTATTCGTCTGTGTGATAGACTTGTCAAAAACTTCTAAAATAACAATCACATTTTCAGTTTCTGGAGAGAAAGTACAGTAGAAACCAAAGGCCAAAATACTTACCATGTACTCTCTTATGAGATTTTCAGGGTCTTCATTGAGGTAAACCATTAGTGCTTTCAGTACACAGGCTCTTCTTGTTTCAACAGCATCATTCTACAGCAGAGAACAAGGGAAGTGTGTAAGAGTAGTTATATTGGTATTGCATTGTGCAGCAATTACCACTACAGATCATCACTGCTCAGCCAAACTGGTAAGACTACTAATTTTCCGCCCTACAGTGGCCAGCTGGTTCGTCTTCATCATAAAAATAAATTAAATAAAAAGTACCTTATCCAAGTCTGCCATGATAGTCCTTATTTTCCGCCCTGCTGCTCCTCCTTTTCTTTGAAGATTGTAATCAGCCGTGTAGAATGATGATCCAGCTGTTGCATGAATTTCGATCTCAGTGGTACAGTGGTGATGCGAGTAAACTCTGCTTCTACCTACAGACATTTAACAAAGTATAAAAATATCAACACAATACAGCTCAAAGGCAATAATAATCAAATTACTGGACTAACGAAATGTTATTGTGACTTCCTAAGATGAAAATTTTGTCACATGATCAGGTATTGTGTGGATCATTAAATTAATGCAATATAGGACAACAACAAGGATATCCCTTAGTTATTTTTCCCAAAAGTTATAATTTTCACAGATATGATTCTGTTACCCAGTTCCAATGACCACCACATGCTTGCAGTCCAACAAATTTGACACAATGCTTTTCTGGAAAATTACATCACATGAATAAAGACAGTTCACCTTGCATTTAATAAATTCATAATTCTAATTTTCACCTTTGGGTGAAGATTAGAGCAGCAAATAATCTTGAGATTTTTTTACAGACAAAAAAATGCCAAAATTGTCCAGTTTCCCTCTTACTCTGAGTGTCTGTGTTGTGAGTAAACAGACATTTGAAGACATAATTTTTATGATCAAATTGATGAAAATAATCTGTTGTTGCAGCCCTAGTGAAGATTCCTTTTAATGTCATCCCTTCACCCCCTAAAATGTAAAAAACTTAGTTATGACTGACCTCCTGCTCAGAGAAAAGAGCTGGCCACCTTCTTTTGAATTCAGCAATGAAAGGCTTTTCTTCAATCACTTCATGCCGCCTGTAAGCAAATGTCTTCTCCATTTTCTCCTTAACCACCTGTTGGTTGTTGCTCTTTCTTACTTCGGACAATAATGCCAGTCTCTCTTCCTCAAGGCTCTCTTGGGATTGTCCTGTTGGATAATCTGGACAGTAGTTCACTTCTGCTCTTCTAGCTTTCTTCACTTGATTTGGAGATGTGCGTGGATCACCTTGTTTACGCTTGAAGGAATTCACATTCAGCTCGGAACATCCGATATTGCGCAGTTTTGTGCGGTAGTTTGCCATTTTATATTTCAAGCTTATTTTCCACCCATAAAAGCCAGAAACAGAACCTTGCTCCTTTAAACATGGTTTTTTTCTTGAGTGTTTTTCAGCTACTGCATCAAATTCAGCATTGCACAGAAATTCAGCTTTAACTAAATTATTATTTCCCGGGTAAGTTTTATATTTGATTATCTGGGATGCCAAACTTTCAAGAATGTCTGACTTCATTCTTGGACTTGGACTGAAGAGGATACCATTATTTTGAAAGTCAGTATTAGCACGCTGGAGTTGGAGCTCGACATCATAGACGAACTCAGGCACAGGAAAGACATCTGGCCATGGCTCACATCTGAGGGACGATGATGATGAGCTAGAGGATGAGAGAATGTCAGTGTCCACAGATGAAATGGAAGCAGTCTCATCCAGACTGGGTTCCACTGAGATAAGGGGGGGAACACTTGGGAGGTAAATCAGTTTGAGAGTAGCTTTGTTTTGAATGTCTGAGGTGGACTTCAGGTTTATGAACTCATCAAAGTCACTGTCCTTGTATTGCAGTCTGAAGTCTCCTGCCACCTCACATTGTCTCTTTGACTTTTGGCCTTTTTTTTCCTAAACAGAATTTTTTATTCCTGAAGCATTTTATTTTGGAAGAGTTATTTTTCAAGGATGATGCGAAGCACTGCCGGTGTAGCCATATGCTTGACAGGTTATTCTGAAGAAAAAGCAAAAAAAATTATTAAAACCATATGTACATAGAAGTCTGAGCAGACAGCATTCATTCATCATCAGTATGACTATCATGGGGATTAAAAAGCATAGGGATAGTGTAAAGAAGGTATCCCTCAGAAAGAATGACGCACAAAAGTCAGACACTTGCTTCTAAATTAGCTTACTGTTTATTGTGAATCTTGATTTTATATAAAATTTAAAAAAATTTTTTTAAATATTATTTTATGATAGTGCAGTGTAGTGTCATTGTATGATGTTCATTCTGGCTCAAATAACCTCCTCCTGAAGCCACAAAAAAACCTATATCTTCTTCTGACACATTAAGAGGCACTCATGTTCCTGTGTAAAAATAGCTGTCTTTGAAGAGTTATTTTGTGTATCATTTTAACCTGTATTCCCATAAAAACGGTCAACATCAAATAATAATCAAGAATAATTACCAGACACGTGTATGTATCTTTTAAGGGTTACCATTCGGGGGTTCCACAATTTGTAGGTCAACCAGGGGATAGTAGTCAATCAGTTCACTTAATTCAGCCAACACAATCTCTGTTGCTGAGGATGCTTGTATCTCAAAAAGCGCTCTGTAGTGCTCTCTGAATTATTTTTATTTTTTTTATATATAAATAAAAATGTTTTTTCCAATATACATATTTGATCTATCCCAAAAATTCAGGCAATTCACCAACTTATCCTTTCACAATTACCATTTCCAATTGTTTTGCGTATGCAAAATGCCATTGGTTTAGGCACCTGAGAAGTGAGCTGTGTTAGTCTTGCAAGATCAAAAATATAGCTTCAAAGTAGTGAAGCAAAGAATACCCTGGCATGGGAAAGTTTTTTTTCCAAACAAATTAACTAAATAATGCTTTTTTAAATCTTTATTTTTTATTTTTTTTTTTTTTTTTTTTTTTTTTTATTTTTTTTTTTTTTTTTTTTTTTTTTTTTTTTTTTTTTTTTTTTTTTTTTTTTTTTTTTTTTTTTCTTTTTTTTTTTTTTTTTTTTTTTTTTTTTTTTTTTTTTTTTTTTTTTTTTTTTTTTTTTTTTTTTTTTTTTTTTTTTTTTTTTTTTTTTATTATTATTTTAATTTTTTTATTTTTTTTTTTTTTTTTATTTCCCCAACCCACAAAAAAAAAGTAAATTTGAACATCTGTGGATACTCTAAAGGTTATGCCTAGATTTATTTCTTTTGTAACTGTACTACTTTCCTCATTTGTCATCAATTTTTTATGGATTAGATGTTTGATATTCAGTGTAAAGCAGAATTTAACCAAAAGTTAACAGTTAAGTTTAGGTACATTAACCATTAGCTATAGAAACAGGAAGGTTTAATGACCTCCCTGAGGAGAAAATGTGTGATTTAGGTGACGATCAAGTCCAATTCATTTTATTGTTCAATTGCTACTCAAAGTTGTAAATCCATTTTCAAGTCTCCTCTATGTATAGTTACTCGCACCGTAAAGCTCAAGATCCAGAAATGTCCATTTCTGTTAAATCTCAGATAAGTGGTGTCTATTTTCTCTCCATTGGTCGCTATTGCTCTCATGCAGCGCCTTAAACCACACCCATGAAGGATATAAAGGTGTGGGTCATAGCCTCACCAGGCACTGGATCCAGACACTTGCAAACAAAGTATAACTCCCATTCACTTCAAGTGAGACAGAAAATGGAAAGCCAGAGCCGTGGTGTGGCTCCATCCTACCTGGCATGGTCTATCTTTAACACTTTATGTTGTTGTCTGCCTCTAGGGATTGCTGCCATTGTCTGCTCCTGCAGGGTAAGTGACTTTTTCTGAACTTCAAACTTTTTAAAATCTTCATACTGCTTGTATCCTTCTATTATTTTTTATTGTTTTCCAACATTATACATTTTGTAAATACTTTTTTTTCTAGTAAACTGAATTACATGTAAATTAAAATTAATTTAGATCTTTTTTTTTAAAGGCACAAAATGCTAATGCTCTTGGAGAATCAGCTCAAGCAGAGGATGCATCAAGGACAGCCAAGATCCTAAATGTCATTGGACTTGTCTGTGGAATCATTTTGATCATCATTTTCATCGCTCTCAAAGCCACACAGCATTAAAGATGTTGGTTAATGTCCACAGATTCTTTGGAATTTCAGCCAAGCTTTTTATACAATGAACTTCCCATCCCCCTCCCACAGGATCACTAAAGAAAAACAGATGTCTGCATGTGCCTGCATGCACAGCCATAACCTGATCCTAGGCATAGTGATTGTAAAAACCAAAAACATAATTTGCCTAAGGAGAAAGTCATTCCTTTTTAACAATGAATTACACATGTTGTTGTTTGGTTTTGATCAAATAAACAATGCAACGTGAATGTTTTTGTGATTGTTGATTACAAGAATCAAAGCAATGTCAATGTTCATTTAAAGGTTAGGATGGGAAATAATGCTGCACAAATAAATTCAAAAAAGAGAAGAACAAAACCAACAATTGAGTTTACTTTAGCGGCAGTGTCTTTTCTTTCTGGCAAACAGTATGCCACTGACTAAAAAGGGACAGTAAACCAGAGTGAATACCATACTTTTCACTGACTAGACACAAAAGTTGCAGATGTTTGGGCTGAATTTTTTTTATCAAAGTTACAAAATGAATAATTAATCTTACCTCAATACAAAAGGAAACAAAGCAAAAAAGCCTCACCCTCGACTCAATTTTTTTCAAATTAATGTAAGCTGGTAAGCTTATCATATATTTTTTATTTTTTTGACAAAACGATGCAAACAAAAACTGTGAACTTATTAAAGGTAACACTAATGATGTTTAGTGTAATGTGTTGCAGTCATTTTTATTTAGTTGGGAATAAGGTTTAGGGTTCAATTTAGGGATCTGGTTTCGGTTAAAGTCGTGTTTATGAAACCAAATTCAAAATCCAAAACAATGAAAAGCACAACAGTGAGTAGGTACCATATGACTCATACTATATGGTAATCATTCATTAAGATCTTTATTGAGTTTCACAATAAAAATAATATGAAAACAGTATATTAAGCAATAAAGTGCAACCAGTGTAAAGTGCAAAATATCCATAGAATGCAGTCCACTGATAAGTCCAGGAAACGCTGATTGGTCCAGACTTCTCTTCCGTAGGTCAGCAAGTAACAACATGAGACAACAGCTCTACCAGAAAGTCTTCTCACATGCAGATTTCAGCCATCAAACTTCACTGACGCTCTCAATTATTTACCTGGAGAGTCCATGATTTTATGGATGTGGTGAATGGTTTAGAATTTTTAAACTAACATTTCTGCACACTAATATGGATGCATAAAGGTACATATTTTTACCCAATCTGGTCTCCATCTTTCTCTGAAACACCAGAGCTCTTAAGTCTCAAAATTCCTTCAAGATTGGAGAACAGATGAATGTCTCTGTGTTTCCTGTGAAGTTCCCCAACTTCCTGCTCCAATAATCAGAAACAGAAAAACAAGAAAAATGCAAGGAAGGCTCTGGTTACTTTCCTCTTGCAAAATACAGAGTCAAACAAAATAATAAACAATCATGCCTTTATCTGAAGTTTAAGTAGCAAGGTGTAAACCATGCTACTGCAAATGATCATAGGAAGTGCAAATATTCTGTTCTTACATCTTCAGACAGCAACCCTCTGTTTGGTTTATGAAGTCTATAAAGCAGGGAGGCAGCGTGAGAGTCTGATAGAGTCCCTTTTAAGCCCCCTGAAGAGGCCCCTTGGTCCTGAAACAAGACACACAAATTGGCTTCCCGTCCAGAGGGGTGCACGCCCAGTCTGGCCTGAAACAGTTCCCCCAAACATGCCTGCAGTATCTGTGATATAAAATCAACAAAACTGAAATTAATGCCATACTTTTAAAATAAATCCAACCAACAGTAAACCCATAAAAAATGATAAAAAAATTGTAAAGTTCAACTTCATATGAAGATAAATTTGACTTCAAAACGTACTCTCACAACTACAATATTTTCCCAAACCGCTAATGATTCATGGACACTTGAGTGTTTGCCTGCACCTTGAAGAAAAGCCTCTGGAAGGCAGGACTGGAGTCAGAGCTCATGTCTTTAATTTTGACATGGGACAGACAGTGGAGCAGCAGCAAAGAGAAGCCTCCAACTGACTGAAGCCTCTGGCGACGGACAAAGAGGGTCTCTTCTGCTTCCTGTCAACAGAGCCAGAGCCAACAGAGCTGTTCTCAGCAACACATTACAGATATCGAAAAACATTTGCATACATAATTCACTGATAAAAAGCAAGTATAGCGCCACATTGCATCACATGTACAATGCTGCATGGCTGGTCATTTGAAAGGAAATTAATGAATTCGTTTTACATTTTAGTTTTAATGATTAACTGGAATATATACATGAGAAAGTGCAACAGATGGGAATGAGGGCAAGAAGAGGAAGACCCTACTTCACCAATACACCTCTACGGTCTGCTGCAATTAACAAGGATAGATTGTAATGTCCCCCATTAAATTCTACAAATTCTAGATGGCAGCTAGAGTTGTTTTGTGTTTTGCAAAGTAATCTATGTGTCAAACTGCATGAGCAGAGAACCACAAAACAGCAAAAACCTGAAATTCCAGAAACAAACTTTAAAAGATTAATCCCATGCAGGAAAGCTGTTTTGCTGGTTATTTACTGATTTGAGGGGTCTTTAAGTCAGACCGCTCTTTCCTGTGAGCAGAAAGGGGTAAACAGAGATAGTCTTTAGTGTCGAGAGATCTGCAGGACAAAACAGGATGTTCTATAAAGCCTTTCAATGTTGGGACTGTTTACTGAACTGCCCCTTCAGCATTCGTGAGCACTCCAAAAAGATGGATGCAGCAGATGGATAGAGCAAGCTCCTGTCACGTTGTCTGAGCTGCTAAGCTTTAATATTCAGGTAGAAAGAAATTTTCTGCTGCATTTAACATTTTTCACACACAGTCACATCCTTTAGTTAAGTAAAAGTAGAAAAACAATAAATTAAAAAAACTCAATCACAACTAAACTAAAATGTTACTTCAGTAAAAGTAAATTAACAGCAAAATGTGCCTACAGTATAAAATGTTGTACCTCGTCAAACCAGCTGAAGGAACCAGTTAAGCTTTACCATCCACACGTATTCTGGGTCTTCCATGGATATGTTTTTTACCCACTGGTTTCAGCTGAATAAATTATAACAGGCCATAATTCAATACTGTACACTGTACGCAATACTGTTTTGACAGAGAAGCACAGAATATAATAGTGATAATAATAGTGGAGGTATAAGTTCCTACAACAGAAGGGGGGGGGGATAAAGCACATAATGTCCTCAAATGTAACTCAGTGGGAGTCACAAATATGAAGTAAATCCTGGGATTTGATGGTTTCATGTGAAGCTCTATTGTTATGTTTCAAACAAGCACGGCACTGTGTGACATCCCGGGGCTCGTCCAGTACATTTCCTGAGTTAGAAGCTTATTTGGATTTGGAATTAGTACTATTTGTGTCACCTTAGATTAGCATGGGTAATGGTTTGGGATACAGAGAGTAGGATACAGAGTGAATTAGGCTTAGGTTTATTTATGTATGACTTGAGTTGGAAGTCTGGGTATTAAAGCTGACTGTGAGGAGTCATAGTTTGACACGTCATTGGTTTAGCAGTTGATTGTGACTGAGATCCGTTTGTCTGTGTATACATAGGTTTTGTTAGTTTGCTTGAGGTTCGTTCATGGTTTATTGCTTTGTTTTGGTCAGTTGTGCAGATTGTTAGGGCTACAGCTTTAGTGCTGTCTTGTGTAAAGATGGGGACAGTTTCGGAAATTTAGGGCCAATAATGTTGATTGCTGCCTTGGGGTTCCTCCTTTGGGATTTGTTTGTAAATCTTGGTTGTGTTGCAGTGAAAACAGAAACTGAGTTCTCAAGAGCACAACCCCAGAACAAAGGGGGGGTCGCAGCTTGTGCACATGCATTCCTCGCTCTGGTGGTTTTAGTGCATAAATACCCACTGTAAGTTACTGAATGAAGACAAGAGTTGAGGTGAATACGTTTCTTGGTAGGTAGGTAGTAGGAGGGCTTTAATTTGCATTGCACCTCAGGGATCAATACTGTCCTGTTATGGTTAATGTTGAGGAACCTTTGAATAGTTGTACAAAAGAGCTTGTACAACATTGATGTTGGAGAAAAACGGTTTTAATGCTGTGTTAATGGAAAATAATGTTTTGCAGGCTGCATTGCAGAGGCCAAGTGACAGTTTTTGTGAGTCTTTTGTTTCTCCTACGGTAGCTCTAACCTTTAAACGACAGAAAGAGCTGTTGCAAATGGAGAGGGATAAATTGAGCATAGAAAAGGAACGGCTAAGGCAGTCTGTAAAATATCTCTATAGGGTTTGTTCACAGGAGGTCGAGCATCACCATGGTACACCGATAAGAATGTAGGAAGGACAACTGATGTTTCTGTTTAAGCCACTATGCCACACCTATAGCCACTATGCACATATGTAAACAACGAGGCTCAGCTGTGGTGGATCATCTGACTGAAAAGCTGAAGGGAAACATTTTAATTAATTTTGTCTGCAAAGGGAAACTTTTGCTAGCATTAAAGCTCTGTTGTGTTCTGCTGCAGCTATACCTCCCCAATTGGATCAGCCTTTCAAGCCTACCGTGGATGCAAGCCATATTTAAAACAGGAGATATACTCCTTCAAGCTGACAAACAAGGTATATGTCCAGTTAGCTTCTTTGCCAAGAAATTCAACTCCTACTGGTGGAATTACTCATAAAAAAAAGCGCTGCCATTAATCTTGGCTTTGCAGCACTTCCATCTCAACCTTGACTACATATTTTTGCAGCCTTACAACTTTGCAGCTTAACTTATAACATGACACCTACACTGTCCTCTGCAGCCTCTGTTTCCTTTCCTCTTAAATTGTTCTTAGGTGCCAAGGCTGCTGAGGTTGGAGAAGCCAAGGCAGGAGAGGGGAGGATTTGTTGTATAAATTGTCTGAAACACTCAGATTAAACACACAAACACTGATGGGTTGAAGAATAAATATTGTACAATATAGGATTCCATATGCCTTCACACAGAAAGCGAGTGGAGTGTCTTAAAGGAAAAAAAGGAATAAATCACTGATTTATAGTTTTTAGGCAAACAAAGAAATTGTATGTGATAGGCCCTTTGCTGCTCATGTAGAAGACTTCCAGACACAGTAAGAATAAACTGATTCAAGGGAATGAATCTTTATATCCATCTATGGTGACGAGGCTACTGAACAACTGGTCTCAAAGATTGTATGTCTTCTTTCTGGCCTCTTCAGGAATGTGCCATAGTCAAAGTGTGTCGACTAAATCTCTTTTGAGGTATTTAAACCAACGCAGTTACAAAAGCATTCAGAAACAAATATAAAGTGAAAGTTGTCATGTTTGTTTATAACACAGATTGGTTAATGCGCTTTGTTTAAAGTTTAATATTTTATGCTGGGCAACAGCGGCATTGACAGAGCAGAGGGAGAACTGGGAAACTGTGCAGTTTAAATAGACTGCCAGATTGGAAGGGTGTGCTTGGTTAGTGATTATGTATAGTGTATATATATATATATGTAGTGAGGCATGTCGTCTGTATAATCGTGTGTATAGCAGCGCAGCTCGAGTTGACTGCGTGAACTAGCTCGCAGGCTTCGCTCCATTTGTTTTACACTCATACTCATACACTCATCCCTCACCATTTTTGTATTGCTTACTAAATGTACTTCATTAAAACATTTAGCATTATTTAGATACTATGTCTGTTATCTTTAGACAGCATGCCTATAATACAAGTATTCTTGATAGGTGAGAAACTAACAGCCACACTTTATTTGGGTTTTGAATGATCTAATCTCTGGACCTGCCTGCACTGAATACAACAGACAAAAACAGGAGCTTCCCAAGAAACAGTATTATCACCCTTCTCACAACCAGTTGGTAGTACAGCCAGACAGTATGTCACCTTCAAAAATTCTGTGATTTTGGAAACATTTTTTACATCCATCTAAAATGTATTTTAAGTGTTACTTAATATGAATTCTCTGCTTTATTGGTATTGTTGTTTTAGGTGAATCACTTGTGACTCTATTAGTCAATGTATTTATATGAATACTTACAAATATCTTTCCTTTTGATGCCAACAAACAATATTGCACTGTTACTGAAAACCATAAAACGCCTTCTGTGTTTACCTGATAAAAGAAGGAATTTCTGAAGGCATTGTTGAAGTAGTTGTTGTTTGGGAGACTATCTGCTATCTGAAGTGAAATTTCTGGAGTCTGTTGGAAAAGAGAACAAGAGCCCACAGTACAAAGGAGCACACAAAAGAAATAATGCATTGAGGCTAATATGTCTTGGAATGAAATTAACAAAGAAGAATTCATTAGTAAAGAAAAAGGTCAGTTTAAAGCCCCAGAGCTCTCACACTAAAAGCCAAGTCACCTTTTGGTCTTTAACCAGGATACAGGGATAGTTAGAGGGTTTCCTGCCTGAGTACTTCAGGGTGCACAGAGGCCCATAAGAGATTACAATTAAAAGATAGCTTGGAGCCAGGCCACTCAAAGCTTCAAAATTAAACAGTTAAAGCAATTACAGAATGAATAAGTGACAAGGTTGAAAGTAAAACACCAACCAGTTTTAGATTATTCAGTGTTTGTATAAGGAATAGTCCATGCTTGTAGACCAGGAATTCCCTGGGGTTTAGGACTGACGGGTCCAAAGGGATCAGCTCTCCTTCACATTCCCACTGAGCATCAAGGACATCTATAAAACTCTTGCCTTTGTCTGGAAAAAACACAAAACACAACACTTACCCAGTATTACAGCTCACTATATCACCTTCTGGCAAAATAAAATCTTTTCATGAAAAAGGCCCCAATGCAATTTGCACCTCACGAAAAGGGCAAATCACAGACATGCACAGACATGTTGAGAGATCTACATTACCATCCCTTGAGTCATACCATTAGCGTGGCAAATAAAAGATGCAGTTTCTTCATAGTTACACCAAGGTCTTCTTCATAGAGCCTCAGTAAAACAGATCTGATGAAAGATGTTTATTTAAACACCCAATTCCCTTAAGCCTAATTGACATAGTATGCCTAAACACTTGAAGTTTAGAGTTTACCATCTGGGATTTATTAAGGCTCAAGAGAACAAAAAAATAGGAGCAGCTGAAAAGCACGGAGGCTGTGCTGAAATCTAAAGAATTCAAAATTAACGTTGTAATCTGCCCTTTTCACTAAAGTTCACCATCACATAATGGGACCCTTATTCATTATTCATAAATATGAAAAAAATACTCAAAGAAATCAAGCCTATATTCAAATCTTCTCCAGGTAAGTTTGATTTGGAGAGAAAATATCTCTGATGTGTGTGCTATGCTTGATTATCTGTGAATACCAGATGATTATGCTGTCTAGTGGTGTCGTATATATATGTGTGTGCGTGCAGTTCATATGTGAATTCCTGCATGCAGTTGGTGGCCCATTATTCAGTTAAAAATAGACAACCCCAACTGTATCCGACCTACCAGCGAGCTCTCCTTTAAGAACCCCTGCCCCACAGGCCCAACCCTTCAACTGTAGCTGCACCTCTTTCAACAGCTGGAACAAAGGAGAGAGCTCCAGCAGCTTGCCCCACTCCTCCTCTAGGGAATAAAAGCAACATGGATGGATTAAGTGAATGCGACACACCACATGTCACACGTTTTAACTATATATTAGTTTACATCATGACGTTACCTGGAATTGTGGGGACAGATATATGTGTTGGCAGAGAAGACTCTTTCATCGGCTGGCTCTCTGTTGGGATATCAAGAACAAAATTATTTGTTATTATTAAGGGCATAGATCGACATTTTGGGAAATATTTATTGGTGTTTTAAGCTTAGCATAGCATAATGACTTAAAAAGCTTGTTAATCAACTCATTTACATTTCCTTTGTTTTAATAAAAGTGAAGAGATTATGTTGTGTTTTTATCGGTGTCATGTGCAGAACTATTGCCAGGCAACTTCATGGTAACAACAAGACTCAAGATGACCCTGCTGCTCTCCTAGAAAAAACTTTGTAAAGCAAGAACTTGGCCTTTTTACACTTCGGTTTTTGTACAAACAAGACAGTTTGAGTGTTAATTAGTTAACTAGTTAACTGTTAGACCTATTTTGTTACCTCTGGACAGAGCTAGCCTAGATGTTTTCCCATTTCCACCATTGACAGTATGTCTTTATGATAAACTAAGCTAACCAGCTGCTCATATTTATTAGACTCATATAACTTTGACAAGAAAGGAGGTACACATATTTTCACTTAAATTCCCTCCCATGTGTACATGTGGATGTGTGGATATTATAAGTATATGTAAGTCTATTACCAGAGTTTAATAGAGAATGTGCAATGGGTACATACAGTGCAGCTCACTCACACACAGCACTGACATAGAGCACAGCACAGGACCACACGGGGTGAAAGGGGTCTTACACTGAGTACTACTGGGTAATTTGAGCTGCGTCTCACCCTGGGAGTGGATTCCAGAGGATGTGGTGTGTCTTTGTGAGTTGTGCGTCGGTGTTGAGCTGGCCTGCAGACCCGTGTCCTGGGATTGAGCTAAATTGATAGGCTCCATCAAAGATTGGGTGGAGATTCCTTCAGAAACACAAACTGTCAGAGATCTTGTAAACACTGCAAAAGCCATAGATCTTTGCAAAGTGAAAAAAGTCATCGCCTCAAGCAGCTGTTAGGCTTTGTTTAGTAAAGTGAGTTCTCTACAGGCCCAAGACACATAATGTTGAGGGAATGCACTTTGCTAGAGGTAGTTTGATAGAAACATGAACTATTTACATTTTCTTACTGTAAAACTCTTTCTAGTGGTTCTGGACCCGCCATAAGATGCACATATACCGGCTACGTCTTAGTGTAAACAGCATTATTTCCAACATTGTTAGAATCATCATTATCGCCTGCCTCACTTAGTCTCTTATCTCCTTCTACTACTGTCTCCAGATACATTAAACAGAACAACATCCCACACTATTGATCTCTTACCCCAGGACACATGGTGAAATTTCACCAGCACAGTGGCTGTTTTGCTCCTTTTCACTCTCCGCTCTATCCTCTAGTATTTTAACAATGACCACACATCACACTCTTTATACACACATATATACAGACATGTTATCACAAGGCTTGAGTGGCTTGAAAAGCACATACCTTTCACCACAGGCACAGAAGTTGTCCAGACTCTGGAGCCTATCTCCAGCCCATATGCATGCTTTGTTGACAAACCTGAAACAAATTTGAAGGATAAGCCTGGTAATATTCTAGCATTTTACTGTCAAGCAATCCCATAAATAGACTAAAACCAACAATGAATTGATCCTACTAAGAAGCGCTAGCTTAGCTAATTATTCTATTCCAAAGAACTCCTTATAAAGATTATAACACATAAATGAGCCTCACTGGGTGACATGTTCTTTTATTACAATAAACATGGGTGCTGTCATTTTTCAGTCATTCCCAAATATACTCCCCTGCTTCCATAAATTGTCACTAAAGCACCAAATGAGTTTTAATATACGGCTGAAAATAGTCTCTTTTGGAAAATTAGCTCTTTTTTTTAAAATAAAAGATTTAGGTCTTTTGAAGAGACCATTGGGCTTTTTGTGGGATTTGCTGAGAAGAGGAGAAATATAGAATAACACCAGCTTCAACCTTTAACCATATTAACAGAATGTGTGGAAAAATGTAGATCATGGTTACTAGGAATCTGCAGGCTCACTTAGAGTGATAGTACTAGGGAACATGGGTACAGTCATTTCAGAGATTGTATATCAAAACACTTCAAACCTGCAGATCCAATGACACAAAGAGAAGTAGAAAATTTGTATAGCTACTAAATAATGGTGCTATTCAATGAGGAATTATGCTTTTGGTACTGTACAGCTAAATGTTTGCCTCCTACCATGTATTAGCACCCATATCATGTAGTAAATGTAGTACCCCTATCTTATACTGATTCAGTACCGGAAATGTGATGATTGCAAGTGTTGGGGGAGAAGCTGGCAGGCTGTTTGTCTTCCAGGAGCTGGTTCAGTCTCTCCAGCAGGGGCAAAGCAATCTGTTGGAGCAAACCCATGACCTTCACAGTTGGTCTATGCACACCGCACTGGACCAGACCATATTCCTTGTACCAAAAGTTTCCGCACAGTACTGCCTAGACAACAGGAAGAGAGAGGAAGCTCAGAATAACACTGGGATAAATAAAGATAAGAAAACAAAATCCTCAATGTCTTGTTAACTGTTATTATGTAATTAAGCACCATTTGCCCTGATTGTTTATCACAGGTTTAAACAAAGTTACAGAGCTAATGATGGAACAGACAAACAAAAAAGAAGCATCCACTTCCCTGAACCATATAATTAGGTTTATTTATATTCGTTGATATTTATGTGTGTTTTGACCTGAGCAGTGTCGGCACGGAGCTGAGAAAGATGTCTGACAAAGTGCAGCACATTAAGAGCAGCCTCCAACTCTGTCTGTCTGGAACAACACTGCTCCCACAGCCCTCTCTGTCTCAGCTCTCTGTCCTGGAGGACGAATAAACACATGCAAGCTTGTGCAAGAAGAGGCAGGAGGTCTTATTTACATTTAGACAACAATGTTACAGAGAGGATCTCGCAACATAAAGCAGGCATTGAAGTTCAATTACTAGACTTTCCAAAGATCCCTATAGCATCATGAGTCATATACATTTGGCACTCCTGGCCTGAGAAGGAAGTAAACATCTGACCTAACTGTGTTAGCCACCAATTAACCTACAGGGCCAAAGAAACAGACCATTAAGCCATTATTCTGACCATAGCTTGCTGTGCTGTTGCCCAGTCTCCTCCCTGTGTTATGCATTTTTCTTGTTCTTGCTGCAGCTGCTCCATACACACATCCACCTTATCAAGGCCTGACACAAGCTCTGAGTGCCAAACACACTGCTGATCCCACTCCTCCTCGTCACCTATACACACAAACAGAGATGCACAAAGACATGCTGCCAACCCAAATAAAATACTGAGCATTGAAATTATGTTAATTACTGTACAACTGAAGGGTGCAATGTGAGACACTGGCATGAAGCATCTCTCTTTTGGAAAGAAATGAATAACCGCAGTGTAATTTCCTTCATGCTCTTCATTCTGCCAACTTGCCAGCCAATTTACCCAGTGTGAGGATGTGTAATACATGTGGAGGCAAGATCAGAGCCAAGTGAGAGCGCTGAGCTGCTCTCCTCTGGGCCTCAGTCTGCGCTGAATCCTGCAGCTCCATGGCTGCTTCCCTCAGCTGCCTCCCTGACCACTGGACCTGTAGCAGAGTACACACTTACACTTGGAACACGAAAACTGGAGGTACATATTTGCATACTGGCACACAAGAAACACATCCTTACACACACACACACACACTGAATTTAAGGAACAAAGAAGCACTCATATGCAGAGGTACAGTGACTCTGCAGTTTCACAACTCTTGGTTGTGCACAGAAAAACCTAATCGCCTAACTTTCTACTCGAGTTCCCGTCAGGATATGAAAAGCTTCACTAGAATAACTTTCTAATGCTGTTTGCCCCAGCATTCATACATCCCCTTACTCATTTCCACATGTTCAAAAGGCTCAACCCCTTTGAATTTCTCCTCCTATACTCAGGGTCCAAGCTATATAAGATATTTACAACCAAAACAGCAATCTCCCCCGGCTGACCTGATAAGAGTTTGCTTCTGTGACTCTGAAGAGGCACTGAAATAAAGCAGCATCCAGATCAGAGAGAATATCTTCCTCCCGCTGCCTCTGCTGCTGCCAGTGAGTGTTTCGCACACACACCTCTCTCTGCAGCGCCTCTACCTGACAATCAATAGCAACAAAAGGAAGTCCGTCAGATTCACGAACTTCCATGTGACCGAATTTAATGGGCTGCTAAATGAAAAGCTGGAGGTCAAACAGATACAGACTTTTATCAACTTCACAAAATTCCTTCTTGCTGAATTCATTATATTGTAAAACCACTTTTATTCACCAAGGTCATATTAAAGGTTTCTTGTGTTTTTATCATTTATGGGAAAATATCTCTTAAGTACTTCCCCACCTGCACACTATCGGTTTGATCCGCCACCGTTAGCCAGTAAGAAGCAGTGACAGGTACCACAGTTTTTCTGCATAGATCCAACCTGGCTCCAACCACCGGGGCCAAAACTACTGTCACTGGGTCAACAGTCTGAGATCCATAACGGATGGCCACTAAGCCTGTAAAATGCAACAGCATGGACACAAAGGACAGTACAACTTGTTTTATTCTGTATTGTTTGATGGAATTTAAAAGTCTACTAGATCAATTGTGTCAGCTGAACATTGACCTGTAGCATGTTTTTTATACTACCTTTTCCGTCCGGGTCGTCCATGGTCCCTGCCAACGGTATTGTAATTCCAGAGACAATATCAGTCTGACACCCCAGTACTGGTACCATAAGACCAGATCCCATAGGGTCAGGGTACTCCATCCCCAGTAGAGCTGGAACACACATATCTGAACCTGGGAAAGGCATCTCTCCTGGTTTGAACAACACGGGAGAAGTCAGAGGGTTAGAGTGGAGGAAATAAAAGATGACAGTTGCCAAATATTTATTTCCAAAAGTATTCCTGAAAGGTTTTTATGTCCAACACATTTCTATCAAGTTAGAGAGGTGCAAAATTAGGCTATAATAATAATAATAAGACTTTTTTGACCAGTGTAGAAACAGTTTTTACATTCACTTTACTTTAGTGCAAACATAAGGTAATACTGTTTATTGCTGTTCCCTTTGGCTAGGATCAAAAAAACTCTAAACAAAAGTAAATGCAAAAATAGCTACGGACAGAGTGAGGTACATGAAACAGGATTGTGGCTACACAGAACATCTGGAAAAGCACATTAAACACTATAAGAACCAAAACTGAGAAGCAAATTATCAAGTAGAGAACATAGGAACATACAAACTCAGCTGAAATTAGCCACAGCAAGTGTGAGTAAAATGCAGAGAACCTGATAAGCCTATCCCATGGCCTTGAGCAGAGGTTTCAGTACTGACATAATTTGATTATTGATGAGTCAGGAGCTCAAACAACTAAAAACATATATAAATAAGAGCCTATAGTGCATTTAACTGTCACATTTACAGAATTTAAGGCCAGTAAGGCCAATATTACATTTGCCACACGTGACATAAAGCAGATCTCTCTAACAGCATTGTGGGTAATTGTTGTACTGTATGTATCATGGCAGCATGATGACTCAGAGGCCTACAATAAAGGTTTTAATGTCTTTATCTGTTTGAGCTCATAGCATGTTAGAAATGCTGATTGTATAATAGTTGTGTGTTCCCCACATCCTAGAATATGGAAATGGGTTACATATAACTTGCTGTGTTACGTGTGTCATTATAATGTGGCTATGTAGGACAAATTTCTGTGGAGGGTGGTTACTTGTGACAAATAAAGGTCATGTGAAAATGTACATAAATCATTTTATACATAAAAGTATTTTATTTTCAGCACTAGAAGGCATTTAAGGACAACCCTGTGACATCCAGAAGCAGCAAACATGTTAGTGGAAGACTGCATTTTCTTTTATATAATTCTATATCTAAAATCTTAAATGTTGATACTTTCCAAAGCAGCAACAGCCTTCAGTATCTAAATTTCTATTCACATATCACAACAAAAGGTGTAAAGAAGAAACCTATTAACAAAAACAAAGGCCTACACTGAATATTTTCCTACTCTGCAATGAGCAGATTTATGGCATTGATGCCAAGCAGAGATTAAAAAATGGAGAAAAAACATAACACATAAGTGTTCTCTTCCTTTAGGATAATATTTTCTCAAGCACAAGCAAAAGTTCAGCAAAAGTGGAGGACAGATGGTGCAGGAAAAAGAGAGCAGCTCACGTACAGCAACAAAGGTAGGAGCAGGAGAGGACCATATCAGCACAGAGTGCAGAAGGGGGAAGAATTTAAAAAGTGAGTTTGTGATGTATTGGCCACAAAAGAGACTACTAAAATCCATGCATCCTCTCAATGGCATTTGCTCACCCAGAGTTCCTCCATCCTGCTGGAGACCCACAGCCCAGTCCAGCAGGATCTCCAGCCTGGTCTGCAGCTGCAGCTGGCAGTGCAGGCTCCTTCCCCAGGCCTGCTGGAGCTCCTTGGCTGCAGCAAGAAGATGATCTTGTCGACCGCCCCCTCTCTCACTGCCCTGATGGCGCTGCAAAGTTTGGTCTGATCCCCACTCTTCAGTTAGGGGCTTCAGGATCTCCAATACTTTGAACATCACTGCCAGAACCTAATTAAGAAAAGTTTTACTCTCATTCATGTCAATGTGTGCCTCTACCACAAAAATACAAAAACTTGTAGAAAAGAGGAAATTTGTTTGGTCAATTTTAAATACAGTTTGTGCATCATAAATTTAATGACAGATAATCTTTGGATATGTCCAACAGCACCTTGCAGTCTAGGAGAGCCTGGAATCCTCCAGCATTGGAGAGCAGTTGCCCAGCTCGTATGCTGGCCCCTCCTACTTTCACCATCCTTCCACTCAGAGGTTCGATGATGGACTCAGCCAGCAAAACTCCACCTACTGGCAACACAGCTCCTACAGACAGAGTGACAGAGAGAGAGAGAGAGAGAGAGAGAGAGAGAGAGAGAGAGAGAGAGAGAACAAAATTAACCCACTGGAGGTATAGTAACCTCAACACAGGTTGTACTGAAAACTCACCAGCAGCACTCACCTGTTACTGGATCTAGACTGACCCCAACAGTGAGCACTACATTCCCAGTCCTGGAGTCCAGCATTGGATAGCCAATCTGTATGGGTTGTGGGAGGCGGGTGAGGGGACAGACATGCACCCCTCCCAGTGGGTAGACTAGTCCTGTCTGGGGGTGGATGGTTACAGCCAGAATGGGCACTGGGACGCCTGTGTCTGGGTCTGCCATGGGAACACCCAGCTGCAGTCTTTGGCCCGGTCTGAGGCCCCTGAGTCTAGTGCTTGGCAGAGGCTGGTCTGAGTGGCGGGAGGTTGGGTAAGGAATGAAAGGGAGAAGGGGACTGTCCATCTTCTTGTTGTCTCCTGTGAGTAAGAACGGTTAAAAAGATGGAAACTCCTTCACAGTGATATGACATCTGTGTGATCGTTACTGCATGCAATACCGTTTCTTTAGTTATACTTTTTAACCAATATTACAGTTTATTTATTTAATTATTCCACTTTTACTAATATGTACCTTTCAGTCGACCACAGATAATTAGTATGCTATATTTATATTAATCTGGTTTTAAAGCTGAATATAATGTTTTATCATATGTATTTGACCAGTTATCCACAGTGTAAAGTACAAAAACATCTGCAGTATTTCAGCCACTCCACAAACCCCACATATTACCTGTATAGGATTCAGTTGTCAACACTAAAGTGGAGCTTGCAGGGTCATACGCCACATTGCCAGCTATGGGCATAACCCTGCCAGTCTGTGGGTGGAGGAAGAAATCAGGCGGCACTGCCATGGTGTGGCCGCTGCTCAGTAGCATATGGCTGTGAGCGTTTGGCCTTATGAGGCCTGTGACTGAGTCACAATGAAGTGCCCGACAGTCACGCAGGGACCCATCAGGACCTAGAGTGAGACAGAAGGAGAAATAGCTGAGAGCAGTCATCAAACTGTAAATGATTGTGCTGATGATTTAAGCTGTTTTGAATGAGATTACAGTCGCATGCTGTGTGGACAGCTTTTCATGCTGATTTTTTCCTCAATGGATCACTGTAGCTGAAAAACTTGAGTCAAGTAAAACATATTTCTCTATCATTTAGGTACAACTCTAACCCTCCCACTGGTGTTTTGTTTATAATGTGAGACCCTGAATTAGAGAAAACTTGAAAATACAGAAGTGAGTATTATTTGTAATTAGTTATTATTATTATTATTAATATTATTATTATTATTATTATTATTATTATTATTATTATTATTATTATTATTATTATTATTATTATTATTAATCTCACCTGACCTCTATTATTTTGTTACCCAGAACTTGTAGATATCATACAGCTGAGATTGTGGCATTGGGCAATTACATGGCTTAATGTATGGATGTGAAGTAAAGCTGGGAAAGTCTAGGTGTATTTGTTTTCATAATGGAAAAGTGTTTAAAGTAGTACACATGTTTAGCAGTAGATGGTGCTGTTTCTCTAAGAATCAAGGACAGCGTTTTTGGAATATTTAAATCCTCTAACTCAGGCTATTGCACTCACCAAAGATGTGGTCCTTGGTCAGCACAGTTCCAGTGTCAGGGCAGAGCAGCTTGGCCCCTGTACCCTCACCTAACAACCCCCAGGCCCCCTGACGCTGGCACTCTGCTGACACCAGCTCTCCCATCTCATCCACCAGGGATGTTAGCCTCTGGATTAGACTGAAGATGGGAAGCAGCAGATTGAAAATCAGAGGGGATTTACTCAGCTCCACTTGTTGTTTGTGACACTTTGCAGAGGATAAATGTAAGCTTTACTTTTGCTGATGCAGTTCACAAGATGATTGGTTGTTATAAACCTTGGAGAGTAGTCTGGTGCACTCCCTGAGCTGAGCTGTGAACACGCTGTGCACCCTCTGCTGGGCCTGCTGCTCTTGCCTCAGGACCTGGAGAAAACAACAAAACAGTCCGACTTAATATAACATACTGACACAGTTAAAAGAAAGATTAGAGTTGAAAGATTAATCGACCTTTAATCAGCTATTTTGATAATGGTTTTGGTCATTTTTCAAGCATTTTTCTAATTTCATCTTCTAAATTATGCAGTTTTGCTGCTCTCCTTTGTCTTACGTGAACTTGAACTGAATATCTCCGGCTTTTGGAGAGTTGTGCTTGGGCTTTAGGAAATTGTGATTGGCATTTTTTTACCATTTCGGACATTTTGTAATGATGAATCAATTCATATCAATAAATAATCAGGAGACTACTTGACAATGAAAATAATTTTTAGTTGCTGCCCAACACATAAACACACCTTCTTGTTATCTTTCTTTCCTTTACCTTGTCGTTAGAGTAAATTCATTCGTTTTCAGAGGGAAACCAGGATTTTTTAATCATAAGAGATGAGAAGGGAATGTAATGTAGTGTAAACCTGCAGTTGACTGTCGAACAGTGTCCTCAGCTGTGATGCCAGAGTCTTTCGTCGTACCATCTCCCTCTCCACCTCCCTTCTCATCCTCTCAAAACCCTCCCCCATCCTCTCCTCAGTGATCAAGCGTGGGTGGAGTAGCTCCAGTTTCCCAATCACCCCCTGGTATAGCTGCTTTACCTGGGTACACACAGACACATAAATACGAAATGACTGCCTGGCTATAGGTAGTAGTAATCAGATCACACATCTGATCTGAGCCCACCCCAATGCAGCTTGCACGCAATTAACACAAATGCAAGTTTGTGGAATGACACAGGGGTGCGAGATGTGTTATCTCCCGTTACATCTTTATCACCCCAGCTGTCCTGAGGGCTGTAACGACAACCTCTGTCTGCTACACTGCAGAAAGCAATTTGATGATACAAACAGGAAGGACGCAGGAGAAAGGGGAGGTGCGACAAAAAACAGATGCATTGCAATGTGATACCCAATCTCTTTCTATAGAGGTGAACTTCACGAGTGCAGAAGGGACAGTACCTAGTGAAAAAGAAAAGGAGGGAAAGATACGAAGTACATGAAGTATTGGATTGAACCAATGCTTGTGAGAAATGATGGTAAATGACTGCTGTGTGGCTACAATATCTAATCTTGCATAAGCATATGTCTTATAATGTCAAACCATTGATTTAAGAGGATCTGACAAAATTTTTATTTTAACATGAATGTGTAAATCAAGTTTCTATACAGCGGGTAAAATAAGTATTGAACACGTCACCATTTTTCTCAGTAAATATATTTCTAAAGGTGCTATTGTCATGACATTTTCACCAGATGTCGGTAACAACCCATGCAATCCACACATGCAAAGAAACCCCAAAAAATAATTTCAGAAATTAAAGTTATGTGTAATAAAATGGAATGACACTGGGAAAAAGTATTGAACACGCTTACTAAAATGTATTTAATACTTCGTACAAAAGCCTTTGTTGGTAATGACAGCTTCAAGATGCCTCCTGTATGGAGAAACTAGTCGCATGCATTGCTCAGGTGTGATTTTGGCCCATTCTTCCGCACAAACAGTCTTCAAATCTTGAAGTTTCCGTGGGCCTTTTCTATGATCTTTAGTTCTTTCCATAGATTTTCTATTGGATTCAAGTCAGGTGATTGGCTGGGCCATTCTAGCAGTTTATTTTCTCTGAAACCAATTGAGTTTCCTTGGCTGTGTGTTTGGGATCATTTCATTTTCATCATCCTGGTAGATGGCAGCAGATTTTTATCCAGAATGTCTCGGTACATTTTTCCATTCATCCTTCCTTCAATTATAAATAGTTTGCCAGTGCCGTATGCTGAAAAACAGCCCCACACCATGATGTTCCCATGTTCATGTCAACAGCACCTTTAGAAATATATTTACTGAGAAAAATGGTGACGTGTTCAATACTTATTCTACCCACTATATATCAGTGATGTGACGTGTGTAGGATGTTTTTCTACCATTGGGACAGTGCAAAGAAAAGCTGTTATATAAATTGTCTCCTGAGGCCTGTGGAGGAGTAATATTGGACATAGGATATAATGCATCGTTCTTTGTGCCAGACAGTCCAAGGTGGAGTACTTCCTCAAAGAAAAGAATTACATGCATCAGAGTGTGTGTGACAGAGAAGATGGGGTATATGTCAATCCTCTCACATACTGTATATCTATTTACAATCAAGAGCCACAGACCTCAGTGGTGAGCTGTCCCAGCCGTGTGGTGACAGACAGACTCTGTTTGAGCAGCAGGCTGTAGAAGGTGTTGCTGCTGAATGCCTCCAGATCCACCTGGTGCTCATAATCCCAGAACTCCTCCAAGGTATCTGCACAGACTGCTGTCAAGACAGCCAAAGACAAAGAGCGACAGAGATGAGTAGAATATAAACAACACATAAAGAATCTACAACCTCTCTCTCTCTCTCTCTCTCTCTCTCTCTCTCTCTCTCTCTCTCTTCAAAGCAATGTTTTTAGAATGGGCATAATGTGCTGCCTGAGGAGCATCAATGAGCTAGATATACATTGCCGACCTATCTGCATGTTTTGGTACGTCCACTCTAATATTCATTTGTGGTGTGCGCATTTGTTAATGTATGCACATCAGAAGCTTTGATAAATTATTTCACTTTTTGCGGTACAAGCAAGGGCCAGTTTGCAAGCTCTTTTTTTTGGCCAAACCATTTTATAAAAAGCTGCCATGAGGGAGGAAATTTTATGTTCTTGTTCAAACAATAGCGTATGCCTTCTTTTTGACACTATGCCACAGTCAAATGATCAATAACTCTATGTAACAAGGTTAAATTCTTCTTCTTAAGTCCCACCCCTTTTGTACATGCCACGTGCTAGGCTCGTCTATGTCGAAAATACAACCACATTTTGAAGATGGTTGAAAATTAAAGTGACATAGGCCTATATATAGTCACATGTTAGATTGCTAGTGTTGGCTAATGTCATTACCGATTGATGTAGATTAGCATTAATTACCTTAAGATGTGACTTTGTGCTGTATATGTCGCTTTTATCTTTCCAACCATCTTTTAAGTACACGAGCCTAGTAAATAGCATAGCATATCTAAGTGGAGAAAAGGTGAAAGCTGACCAAGAGAAAAGGGGCAGGACATAGGAAGGGTCAATTGTAGTCATAAAGTACACTATCTCTGGATGATGGTATTTGAGGTTATTTCCCAAGTCCTGTGACATTTGGACTGTTGTCATTTTTACTGTTAGTCACTGCACGTGATATCAGGTGTATGGCAACAGAAATTGGTTGGGTGGGAGCAATGCCCAGGGCTCACTGTCAGTCTGTTACATAAGTGTGTGTGTGTGTGTGTGTGTGTTATGTGTGCACACTGCATGTGCGTCCAATTTCATATTCTAGATGTGTATATGTTTTAATGCAAGTTACAAAACATATTGGCCTTTAGGCTTTCAAATGTATGAGCTAAATGGTCGTGTGTATGCGCCTGTGTGTGTGTGTGTGTGTGTGTGTGTGTGTGTGTGTGTGTGTGTGTGTGTGTGTGTGTGTGTGTGTGTGGGTGCTTCTATATTGCACCTGGTTGAATGGAGTCTTGTGTCATTCTAGCTTGTTGGTTTCGGTGAATCTTCCGAAGTGAGATCACCCTTGAACCTTTTGATGAGTAGTCGTCCATGTTGTAGCCCAACTGCAACAAGCGATACCGTGCTCTGATTGGCTCCTTCTCAGGCCATCCGTATTCATGGAACAGGATCTACACGTGGGATAGATTTATTTATTTTTAGATTTATTTTTAATGTAATAGTCATTAGTTTGTGTATGTACACTAACCAGCAGTGTAACGCATAAGCAGAGGATGACCACAGCTCCAAATAGCAGTCCTCCAGTCACCAGCCAATCTGGTCTCAGTAACAGGTTGCGTCTCTTACTGATGCCCACCCTAGTTACATGACGAGGGATGGTGGGGAAGAAGGGGCCGGGCTCATAACACTGGCCGCCTGCAGGCATCACTCGTACATACTGTGTAAAAACAAAATTCAAGGTCAGTTTGAGTGACACACTGATGTATGTGATCAGAAAGTGTGGTTAGTCTTAATTTTAGTAAGAATTAATTTAACTTAGACTTAAAAATGTGTCGGTTTTGTTTTTGAACATGTCAAAACTCACCATATTTCTATCGGTGGATGGACTTAAAGGTCCAGTGTGTAACATTTAGGAGGATCTGGCAAAAATGGAATGGTCACCTTCCATGGAGTCCGCCATGTTATATATATATATATATATATATATATATATATATATATATATATATATATAATATATATATTATATATATTATTCAAAATGTAGTTACCAAGTGTTTGTGCTGATGGCTGCTCAGTGTGAAAACATATACTCCAGGCTGGCTAAAGACTAACGAAAAGAAGCTGGGAGGAGTCCAAGATAGAGTCAGCTCTTCTTTTAGCTGTCTGAATGCACCCCAGTCAAAATCCCTGTTTGTGTTGTACAAGCTGTCACTGAAAAACATGAAGTAAGGTGGCAAACACAGTCAAAACAGACATTTATAGCAGTAAAAGTTGAAAACTTGTACGTCTAGCATCTAACTTACAGATCATACTGAGGATAGTGACGTGTGTCGACAGTGAACAGCAGAACGTCACCCAAAAGGAGACACGCTGTGGGGTTCAGAACTCCAGTTACACTTGTTCCTCTCACTTCTTCCTCGATATCCCCCCTGTTTGCCCTCCTGCTGCTGGAGTTCATTTCTCTACCTTCTTGACTGATATTTTCAACTTTGTTGACCTCCCACAGAACGTCAGAATCGCTTTCTAAAAACATCAACAGCACAGGACCTTCATCATTGGCTCATGCATTCATATTATTTGTGTTTTAATGATTGAAAAAAAATTATTGCTTTGTTGTGACAAACCAGCGGAGCTTTGAGTGTTTCGCTGTGTGGTGACAGGAAACAGTTGCTGAAGCTCCTTTGGGAGGCCGCTGAGGAGGCCGAGGAAGCCTGCCGCTGTGATCCGACAATGAGAGGGGGAAAGATGTGAGAAACAGAGAGAGAGAGAAAGGGAGAAAGACAGAAAGTCACTTTGAGTGCTGTGTGCTCCACCTGTTGTCTGAACAATGTAGACAGGATGTAAGGAGTTGAGGTGGCTTTTGCACTGAAGAGTCCCCTGGGAGTCCCACTGTTTAAAAACTGTCTCCAGCACGCTGCCTGATATGCCCGACACCTGCACAGACACAATGACAGCATTTGCCATTAATAGGTCACTGCAACACAAGACACGCTTGTCTTGCTCTTTCACTGCTGGTACACTAAAGACGATGTTGTATGAAGGTTTTGTATACATTGTCTGACCAAGTAGTGTAGCTTAAAGTATTCATTATGTTTATTCTAAGACTGTTATATATACAATATACAATACTTCATGTATGGGTAAGGATATCTTGACTAAGAACACTTCTCAGTGAGTTTTAATATGAATGCTTTCTTTCAGTATTTCTTCCTTTTGTGCATGAATATGTTGGTGTGTGTGTGTGTGTGTGTGTGTGTGTGTGTGTGTGTGTGTGTGTGTGTGTGTGTGTGTGTGTGTGTGTGTTTTATGTAAATCTGCAGCTGCCTTTGCTCACCTGACTGCCATAGCTCCATACCAGCTCCATTTCTCCTTTGGGCTGGCACTGGAGATAGAGCTCAGTATCTGGCGTTCTCCTGCATAGGGCTCCACATGCAGTTCTGCCAGGGGGCTCTTTACAAATGCACAGACCCAGCTGTCCATCATAACCATGGTAGTCCTCTGCAGATTGACACACCTGCAGGAAAGTAAAGCAAGGATCAGTCAACTTTAATAATTTTATAAACCAAATGAATATTAATAATTTTTCTCTGTCTGCATGCTTTTTCCCATTTCAATATCATCTAAAAACTAGCATTCTCGACTTATGCTTGGTTTGAGTGTGTATCTAGGTGTAAGGTCATTTGTAGCAAAGACTGCTATGGAGGACAGTGACAAAAATAAACACTGCATGGTGAGAACAGTGAAGGCCTTGCTAGCTGATAGTCAGAGGAAGCAGTTTGTGGTTAAATATTAAGTTAGACTAATACTGCACTAGATAAACTATTGTCAAGTTCATGGAGGAAAGGGCAAGGACATCTAGGTTGTACTCATCAGCCTTGTCTATGATCGTTCAGGATGAGTTTTCTGTCATCATGTAAAAAGACAATTACCTTTGCTCTACGTGTGTGTGCATCTGACTATGTGCGACATAATTGGACAAGGTCTAACCTGCTGCTTACAGTGAAGTGACCACTGATATCTGCTCAGACAGTCTCCATTCTGTGTACGTGCTTTTCCATCTCTGCAGACATCGTACAGTTTGTGTACACACACATCTCCGTTGTCGGAAGGTTGGTAGCCGAGGGTACAGTGGCACCGCCTGTCACTGGTCTGCCAAAGAGGCAGCAGAGTTAAAACAGATTGTATAATGTTAGGTTCACTTTGCGGTCAGTTTGTTACCTTATATGCTAATTCATCCATTCATTCATTCATCCATCCATTCATTCATTCATTCATTTATTCATTCATTCACTGACAAAGCCTATGCAACCATATCTATCTATCTATCTATCTATCTATCTATCTATCTATCTATCTATCTATCTATCTATCTATCTATCTATTCCCTCTTTCTTCCTTCCTTCCTTCTTTCATCTTTCATTGATTCCTTCATCTGTTTTCCTTCCTTCATTTATTCCCTCATGATTTGTCCTTCCTTTCTTCCTTCATTTATTGCCTCATGTCTTACCCTCCTTCCTTCCTTCCTTCCTTCCTTCCTTCCTTCTTTTATTTTCCTTCATCTGTTTTTCATTTCATTGATTGCCTAACATTTTTCCTTCCTCCCTTAATTCCTTCTTTCCTCAATCAGTCGTCTTCCTTCATTAGACCCCTCTTTCCTCCTTCCTCCTTTCATTTTTTTCATCTGTTTTTTCATCCTTCCTTCCATCCGTCTCCCTTCTTCCTTCATTTATTTCCTAAAGTTTTTCTTTCCTCTCTTAATTCCTTTCTTCCTAGATCAATTTCTCCATCATGTTTTCCTTCCTTCCTCTCTTAATTCCTTCCATCCTTCCTTCTTTTTATTAATTCACACCCATGCAACAGTCCGAGACAAAATCTCATTCGCCTTATTATGAGCTGATGAGTGGAGGGTTCAACACCCGTGCAAGCTGTAACAGCCTAGGAAACAAGACCGCACTGCAAGGGAACCTGATCTAGAGCTCTTTCAGCTTGAAGCTACAGATTGTTCAGTCTAAAGTTTCAGAAAAACAGTGAGGAAGCTACTCTCATATTAGTGTGTATCCCAGGACTCAAGAGTGACACAAAAACAATCATAAGCCTGAGAAATTAGAGTTCTTCTTTGGATTTATAGAATAAAGAAGGAGCTCACAGGAGAAAGGAAGTGGGAGACTGGTACAGTAGGAGGTGGTGGTGTTGTTATGAAAACAAGGAATACACAGTCACATAAACACACCAGAGGGAACACACATGCTCCAGAAATGACTGGGTTAATCGTATCGTGTGAAAACCCCTTGTCACCTGGAAGCTCTGCCCCTCTCCCGGGCAGACGCAAGAGTCCTGACCAGACAGAGGCTGCTGAGCCACAGGGCCACAGGGCAGGGAGGCAGGCAGACCCGGTCTAGGACAGTAGTGGTGAGGAGGACACTTCAGGCAGCTGTCTATAGACACAGCACCAGCAGTTGGCCCATAGGTTCCCTTTGGACAGGGGACTGGAGTGAAGCTCCCCAAAGGACAGTAGAAACCTATTAGGAAAAACATGTTGTTTTCCGACATACAATTTGATATCTTTTTTTTATATATTATTATTATTCAGATTGTAATTCTCTGTACAGTTACAATATATCCATCGCTGTTACTGGATTAATTAAGATCTATATAGTTACAATAACTGACCTTTGTTGCATGTTTCCCATCTAGCTCCACTATCACTGTCAATAATGGCTAAAATAGCTAAAGAATGATATACAAAAACATAATTATGTAGATTGGAGCTGAGAGGCAATTTGGCAAACATAAATCAGTAAACAAGTAATATTAAAAAGTACACTAAACAATAAATAATAAACACATAGAAGTACAATGCCAAATTCACAACTGCTTAAGCACATTTGTGTTATTTTGTACAGTATTGTTCTGTACTGTACTGTATCTCACTCTTACACTTGATCTAGCTATTAGAGGCACCTTTAGACCTCTGCCATGGTGGGGGCAGAGGGGGGAATACAATTAGTGAAACTTTAAAAACTCAAAACAAAATACAAGAATATAATGTAACATATGCATAAAAAATATATTTATCATACAGTACATGTTATAAAATGATCATTTTGTACAGTCAGGACAGCCTACCTGGCTGGCAGGGCAGTCTCTCCTGGAACTCTTGACTGAAGTTTTTTCCATGAGCCAAAGTAAGGAGCACAGCATTCAGCCACCACACACTCTTGAAACTCTTGCATCTGCATGTCCTTAGCATGGTTATTATGTCCCCCTGCTCTATTCCAGATTCAAACAACAAACATTTAATTTGTCATCCAGGATCTGTTAAAAGTCTCTTGGTTGTCATAGCTAAGAATAAGATTAAGAATATGCTGTAGAAACATCACTGTCTTAACAAATGTCTCTTGTCTGATGTTGTTCTATACACATGTTCTGATCTGTCTGTTGGTAGACAGAGTTGTGAGGTAAGTTGTGGGCAAGTTAGTCTGCATAACTTTCAATGGCCTGCTGAATGATTTATGAGGCCCGTGAGGTAAGGTGACAGTGACAGTGAAGGGACTGGTTGCTGGTGGAAAGCAGCAGGGAAAACAGAGACTACAGCTGCCTGGTGCTGCCGGATCACATTACTGCATTTGTTCTTCTCAATCCTACCATGAAACTGATTAATGATTTGACTCCCTATGTACGTCAACACAGCTTTGCTTTAGAGGAGTCTTCTGAGCTCTATATGCGTCACAACTGCTGCTGAATTCACATGAAAATTCACATCTCAAACTCAGATATATGCTCACATATAACACCTGGCTTTATGCAAGCTAGCTGCAACTTTCAACTTCACTAAGTGACCCAATTTGACAAACACATAATGAATATTTGTGATGTGTTTATTTGTGTTAGTTGTTGGTATTGGCTTGCAATCTTGAGGAATGCAATATAAGACTATGGTCAAGGTCTGTGTGGCAGTCATTTGCATCGATAAACATCTGTTGATAGCCAGCTGATAGTATAAATGCAGTGCAATTCACAAAAATATTTCATGTATGCATTTATTTATAGGTTACCTGCATCTGGTACAAACGCATTACTTTATTTAGTAGTCAAAAAAAGTGTAAAAGTTTGACAAATTAATCTTTTTCCGTGTTTTAAACCTTTGACCTGCCTACAGTTCATCTGACGGTAATCTCTGCATGCCTGTGTTCAACAACCAAGAACAGATTGTTAACCTTTGCTCTATATTCACATGAAACAGGAGACAAAATGTATTCAACTGTCCAATCATTTTAAAACATCAAGAGTTATGGAAATATTTTCTATAAATTCTTGCTTATGTGTGCATGTGTAGTCATGTATTTGTGTAACAAGGAGTTCTGTGATCACGAGTTAATGTTGCTAACTGTTCAACAATCAACTGTACATCTGCAGAAAACAGTCAACAGTGCTGTTTGTATGTACAGTAACCAAAGTCTGACTCACTCTACACTGTTATTGTATTTAAATACATGTTGGACTTTGGATAATTGGAATAACCTACATATTTCACCACGGTAGCCATGGACTATGATCCTCCAATGACGTCTCGTAACTTATCTAACCGAACAGGATTCAACTTTCACCCACATATCCATGTCACTTGTGCTAAAACCCTCCACATCGCATTCACAAATACACTACAACTTAATAAGATCTTAGACAGGAGATCACGGGAAATATGAAGTCATTTTACGAGACTAATGCAGAAACATCGCACACTGCAAATGCACTTAATGACTTGTATATTGACTTCTTTTTTGTTTTGTGGTAACAGAGTTTAGCACAATCAGCAGTGTTTACTCAGGCTGTTATGTCCTGACTAGCAACACTGTTGACTGTCAAGCATCCAAAATAAGCCTTGATAATCAATGCTCTGTGAGCTGGTCCAAAACTGGATACACTGAATTTTTACACAATTTAAAACATACAAAAACATACCAGCCCACTTAAATTCTTGCATAATCTATTAAAAAGCTACAAAAGGCACAGTGGGTCAAACAAGTGACCCCATTGTAAATATTCATTTCCTGGCAAAGTAGGCCTTTGACATAAAAAAAAAAAACTAAAATCGACATACAAACTTGAACTTGTTGAACCTTTCTGGGCTGCTCCAATAAACTTTTACCTCATTTTCAGTTTTTTAAGAGTTATTAAGAGTTCAAAAGCGTGATTGAATTTGCTGCAATCTTTCTATATCATTATTATAACATTATTCTTATCTTACTGCAATATTTTTATTCCTATTCTCATAATATACTAATAGTCAATCTTAATTCTTTCTCCCCCTTTAAGACTCAATCTTAAAGTAGTGCGCCGTTATTGACATGACTTAATTTCCTTAAACCAGTGTTGTAAAAATACTGATAAGTTTTATGAGGGTACAGATGTGGATGCTATTGGCATGGCCTCACTCTGTTTGTGTGTGTGTGTGTGTGTGTGTGTGTGTGTGTGTGTGTGTGTGTGTGTGTGTGTGTGTGTGTGTGTGTGATCTGTGTAGCTCTGTGTCTCTATGCATGTTGTGTTCTGTCATCACTGTGACCCTCCACGTGTTGACTGTTGACACAGGCAGAGTTTGGGCAGCCGCTCTGATAACAAGGACCTTTATAAGTCAGATGAGAGGAGAAGCCACTCTGCAGACCCCTGATCCTCAGGTAAAGGCCAGCCACTTTTTCACATATTGATCTTCTTGTCTTGTGTTAGACTGAGAAATGAATGTATATAGAAGGAATGACAGATCATTTATAGAAAATGTTCAGTATTCAGTCATTTGTTTGTTCTAATGTGAAATTCTTATGTATTTCTTTCATCTGTCCATCCACAGAAAAATGAACATGCATCTGAAAGTCTTGATCTTCACGCTGTCATTTTTGACAACTTCAGGTATATATTACTCCCTCAAATGCTGTTTAATATTCTCAATCTGCCATGTATTTCTTTTTTTAATGTCTGTTTTCTTTGTCTATAGCATACCCACTCCACCGTAACACTAGGGAGGCTACCTGGACTGATTCAAAGACCAACCAGGCTCATGATAAGACAGAACTTACAAAGGATGAGGAGTAAGTTGACTGAACTAAGTAAACTAGTGAAATAAACATGCAACTCAAGTCAAGGGGAAATATTTAAAGAGAATAAATGTCAAAACACTTTCAAATTTTTGTCTCTCTTTGCTCAGTAGAATCTACAAGACCCACATAGACAGCAGTGGCCTTTACAACCAAGATGATCACAGCAAAAATCATGTGGCAGAAGAGATGCAACACAAGCTCAACATGGAGTCAGAGCGTCTGCGTGCCCGTCTGCGCCAAGAGCTGGCCGAGCTGCAGGAGAGGTTGTCTCCATCTCCAGCACACCTCAGCTCCACCCTGGCTAGCATGAGGGAGCGCTTGGCTCCCCTCACCCAGCAGCTCCAGAGCTCTCTCAGCAGCAATACCCAAGATCTGTGTGGCCAGCTGAGCCTCTATCTGCAGGGCCTGGAGACAGCAGAGGCCCAGGCTGAGGCCAGTCCGGCTCTCTACCAGGAAGCCTTCCACTGGATCAGCCAAACCCTGGAGCACAGCAGCTCCAAGGTGGCCGACATCATCAGAGACTTTCATACTAAAACCGTTGGGGTGATCGAACATCTGAAAGAGATCAGCACTAGTGAGGAGGAGGCAGCCAAGCCAGAGCTCTGGCAGGAAATTAGCTCGAGGTTGGGACAGGAAGTGAGTTTATTGAGGGTGGAGGCGCAGAACAGGGTAGGGGCTCTCAAAACAGAGCTTGCTGCTCTGCTAGAAACTGCACAGCCTCATAGGGCTGAACTGACTGCCAGTATGGAGCGGTTCTGCCAAAATGCAGCCCTGCAGAGCCAAGTGTTTCATGCCCGGATAGAGAGGCTGTTTCAGGGGCTGGAGGAAGAGCTGGAGGTCCAGGGAGCCTCAAGCTTTTCTCCTTCTTCCTCCTCATCTATACAGACAGGTGGCACTTTGCAGGAGGACTTTTCAATTAAACTCTCTGCTCTGATTCAAGACATTCTGCACTCAGTCTAGTGGCAGAGACAACAAAATACTAATTAACTGCCATTATGGTCACATTAAAGTGATTCTTGTATTTTTGTCCATGAATTTTTGTTTTGTTCTTTTGCCCATTGTACTAGCAAGTAAGTAAGTAAGCCTGTAAATATTTATAAATGTATGTTTTTGATTGATGCTTCATTCTGTATGTGAATGAGTGTATAAATGTCAGTGTATATTTACGCTATGTAAAAAGATGCTGCTTTTGAAGAGAAAAGTTGTTGGTGATTTTTAAATTGCGCAATATCGAGTACAACATCAAGCTGATTTCAAACTTTATTTATAATTTGTGCAAAACATAGAAACAAGTCTGACTTACATACTGTAGATTCTAATATGCTCAAAAATATATTTTAAGTGTTTTAAGCAATCTAGATTCTGAACAAAAACTCATACAAACTGATAAGACTGTCAGTGGACTGTTCAGAAAAGCGACCGTTGTCAAGCAAATTTATGACATAAAATATTTAGTTAATGTTTCTTTTTTTACACATAGTTCAGGTTTAACTGTTCCTTCATAACCAATGAGTGACTCCTGAATGCAGATGCAGTAAGTAAAGACAGAAAAAGTTATATAAGACACCAGTGTCAAGAACATGTGATAATGAATGCAAAGTGACAACATTATCAGATTTTGTGTTCTCACGATAAACATTACAGTATGGTATGAGATGACGAGGCAGTTGATCTGTCAGTCAAAGGCATGAGGTAATCCTCCCACCCAATAAAACTTCTTCAGGACGAACCAGCCTCCCAGAACCAGCAAGGCAGCAGCAGCCGAGCCAAACACCACCCCCACCACCAGGCCTGTCACATTCACATCATCCTTCTCTGATGCCACGTCATTACCTGATGCACGCAGGGGGAGATCAATGGAGATTACTTTTTGGGTTGTCGTAAAATATTCAAGATATTAAGATGTATTTCTAGAATGATGGATGTGATCAAGGTATACTCACTGTAGGCAGCTGCATATGGCCTATCTGCAGTAAAGGAAGATAAGAAAAAGAGTCAGTGAAAAAGTCGCCTTTTTATAATGGTTGACTAGAGTGGTTTGGTTTTTTACTGGGTCTAACCTTCACTGGCAGTGTAAAGAGGTCCAACTGAAACAGTGGCAGAATCTGTGGTTTCTTCTCCAAAAGGAGTCAAAGATCTTTTTCTTCTGTTATTACAGGCCTGAAAAAAAACAGCAAACATTCAGCTGGGTTGAGTTTGATCTATGTTGTATGATGTAAACTATGTATCATATAACATACAATTTAAGTTAGGGAAAAGGTTCTAAAATTGAAAAATAAACAATGAAGACAAACTGGGGTGGCCTGGGGGTTCAAGGTGCCAACCATGAACCACAACGTCCCAGGTTTGAATCAGCCCAAGGACTTTTGTGGCAGTCATTTCCCATCTCTACATTTCTTTCACGTGGCTCAACAATGAGGTTAAAAATATTCTATTTCTATATATTTATTTCTATTTTCATCAACTGCTAAGAAGCAGAAAACAGGCAAGTTAAATATATGGTAAAAAATCATTACAATCTTTGCCCTACAAACACTACCATGGGGTACCGTTTGAAGTTGCTTTACCGTTACTCTCTCTGATGTCTTTGAAGTAAAGTCATTTGTTCTTGACTTCTAAACTTACAGACAACAGCTCTTGGCATTTGCTGGGCTCACAGAGTCTCATTATGCAGTGGAGATAGATGCTGGATTTTGCTTGGTCACGGTGCTGAACAAAGCGGAAGGCCTCAAAGTTAAATCGGGCAGTTTTGGAAAGGCCATTGCTTGTCACAGATGTCCTTTGGTCAACTGAACAACTAGTGGAGAAAATAATTATTTATATATAGTTCTTTTTTTTTCTCTTTTTTTATAAATATGTAGAAGTTATATTATTTGCACCATGTATGAAGATATTCTAATAATAGATACTTCCATACCCAGTGAAGAAGTTGTGCTGCTCACTGTGCGACATGTTGTATGCAGTGGGAGTGCCAAAGCAGTGATCCAGCAGTACATGGAAACTAAAAACAGGACGGTTGGCAAATGAGTTACTATTTTCCAGAAGAATGCTTATTTCAATATTCATTTTCAGATAAGTCAATTCACCATGAGCATGAGTATTGCTTACTTTCCAGTGAGGTTTACAGCCTTGACCTCCACATAGACCCTGGTTCTCAGCTCCAGTCCTGTTGAAGGTACCACCAACGGGTAGCTAAAGTCGGTGTCCTGGAGAAATAAGACATCAGCGTAAAATAAGTCAAGAAAAAAGGCTCTATAAGGCAACTGAATCCCAACTTGTACTTACATTAAAAACGCCCATTTTCAGTGTATCAATGAAGGTTCCATTATTATCGCTGGTCGCCACAGAAACTGAGGAGCTAAACAATCATGGAAAAAAGAATTACTACATGGCCAGGTCAATTTCATGTGTTCAGACATTTACAGCTTGCTCATATAAATCATCATATAAATATCCCCTTTGTCTAATGTTTTTTTTAAGATGGATGGTTACTTACGCCACAATCTGTGTGTTGTTGATCAGGTACTCCAGTGGGTAGCGGCAGGAAAAGTGGTAGTAGAGATCTGTAGAGTAGCTGATCAGCCCCTGGTCAGCTCTGGGTGTGTCAATGTACCCAGTAATGATAACGGACTGGATAGTTAAGAAACTGCTGAAGGGACCTGCAGGGTCCGGGACCTCATCCACAATCTGAACAAAACAACAATCACATGACTTTCTTCTATATTCCATTTAACACTGAATAAAAATCTAAATATCTGTTGCAGTAAAACCACAAGAACTACTTGTCCATTTGAATATATGATAATATCTCCCTAATCTTTCCAGTCACATCGTTACAGTGGCATCTTCTACAAGACGCATCCTGACCTGCAGAGACTGGCGACAAGGATTATCCTGACTGTGGTTAACATGAAGCTGGTAACGGATGACTGGGGGATTCACACTATTATCGACATCACCCAGACACATCGTAGTGTTGTGGTTCCCGTTGAGAGCCAGGTCTGTGCTGTTGAAACCTGCCCACTGAGCTGTGCACAGGTTGATTTCCAGGGTGATCATACTGGTGCCACACTCCACTGCCAGGTCAGAATTGTCTGAGAAAGAGGGACAAAGAGAAACCAAGGAGATATAAAGGATAGCAGCAAGGTTTTATGTTTGAATACTGTGCAATTTTGAAAATTCAAATGATGATCCAGGTGTTGCTGAAAAGTCAGAGATGAGAAAACTTCCATAACATTAAGCAGCTGGGAAAAGCAACCTGTCAAACAGTTAACCCACCTGGGGTCCTCTTATACTCAGATGAGCAGTTGTAGAGACACAGAGCTGGCTGCAGCAGCACAACCAGCAGAGGGAGACAAAGGTAAAGAGTCATTCTGTCTCGAGGAGGCTCAGTCAGACTGATCAGTGCTGTATTTATGTGGAGGAAAAACAACAATAAGAACATTAATAAACAACAACATAACTCTAGAATGACATTTTCAACTGAGTCAGAGCGGATGTGAAAACATACTAGTAATTATTTACAAAAAAACTTATCATATCATTTTATGATTTTATAATTTTCAGTATCAAATGATGTTGCACATTTTGTTGTGCATAGCTGAAACCTTTTTAAAATTTGATTCCTAATTTCTATAAGCAATTTAAAATGAATGAATTTCAGATAGAGACCTGCGTGACAACCTGAGGAGGGTCTTACCTTGGCTGGTACCTGAGCAGGTGTCATACAAGCAGTCACATAATGTGACTTTTATAGTGTTTGACAGCCTCAAGACACCTAAAACCACAGAGGTGTGACTCTCAAGCCATATCTTCAACTAATTATAGACCCTTATGCGCACACACACACACACACACACACACACACACACACACATACTGTGACTTCTGATTTAGGCAGCAGCTCCTGGCAGGGTTCACTGTCAGATCTTAACCTAGTGGATTAATGTGTCAGTGGAATTTGACATAGATCCCTCAGGTTAAGTACAACTGATGTTTCAGGTTTCCATCTATCAAAAATTTTATTCAAGAACAGAGGTGAAAGTTACAGTTGCTGGCTGGTTGTGCTGAGGCAAATGAGATTTAAACTTGGATGCAATGTACAAATTTATTGGTAAGTAAAATTGTTGCACTTCAGGGAAAGAACTGTATTTCATCGATACGTCATTTACTTAACACCAAATTCCATCACTAAAAACCTGCAGGTTCTTGATCATCACACCGCAGTGAAATGCTACTGGTAAAACAAACACTTAAAAGAGAAATGACTAAAACTTGCAGAATTAATGCTAATTCTGATTATACTGTATTGATAACACCTTTAAGATAAGATAAGATGTTCCTTTTTTGATCCCCTGTAGAGGAAATTCAAGTTTGACACAACAGCACAGGGGAAATGTAGTGCAAAAAACATTATAAAGATATAATAGAAAACATAAAAACTGTAATGAAAATATATCAGTAACTCTTAACCCTCAAAAGAAAGACGGACATTTCCCAAGATATAAAAAATCATTGTGTTGAGATTGGCTGTCTTGAGAATGAAACACCTTGAATGCTTGAAAGGTGATCATGTTTGCCATAAGCTATAAAGTACCAACCATGACCAACCTTTGTTAATATACCTTGCATGCCAAACCACTCCTCTATTGTCTCCACAGACTTGCATTGCAGGTTGTCGCTGTACAGTAGCTATAGGCCGCAACAGTTACTGCTCAACTGAGAAGCCCCATTGTCCCTCACAAATATGGAATGAAAAGGAGCATTCGTTTTTTTTTGCAAAAGTGCCCATGGTGAGAGAAGACATTTGTTACTCTATCCACACATGCGTCATCATTTTACAATCTCTTCAGTTCTTGCCTGTGTCTAAGGATTTTACCTCACAGGACACCCTAAAAACAACTCATTCACCATTCTTCTGCACTCTGATCACGTTCTCCATTGAATTTTCCTTTAATTGTTCTGGCAGCAGGGTTAGAGGTAATGTCTGCATGGAGATGTCTGGAAAATGCTCGCCTGTCCATAGGTCAAAGGGTCAGGATAAAACTATCAATAAACTAATAAAATTATAACTAAATAATATTCATAAATTCAAAAATCATGTGAACTGCTAAAAGTGCAGTTTCTAGCATGTTACATTTGAAAAATAACATACCGCTCCCCAATAAAACTATGTATCTATAATTCCAGGGATAGACAAATAGATGGGTGAAGTGTTTCTTTAAAGGGTTAGAAGAAGTTTCTTTTAAGTTAAACAAATAATAAAAAACAATGAAAATGACAGTTGTTTGACATTGTTTTATAGACCAGTCATAATAGGTTTTACTGTTGTGAAAATAACAGAAAATATAATAGAAAGATAACGATATTAATATATTGTTAATCGAAGAGAACATGATAGAAATTAACCATAACTGGGTTAAATGTTAAATGTCTGTTTTGTCTAATGATAAAACTGTACAATAAAACTCTTAATCGCTTCTAGAAAGACTAAAGTCAGAAAGACCAAACTGACAGGATTATTATGACAATGTGCTTAGTGATTAGTGTATACCTTCACTGGTTCCTTTCAGCAAGAGCAACAATGGTTGCTGACATACAATCACAGTAGAAAATAAGTCCCAGGGCAGGACACAGATTTATTTTTGAAAGAAAGAGGATACGCTGGGAAGCTTGTAAGGAGACGATACTTTGTGTGGGCAGAGTACAGTAAAGTAGATCATTAGTGTAGCTAATGAATGATTCAGGTTGTGAATATAACATATCACGTAGACAACTAACGGAGTGGTAATGCTTAAAAACAGTTGCTCCAGTGTTGCAGAGGAGCTTTTGTCTAAACTGTCTAGAAGAAAAGTGTACATTGTTTACTTAGTTTACTTAATTTGTTGTATTTTCTCTAATATATTTTTTTTTTGTGAAATTTGAACAGTTGTATAAATGCAGGATGACAACTAGGCTAAATTTTAGACCCACAGCAAAAACATTGGTTAAATATTGGTGTTGTTAAAGAACAATATTTCTATCTGAAAAGCAGTGGAGAAGTATAAAGTAGCATAAAGTGAAAATATTACTTCGAAATTGTACTTATGTACAGTACTGCAGTAAATGTACGTACCAGTAATTACTTTCCACCACTGAGGTCATTGGGCAACAACCAATTGGGTGTAATTTCATGAGTAGTTTGGTGTCATCTGGTGGCCAAAGTTAGACAGAGTTTAAACAGAGCTTGTTGTTGTCTGTTTTCTAATAGACTTGTGAATCACCAGCGTTGAGGAGTGCAAGCCAAGAGACACAACTTCCTCCTCAACCAACAGACAGCACAGTGAGTGCCATTGTGTATTTAGCTCTCAGGAAAACGCCAACAGATATCCATTCCAGTAAACAAAAGAGGTAGAAAATAATCTGGAATTAACAAAGACACAGAAAATAAAGTCATGTTTTGTTTTGTTTTTGTCTTTTTATTTGTGCTATACTATACAAAAGCACGAGATACATACTTAAGAAACAAAAGCCAACAACACCTAATATAACTGAAGAGAGTACTAGATGATAAAAGAATAATTAAAAAATAAATAGAAAGAAACATCGTTCCAGTAAAACAGCAAATTTGGAAATCCCCTTAATGTGAAGTGGTGTCCTTGGAGGCCACAATCCCTCAAACATAATCCCAAATATTTTTCATATTCAGCCTTTATGACCTGGGTTCTGAAATACCTGTTTTTGAGATCCTAGTAAAACTTTATGTTCGTTTGTGACCAGACAAGCAAGTTTCATCCCATTCATTTGTTCCAGTTGCCACCTTTTTCTTTATTTTTCTACAACCCAAATAGTTTTTATAAATAGAGTTTATTGTTCTCTTGTGTTGTTCTTCACATTGACATTGCATGAAAATCGGTTCTATATTTAAATAATATATATCTTAATATGTTTGTTTTCTTATTATTCTTTCTTATTTTTATCTTTATGAAGATAGATGTCTGACTGAAAAAAAATCTAATTATTCTGGGCAGGTAAATTACTTTAGAATGAGATTTTGAAATGATTATTTTTGTGTCAAATAATTGGCTGATATACACCAGTCCCCTGTTCCTTCATTTATTAAAGCCAATATCTGGCTTTATTGCAATTTTGGTCTTAATATTGAGTTTGAAATTCTTAGATTATTCTTATTTTAGACCATAGTATCTCAATTCATTCATTCTTTACTTTGAGTTTTTTTCACTGAAAAATAATGGTTTTGTCCTGCAACAACCGGGCAAAGTGGGCAACCGCTCTGGGGCACCGAAAGCTCTGGGCTTAGTAAATGTTAAGTGTTTGTACCAATTAAATTGAAATTTTGTATGTGACAAGTGTCAACTAACATGATAATGGCCTGATGGATCCTGATTTTCAGGTCTTGGAAAAGGGTCTCTGTGTCAAAATCTAGTTATGATCAGTTTTCGTTTAATTAAATTACCACATTGCAAATCTGGGTCCATGGAAAAACTGAATCTGAGACTGAATCTGACAATGTGTCTGCCCAAATCCTGAAATAGAAGTGTTTATGTACAAAAATGCCTTCTCACAGGATCTTTTCATACATCTGTTTATACAATGATTTGTATGAAATGCTATCTTTTATTATTTGTGATGTGGTCATGCTGATTTTTGTTGCTGTCTAGTGTCTTGTAAGCCCACATGGGCTCAAATATACAAATCAATCAATATAGAGTTTGCACATGCTGTGTTTGATTACACAGTAACACCTGTATATACAGTCCAACATTAAAGCCCTGTTGTGAAATTATCCACGGTGCATTCCTGTTTTGCCCAACAATAAACACACTGATGATGTGAGAAAAGCTCAACAGGGGCTGTGTTTGTAACAGTCACAGCTCTTCATCACATGACAAACATTTGCGTGCACTGGCCAATAATCGAATGAACTTTAGAGGCTTTGATAGACCAAAACAAGGAAAAATCATTCCAGGTCACACATGCCAAGCATTCGGAGGCTCAGTCTGTCAACAAGACTCCTGCATGCAAGACACAATTGTGTTACCAGATGAGGGAGACAGACAGAAAGATGGCCTGAAGCCAGGTAGTAGACAACAGACCTACACAGAAAAAACAGGCTGTGATTGTCTGTCCTCTCTGGGCTCTCTATGGAGAGGAGCTGATGTTTATTACTCTGCTCCCAGAGTCATCTGTTGATGGATATTGTTAAAAAATCATACAACACAAGAGGAGGATAAACTGCGGGCAGTGGTGAGGTCTGTGTGTGTCTCTTTGTGTTGTGTCTTGTAACATAAGATTTAAATCTTTCAACATATCTGATCATCATGTACATTGTGTTACAGTACTAGATTCAGTAACATGGGCAACAAACGAGGCGTGAGGCCTACAAAGAGCATAGACTGGCAGACATCATTGATTTTTGCTCTCTGTCTTGTCTTTAGGTTTCAACATCACACTTATATAATAAAATACTTGTATAAGTTGTATACTGGACTAGGATTGACTTCCAAACTGCACTGATCAACCGTAACATGTGCTACGCAGCCCCATATGCAACAAACTGTGTGACGCCTTTCTAGCAGCATTAACTTTTTCAGCAATTTGCGCTACAGTAGCTTGTCTGTTGGATCGGACCACACGAGCCAGCCTTCGCTCCCCACATGGATCAGTTAGCCTTGGCCGTCCATGGCCCTGTTGCCGGTTCACTGCTTTTCCTTCCTTGGACCACTTTTGTTAGGTACTGACCACTGCAGACCGGGAGCACCCCACAAGAGCTGCAGTTTTGGAGATGCTCTGATCCCGTCGTACAGCCATCACAATCTGGCCCTTGTCAAAGTCGTGCATATCCTAATTTTTCCTGCTTGTAACACATTAACTCAAGTTTGAGGACAAAATGTTCACTTGCTGCCTAATATATCCCACCCACTGACAGGTGCCATGATAACCAGATAATCAGTGTTATTTACAAGGCCACAAGAACAACAAAAACAGTATTTTCATTCAACCATAAAAGAAGCAGGCCACCATTTATTCAGCCTTTTTCAGTCTTTTAGGGGGAAGTTTCAGTCTGATGATTTTTCTGGAATAAGCAGTGTAAAATTATTTCATTATGTCACGTAACCCACAAGACTTTCTCCAGAGCTTCACAATCATTCATATTCTAGATATTACTGTAAGCTCCAGTGCCTGGAAGCCAAACCAAAGCAATGAACAGGAAGTATGGTTCTGAAAAAAGATCCTTTCCTCTTCCTCCTCTGCATGCTTTCCTGTTTCATGGGCAATCTCTCCCTCACCCTCTTCCTCTTTATCTCTCACTCAGTCCCTATCTCCCTTTTATGTCCTTGCTCTCCCTTCACATAGTGTTTTCACTACGTGCTCTGAGTCAGTTTCCTTTTAAATGCTTATGTTTGCTTTATTGGAGCTATTTTTGTTGTTGTCATTGTTGTTGTTGTTGTTGTTGTTGTTGTAGGGCTCACCAGCCACAGCAGATGCATGGTTGATTAACCTCACATCACATGACATCAATACGTTTACCAGACAAGGAAAAGGACAAACTGAGTTGTACTTTTAACACGCAACACTGAAGTTTTTGAAGTCCACCTTGTTTCTGTTTTCTCGCTTCATTTTCTCCTCAGAGCTATTTTTCCCCAGACAGCAATCAATCACTGTGTGTGTGTGTGTGTGTGTGTGTGTGTGTGTAGTGGAATAAGAAAGAGAGATACTCATTCTTTATTTTAACACAGGGAGCATGATACATAGTATATGCACAAAGAACTCTATTCATCCCATTATAATGACATTACTATATGTGAAATGGGATTTTGCTAATTTAGTAAAAAAAAAAAAAGGACACTGATTGCCTCAGTGGTTTGAGTTAACATCTGGAGAGGAAAGAACCACTGAAAAGTAACAGTATTTAGTCTTTTCCAAAGCAAAAATCTTGGACTATCTAACTCATGTTTTTTTTTTCCCCCTCTTCAGCCAGACGCCATATGCACGCCTTCACCAGTCGACCCACTTTTGACTGGACAGACTGCGCTGCCTCTGTCATTAGTCTGTGTTTATCACAGGGTTTGAAAAGCTCAAGTTTATCTCCTAACAAGCTAGTTTACACTCGATTGTAACGGTAATCGTCCAGCACACTCGAGTGAACATGTAGAGATGGATTTTATGAAGCTGTTTGGCACTGTTATCGCCGTTTTGTTCCACCCTGGATCCGCTTCTAAAATAAATGGTAAGAAGGAAAACTCCATTTTAAACTCTGCTGAGACAGTAATATTATGTATTTTATGTCCGAGGTAGAACTTCAATTTATTTTTTGTTTGTTTGTTTTTCAAAAAGTTTGCATGCAGAGCTGAACAAGGTTGCGCATTTGTTGTTATTTTCGTTTTTTTCTTAAGTGGTTAAAGTGAACGAGGTTAGTAGCAGAGCCACCCGTAAAGAAGCCTAAAGCTCCCAATATGTGGATTATAATGATATCAGGCTGCAGTCACAGCTGCCTGCGCGTGATGTGGTGGAAAATTAACATCAACAGACTGTTTATGATTCAGATCACTGATCTGAAGTCAGGAGGTCGCAGCATTTATGCGATTGTAGCAGTATTCAACAGATCAAATCAAAACCTATAGACTGGCACTATGTTTCAATTCTAGATGAGGTAAAAATAGAAATGGTACAAAACACATTTTTTATTGAAGAGGCTGTTCATTTTCATTACTTGTAATGTGGTTACCAACCTGGGGGTCGGGATCCCCACAAGTGGCCCTGAGGTGAATCTAAGGGGTTGCCAGATGAGTAAATAATTAAAAAAATGTTTTCCAATCTAATCTTTTTTTTTTTTTTTTCTGGAAAAGGAAAGGAGAAAATCACCTTTCTCATATTACAATCTCATGTTTTCAACTTCTAGATAATGCAGCCTGACTGGTGTTGGGTACCACAGTTTTTTGTTTGTTTGTTTTAAAGATATTTTTTGGTCTTTTTATGCCTTTATTTGATAGGACAGACTGGTTTAATCTATTGTCTGCCTGTTGGCATGTTTTAAAAGATTAAAAGATTCATCAATGCATTTGGACAATGAAGATTTATTGTGAAAAGTCATAATAACTAAAGTCAATATTTAACCCACTCACTGTGCCACCCCAGCAAACCACTGCATTTCAGATTCACATATTCAAGAATTCTTCTTTTCTGCACCACAGCATGCAAAGTATTTTGACTGGCACAAGACCTAGAAAAAAACAAAACAAAACAATATAGGTTTTACACTATAATTCCACTTCCATGTGGTCTACTCTACCTACGTTGAAGAAAATGTGGGATGACTTTGGTACACTGTGGCACAGACTTTGGTTCCTAATTCGTCCATGATACTGTAGTAGATAGTTTATAATCTTCCTGCCACATGGGTATCTCCCTGATGCTGACTCTGGTGTCCAGGCCAAAGGATCTGTCGGCGCGGCACAGAGCGGCCATGCTACAAGGTGTCCTACATTCAGGACAGCAGGCGGAGGCTGACCTTTGAGGATGCCAGGCAGGCCTGCAGGCTGGATGGAGGCGAGCTGCTCAGCATCGAAACTGAAAGTGAGCAGCGACTGATGGAGAGGTTCATACAGCAGCTGCAGGCTGGAGATGGAGACTTCTGGATCGGGCTCCGCCGCAGCCCACAGCGCTTTAAGGCAGGAACCACAAGCCCAGGTTGCCCCTCGCAGTACTATTGGCTGGATGGAAGCAAGGCCAAGTTCAGGTATTTCTCTTTTTTTTTTTTTAAACCTTTCACTCTTTATGTATGGATGTTTCAGCTGCATCAGTGAATTTGTGAATAAGAAACTCAAATATAAAGTAAAATAGTACAATGTATATTGTCCAATTTAAATGTGATACAAGTCTAAACTTGTGTATTCTATATACTGCAGGAACTGGCATTGGGATGAGCCATCGTGTGGTAGTGAAATGTGTGTGGTTCTGTACCACCAGCCCTCTGCACCACCTGACGAAGAAGGTCATTTCCTGTTCCAGTGGAATGATGACAACTGCAACTCCAAGAACAACTTTGTGTGCAAATACCCAGAAGGTGAGCCAGGAGATCACAGACACTGTGCTGTTGTACCTGGCTGCTCAGAGCTGGGAATTACTGACATTTGGCACTCCTGATTTTATTTGGTTCTTGAATACACAAAATCTGAATTTTATCTTCCAAAGACCATTAACAAAATGTGGCCACTGCTGTCAACAGGTAGGTAGCGCTACACAAGTAGTGCACAATTTTAATGTTTGTGGCCTGGAGTACTGTAATCCTCTGCTCCCTGGCAACATAAAAAGATACATCTGACAGTGTTTAAAGGTCCAGTGTGTAGGGTAAAGTGGCATCAAGCAGTGTGGTTGCATATTGCAACTCTCATCGCTTCACCCTCCCCTTCTCTGTCTTTCACAGAAAACGTACCAGTATTTACTGAGGAAGGGAACACAGCACATGCAGGTACAACGTACACTTGACAACCCCACACATACTGTCCGTGTGTGCTTGATGTTCCTGTAGGATACAGATAACAAATGACAGTTAAAGTGTTTATACTTAGATCAAGAAAAGTCAGACTAAACTTCCACATCACTACTTTTTATTACTTATTTACTTTTAATGACTAATTTGTCAGCTTCTTTTTGTGTGAATAAAATGGGCAAAAGGTATCAAGGTTTATTTACTTTGTATAATCTGCAGGTCACATGTAGTACAGTTCTGTACATGCATGATGTAGTGTACTGTAGAAAATAAAACTGTTTCCTTTAAGGATAGTTGTTTTACAGGAAATAAAAATATTTTACATATTCAGTTGTATAAAAAGTGAATCAACATATGTACTTTAACCAAATTTGTAGAGATGCGTGTGATCACATCATCTGACAAAAAGGAAATTTAAACAAGGAAATTCAAATAATTAGACTCCAAACATGGCATTCATCATGTATTATAATACCTGTAATATTGTTAGTACCTTTAATATAAGTCAAACTCTCATATGTTTTATTTACTGATTCTTTTCGTAGAAAAGTTAGAATCTCTCCAATGTTTAGATAAACAATGTTGTGTCATATTCATCTGATGATGTTGATGTTTTATTTCTGATTGCTCCAGTTCCATCTTTGAGGCCAAATGTATTCTCAACTACAGAAAGTGATGAGAGGGTAAAAATAAGACTACCTGAGTCATCAGGTAAGAAAAGAGAAAAACACTTTAGAAGCTTTTATTCTTGATACTTAGAATGAATGCCCTTGTTTTCAGGAAAACATAAAGGGGATTATATTATGTTATGTTATATTATGTAAGTTAAGTAATGTTCTTTCCTTTGCAGTATCTCTCTCAGACAACACCTTGTATGTCTCCTACATCCTTTATGCAACTATTCCTGCTCTACTGCTGCTGCTGTTTGCAGCTGCTGGGTTCTTCTGCTACAAACAGCACGCTAAGAGGTAAAAGCAGAAAAGTATAAGCTGTTATACTAAAAGCCATACCATGTATCTGTCTGTTGCACTTCAAATAAAAAAAAAACTTGTGTGGATTCAGAGTAATAAAATCACATATTGAGAAGCATTTTAGATGCAGCTAATATTTATGTGTATAATGGATTTATGGAATATGTATTTATTAATATGGTACATTGATGCAGTGTTTACTGAGTTTTGGCCAATGTGAGCACACAATTTCTATATAACTATATATATTTTTGGTTAAAAACCTATAGGAAATGTGGCCTATAAATTTGTAATTTCACAGATGATCCCTTTAAACCATGTTGTGATGATCCCACTGTGCTCTTTAATGTCCTTTCTTTTATAATCAGGAGAAAGACAGAAACACAAGGCTATCCCAGCAGATCAAAACCATTGATGTCAACAACAGCTTCACCTTACGCCGTGCAAGGACCTTACGCCTTTAGTGACATTACTAAACTTCCTCACACTGCTCTGGACAGCAGCAGGCCAGCCGGCATCATGACAAAGTACCCTTGTGCTCCATCCCAGGACTCCCAGTGTGATGATTATGAGAATGTGTCATGTGCAGACAGGGAGAGCGGCTTTGTGACCAATGACATCTATGAAACCTGCAAAGCTCAGAGCCGGCGCTGCCGTAGTCAGACTGGTTGGGTGGAAAATGAGATCTATGGATAACGCTGTTGATGCCCATCTGTTCAAACGAATATAACCCAGCTTGACAGAGGAACACAATGTTCTCCATCCCTTTCTTCCTGTACACCCGACTGGTTACTTGTGTGGTGCAGGATTACTGAACACGTGGCTGTATCGGCCTCGAGCCTGAGCATCCAGCATCCAAAGCTGCAGTCAGATTAATGCTTAAAGGAGGAAGTTGTCTACTGAAACTCCCTATTTAGGCCATGAACTTCCCCCTAACCCCAGCAGTCGAGAATTTTCAAAATGTCAATCAAATTGTGGATCTCAGCATGGCATACCTTTGGATGCAGGAGTAATTGATGGGTTTTATAAAAAAATATAATATATTTCAAATATCATTAATACTTTTTATTATTAAACAAGAGTTTACAGCCATGCTGGCAGCTCTGTGAGCTAAATGTTTACAATGTTCACCATCTTAGTTTAGTGTGTTAACATGCTACCATTTGCTAATTAGGACTAAACACTAAGCTAAGGTTGATGGGAATGTCATTTGTTTTCCAGGTAATTGGTTATAAACCAAAGTATTAAATAAATTAAAAGTTTGGGGATCATCAATACTTGTTGAGACCACAAATGTCAACCTTATCCCACATAGCAAACTTGTTCTGGCCCATTGAAGGCCCACACAGTCCACTTACATTCGGCTCAAATACAGCAATTAGTTATTTTCCACAGGTGGTCCAGAATTGGGCCCATAACATAGCCATATGTCAACCAACTGTCACACTACAGTCATGTGGAGAGAAAAGGTTTAATAAGAAAATAATAAAAAACAAAACAGGAAAAAGAGTGCTGAATCTTGTCAGCTACGGTCTCACAGTTGGCTGAGATATAGCTATGTCATGGGCCATAGGTGTTATGTGGGATGGTGGCATTATGTCATTGTGATACATAATCCCGACAAATTATGTAACTTCACAGTAGCTTTCAAAGAGGCATTAATGACCTTGAATAAGCGGAAATGAGTCAGGTCAGTGCTACAATATTTGGTGTGGTGATTTGCACATTTAACCCCGGGAATATAAGTGCAAGTTTTGAGAACCCACACAAAGTTACTCATGTTGTAAACAATCCAAAATTAAACTGCTCAGCCAGTTTTCCAATCACGTCATCATATTATGACACACAAGGACAAAAAGATCCTGTTGGCTCTCTACGGCAGTGGAGTTGTCCTGTTTAGGGACTATTCTGACCCTTTCTCGAAACCTGAAGAGTGGTGTCAGCCCTGTGAAAGGCTTCCTGTTTGGACTCTGATGTCAGGGAAAAGGACAGTACATGCGGAAACAATGATGACAGAACTCTGCTGACCCCAGTAAACCTCAAAGCTGTGTGCTTTCCCGACCGATTGTGTGAGAAACTCAACCCTCCCTCTGACCTGACAGTACGGAGACTTTTTAGGAGTTTGGAATATGTCACAGACTCATTCAGCTGTGTGTTTACTTGTAAAAACATATGCCTGCCTTGTAAATTTGTAAAATAAAAGTGGATATACATTACTGAACACAAATGCCTGTGCTATGTGTACTGAGTGGGCTGTTGGGTCGGTGTCTTGGAAAGATGTAGCAAGCCCAGTAAGGAGAGGCTGAGTGTGTTCTTGGAGAATGTTAGACAGGAAATGCCAAAAGCACATCTGGAACTCTTACATTCAGGAAGTCTGTGCGTGACAGCGGAGGCCTTCAGAGCGAAGCTCTGCCTGCCCGCTTAGTAATCCACTGTTCTGTGTTAGACTGTCATTGCATGAGCTGAAGAGAACAACTGCTGGGTGCTGTGTCTCAAACATGACGTGATTTTTTGGGGTGTATAAAAATAAAGTATCTAAATCAAGTTTGGATCCAAAGATATGTGTGGTTGAATTCCTTATTTTATAATAATGTAGGTATATTCAAATGTGTTTTTAGTTGTGTAAGTGTGCAGGGGAGTGTCTGTGCAGCATTAAATGTGTGTGAATGTGAAATGCCTGTTCCCTAAGTACAAATACTACTGTATTTCAAAAGGCTTAAGCTTGCTTCAATTTCATATTTATGCCAACAGATGGTGCTGTTATGTAGCTGACCAAAGTGTCTTTGTAGCTGATAAAATGTCTAGTTTCACATTAGGTCCTCCATGTTTCATTATATAATGTTATATATTATAAAATAGTATATAGTTGTAATTCCCCGTGCATTTTTTTCTAGACTGTATGACTAAAAGTAGACATGCTGCGTAATGTATTTTCTTTTTTAAAAATCTATAAAATCCTTGCTTATTGTTTTGTTTTAAACGTATTTTTTTCCTTTCTTGCAGGGCACATTGCTATGAGGAAGTAAAAAAAAAAGAGGGTCGTTTCAAGGCTGATGTAGGATTAATTTAACCCTTTTCTGCCTGCACTTTTCACTTGCAGTCGACAAAAAGCTTATTAAGCACCTGCGGGGCAAAAAGAAAAAAAACCAAACTTCAAAGTTACCTATGCGTGCAATCAAGGAGGGGAAGACAAGCAAACAGATTTCAGAATAGCAATTTTACCGGTTGACGTAAGAGGTGGGTCTGGTTGTCTTGGCAACCAATTGGCACTGAAGTGTGGAGCGGCTCCGTGGCCCCGCCCACAGTACAAATACCCCCATGGCTTTGACGTCAATACACGTCAACGAGAGAACATGATGCCTCTTTGCAAGTCAACTCGTGTGCTCTGTAGCTGATAGAGGCACCTCGAGCTGAAATATTATAGCCCTATTGTACTGGAGAACGTGGTGTGACAGCCCCCGGGAGCAGCAAATGGCCTGCTTCGTATCTTCGCCGCGCTGACGGAGAGAGTGTCGCCACATTTGGCGTCCAAGCTGGCAGGGCGACACAGAAATCAACTTTGTCTATTTTTAATGGACACGCTTCGAGCGGCGGCGGCAGAAGCGGTGGCGGCGGCGGCGGCGGCGGGCGGTTTGTTTTCCTTTCGTCTTTATCTGTAGCTGCCCCAAAGCGAGCCCGTGCGGAGAGCCCCCCGTGTGTCCCCCCCCCCACCCCCTCACCCTCTCCTCCCCTGCTCGTCTGGCTACCTCCTTCTCTTCCCCACAAACAGTCCCAGTTAAGAACAGCATGGTCATGGCTGACAGTGTCCAAAAACCGCTGATCCGGGGTCCGGTCCGAGTGGGCTTTTACGACATCGAGCGCACTTTAGGAAAGGGCAATTTCGCTGTGGTGAAGCTGGCCCGACACCGCATAACGAAGACCGAGGTGAGTGTGTCGATGAACTAGTTAGCCTGAAAGCTAACTTATGCTACTGTTCAGCCGAGTTACATAACTTTTTATGCACTAGTTGACACCCCAGATATTCAAAGCAGATACCGAAATGCTGTCCACATCATGCGCTAATAGAAACTTGGATCAGGTAACTGCCGGTCACTTGGCTGCTCCAGGGGGGCCAGCAACAGCTGGTATGTTTGAATCCTGCAGGTACAGGAGCAATGACTGACTGCACGTTCACCCCCCACACCCCCCCACCCCTCAGCCAGCCAACATCACTGCCAGTAAGAGGTCTGACCACCGGTGCTGCTGGGAAACACAACTGTAAACATGCATGCTTTCTTTCCAAGACCAGCATCATACACCTGTACTGCTTTTTTGGTAACGACCCAGACAGAGTGCCACAGTGTACCAGCTCAAGAGTCTGTCTGGGTGTAAACATCACAGTTGCCTATCTGGGGCATGCAGCATGGGTCGGTGGTCCCATTATGTAATCCAAATAATGATGTGATTTCGTGGTTTCTTATACCAGCAGTGCCGAGAGCTTTGAGAAGGTGCAGGATATGCCAGCCAGAGCTCTGTAATTGGAAAGCAAAGTGTTCTGCACGCATGCATGCAGACAGCAGTCCACTGACGCTGCTCTGGGGGGTCTTCACTTTAGTTTGGAGAAACACTGAACACACTCAGGCGATGCAGCATAGGCACAGAACAGGGCTTGGATTTGTCTGAGTTTACTAGTAGTTTTATGTCAGCAACCGTACAGAGAGGCCTTTCTTGACCAGTACCACCGAGTGCCATGACGTTTGTATTGTAATGCCAGAGACACAGGGATTTAATGTAAAGAGTGTCCAGTCTGTGTGTGTGTGTGTGTGTGTGTGTGTGTGTGTGTGAAGAGGCTGGGTTGTGTGAGACCGAGGGAGTGAAACAGAGGTGGATGAGGGGGGCTTATGAAAACATACTTGCACACTATGATCTTTGATCTCTAGAGCTCCCAACTGTTTGTCGTCGAACACTGTACAGAAAAACAAAGATTTACATCATCGAGAAGAGGCCTTTGGTAGGTTTAATGAATAACTAGAAAATGGCTCTTAAGACTCTTATCGTGTTACTCTGGTTATTGAAGCCTGTGAAGTGTCGCAGTGTTAGTCTAGCCAGGTAATCTGCTACCATGTAACACTAACTGCTGTGTGAACACAGGTTTTTAATTCATGCATTCGGTGCATCAGGTGATTTTTTTTACCGAGTGGCTGCACCTCTCCTTCAACCGGTGTGATATTGGGGTTGAATGGAAACATGCATGTTTGTTGGTGGTTTTCAGGTTACTGGTTTGGTAGAGGTCAAGCAGCGCAGGTTGGTACAGACAGCCACCGCAGCTGCTTGGCTCGGCCAGTCCCCTGGCCTGTTTGTTATAGTGGCCAAGGTCAGCTGGAGAGGCAGGCTATCCACTTCATGTGATGCCATCTGCCTTGAGCATTTGCCAGGGCAAAGAGATGTTAGCCTAGAGCGTGTGTGTAAAGAAAACCAGAGTTTAATGACACATGAAACGGCAGATCTGATGCATCTGTATGCATATTCCTGGATAGGTGTAGTACGTGTGTGTGTGTGTGTGTGTGTGTGTGTGTGTGTGTGTGTGTGTGTGTGTGCATAACCTACTTTTTCTACTGATGGCCCCTGTGTGTTATACTGACCCCTTCATCCCATTATGTACATATTGCAGCTTGTGGGTTCACACAGTGCTGGCCCATTCCCATGTGGTCCTGTCCGTCAGCCCAGCAGGTCTTGCATTTATCCATCTCTGATCACAGCGTTGTCCTGCCTCGTCCTGCTCTCCTTACTCTCCTTACTCTGTGTGTGAGCTAAATTATCCCTCCAACTCATTGTCCTTAAACGACCTTGTGCCAACAGAGTTCGCAAGAAGTCTTGTGTTGTGTGTGTGACGTTAGTATTGTTGACAATGTAATCAGCTAGCTCAGATCTTTTCATGCTAAGCACCCTGTAATCTCTCTTTACTAGGCTGGTGATTTTAAATTTTATGCCCTAGAGGTCTCGACTTGTAGCTGGAGTGCCAGCTACAAGAGATTTGGATTTCTTCATAGGATTTAATGCCAAATTGCATTGCAACATACCTGTCTGTGCTGTGGGTAGGGAGATAATAATGGAGAGTGTTACATGTATCAAAACACCCATTACTGCACATCTTTAAGTGTTAACTACAAATATGCTAAAGAGGATCAAATGTAACGGCAGCAACACAGTGTGACGTCAGCTGGTTGCGAGTCAAAATAAATGCAATCGCATATTCCTGGTAAAACGCTTTTGTATTTGCAGGGTATTTCTGGCGTTTACCTGATGATCAACACTGTGATAGGTTTCCAGAGGAAAACCCTGTGTGTGCATTATAAACTGCCGTGAAGATTTTGGGCGTCCGATAAACCTTCCAACTCAAAGATCTGCCCTCCTGGATCCTGTTCCATTATCTCATCTAGGGCTGCAACTAAAGATTATTCTCATTGATTACTGTTGTTTCTCGATTAATTGAGTCATTGTTTGGTGAAAGATACCAACACAACTTCCCAAAAGCTCAAGTTGGCATATTCAGATAGCTGGTTTTGTCCGACCAACAGTCCAAAAGCAAAATATATCCAGTTTTCTATCATAGAAGACAAAGAAAACCAGCAAATATTTACATTTAAAAAAACTAGAACGGGAGTTTTTTTTGCCGTAAGACATAATTAATTAATAGATAATAGATAGATAGATAGATAGATAGATAGATACTTCATTCATCCCCAAGGGGAAATTCACACAATGGTCCAGTGAGTAACATTTAGGCAGATCTACTGGCAGAAATGGAATATAATATCCATAGATGTGTTTTCATTAGTGTATAATCACCTGAAAATAAATAAAATAAATAGTTGTGTTTTCGTGACCCTAGAATGAGAGAAAGCGGGTCCTCTTCTATGGAGTCTGCTGTGTTGAACATATTGCTACAGTAGCCCAGAACAGACAAACCAAACACTGGCTCTAGATAGGGCCGTTCATGCTTTTTGCACCACTGTAGTTTCTCTACATGCTCCGAAGGCTGAGCTTTATTAAGAACATTTCAAGCTGCAACTTCATTGCTAGATCCCACTAAATCCTACACACTGGTCCTTTTTAAAAGATCAGTCAGTTGTCAAAATAGTTGCATATTCGTTTTCTCTTGATCAGCTAATCAATTAAACAACTAATCATTTCAGCCCAAGTATCACTGGTTACAATTCTGATAATGCAGTCTTGTTCTCGGTCCGAGCGCTCAGTATGAGTTTCATAACGGTGGTGCGATTGCTGAGAGGGGAACCGGGGTCTCATGTTGTTTACTCCTCCAGCTTGGCTCACAGACACTTGGAACACTTCAGATCACACTGATGAAATGTTGTTTATGGGACAGTCTAAGGAGAGATGTTAATATTGCCTTGTTACCTACCGGACATCATTTATAAAAGCCAAGTGTGTTGAAGTTCGATTTGTGTGTGTGTGTGTGTGTGTGTGTGTGTGTGTGTGTGTGTGTGTGTGTGTGTGTGTGTGTGTGTGTGTGTGTGTGTGTGTGTGTGTTCCAACGAAGCCTGTGTTTGCCTCTATCCTCATGTGATATTTCATCATGGCTCAAATGTTAAAACTGTTTATGAAGGTTTCGGCACAAAAGCTGTATTTAAGTATTTATCCTGAGTCCTTGCTTGCGCACTGAAAAGAACCCACTGTCTCTTCTATTTGGAGAATATTAAATTGCTCTCTGTACTAGTGTGTATGTGAGTGTGGGGAGTTTATTCTTATTGCCCATCAAGTGTGATGAGTCCTAACAATGATTCTATTGTTTGTTACTGAGAAACCGAGTGATTACAGTTGTGTTGTTGATGCTCCATCACTCTGCAGGTGGCCATTAAGATCATTGACAAGACCCAACTGGATGCTGTCAACCTGGAGAAGATCTACAGGGAAGTTCAGATCATGAAGATGCTGGACCACCCCCACATCATCAAGCTCTACCAGGTGAGTCTCTAGCTCATGTTGGCAAAATTGATAATCTTTTTAGTGGCTTTCCTCTTCCTGCTTTCACTGATTTAGACCGCAGTGCATCATGATTTTATCTGGGCTCTTGTGTATCTCTAATGAAAGTATATTTGTAACTTGTTATTCCCCATGTTGCAATGCTGTGTGAAGATAATCTTTTCATGTGGTTTTTGTTTTCTTCTTTTGTAACCGGTATTTTTGCATATTTTTGCGTCTTGCTTGACGAGCTGTGTCAATCAAGATATTTTCAGGAGATTTATTTCTGTCTTGTCTTCCACCTTGACACAAGTCTGTAAAATGTCATGAAAAGCTAGTATGTCTCTTACACAAGCCTGAATTCACACACGTACTTGTGCCTCACCTGTTATTGTTTAAACTGTTTTAAGGGTTATGGCACTGTAAAGTCCAGGGGCCGGTTTCATAAAGATATTTTAGACTGACAGCGAGAGATTAATTTAGACCTCTAACATGAAGTCTGAATATTAGTTAAATCAAAGCCAAATCTATCTTTGTGAAACCGGCTCCTGGTCAAAGAAGCCCCCTCAGAGAGCATGGGAGATACTGTTATATGTAACATGTGTTGCAATGGGGGGGGGGCAATGTTGCCAACATCTGTTGAGGAGGCCCAGAATTAGGCGATCCTCTGGCTAATCTGTGAACAAGTCCATTTTGTGGTGCAGAATTCACCGTTGCTCCTTGTTGATCTTCCCTCCTGGTTCTTTAGTCGTCGGGGGTGTTGAAGCGCAGGACCAATCCAGGTCATTTTCTAATGCATTAGCAAACAACGACTGCCTAGCAGAACTTGCCACCACTGGATAGCTTAAGATATGAGAGCATAGTTAATGACTGACTGACACTCGGCGCTGTGTGCATCTATGTGTGTGTGTGTTCTGCACTGTGTGAAGGTGCTTCTGGTGTGATTCGAACTAAATAATGTCGGTAGTTGAAGGTTATATACATTTAAATGTTTTATTATTGTACAGGGACATCAGATCTGACCTGTACTCCAGTGTCAGGCTCTGTTTTATAATCAGAAACTAATTATATTTCATGTCCACACTTTTTATTTTCAGATCCCTTGTAAAATGTCTAGAATGGATTCATTTCTTGTCTTGACTTTATGGGACCTTTTTAAAAAAGCATTTAATTGATAATTGGGACACAGTGTCAGTATTTTTTGGTACCCAAAGCGGACATGACTTGCAGTTGGCTAGAAGATATCTACTATAAGGTTTTAAAGATGTAAACGTATATAATGTGCATTGAACTTAAGGGCTGGACAATGAGTACCACAAGCTATGCTACAGCACAAGCATTGTCCTTTGGTAATTCTCAACCCAGCGTGCATCACAAGCTGAGCTGCAACAAGAAAAGTGACAGTATTGATGTCTGAGCACTAGGTCAGTTTTCAGTTTCAGTAATTTGATAATTCGGCAGTAGGTGAAGAACAAACACATTTTTTGACGGATATCCCAAAACCTAAAGAATGCTGCATAAATTAACTTTTGTTTTCCATCAGCAAACATGAAATTGATGTGTTGTTCACAGTATTCTCCTGGTTTATGCAGGACATCCTCAGAACACAGCACACACAAAGTTTAGAGTTCATGGTTTGAAATATAACACAGTTAATAGTGAAGTCTGGTCTTTTTCTCGTTTCTATAGGTCCGTTTTGTGGAAGACATTTGTCAGAATAAGAAAATCGGGTATAAATAATAAAATAAATGATTGATGAGTTATGTTTAGTTCAGTTTCAAGGTCCAGGGTTGTGCATGGTGTCTCACTGTCACACTGTCATGACTTACTTTGACACTTGAATAGAAGAGAGCCATTGTTAATGTTGAAATAGAGCCTATTGTCACTACCAGTAGTGTGATGTCTGCTGAAAGCATTTTTATAGAAATAAATCCCATAAATGTCATGTCCCTCATGCCACTGTGACACCTTGCATAGTAGTTTTATGTATATCCAGGTGTGGAAGGGAAATTCACATAAAACTTTATGAGACTCAAAGTTTATTTCCTAAAATGGTTTGTTCTGGCTGTTGCACTTTGTTGGTATGTGAACTGTGCAGATAGAAACTTTTTTTTTCACCTAGTTATCATGATGTCCGCTGTCTAACACAAAATAGCCTCCACCAGTAACTGAACAGTTTTGGTGATTCAGTTGCATTACATAAGCCTTTGGGTCCTTTTAGTTTGTTTAGAGAAAGTAAATGAGTGTTCATTATCATTACACAACCACGGGGCACTGTTCCAGCTTTCTGCTGTGTTATTTTGGTGTGTATCATTATTTCCAACGGCCAATCCATCCAATCAGCTCAGGTCAATTAGTGATTTCCTTTCCAGTTTCATAAACTAGGGTTGACCCTGTGGCCTAAAGGGAAGCCCAAGCTAATGAAAACACAGAGACACACACAGACTACCCAACTGTGGACCCCACTCTAGTTTGTCATGTTTTGTGTGGCCTCTTCTCTATTGACCCTGGTTTGCCATCTCTCTTTTTTCTTTTACCCCCTTTTTACATCTCACCATTCTCTGACTCTCTTGGATGTTTCCACTTTCCCTCTTACTCTAGACTGGCATGAGTCTCTCTAGTAAGCACAAAGATTTTAAGCAATTCAAATAACTGGATATTGTTTAGACTCTTTGTCTGTCTACACTTTTGTAGTAATGCAAATACAAGATGAGTACTTTGTTTGAATATCAATCATGTTACAAGAAATTGTTGAATAAATTGATGAATCATGACCCTAAGTCGATATCCTCTACATTACAATTAACTGCCCACATTGTTAAAACCATATAAATGAATAAATTGTTAATTTATAGCCTGTATTTAGCTTGCGATTCACCGTGTGCACTACATCTGCACATTGCTCATGGCCTGATATTCAGACATGTACTCCATGTCATCCAAATACATGCCAAAACCAACAAGAAGTTGTTATTTTATGTGTGTTATGTTCGATCGATTTAACACTGATGTTATAGATCACCTTCTGAGAACGGGAGTGTCAAGCCCCATAAAGCTCTAAACATAAAGTGCAGCTTGCTTTTCTTGCTATGAAATCAAGACTATGAAATCTCCACTTGTATTATAATTTATTACATGACAGAGATTTGGTTTCAGTTCTCTACCCCATAGCTGTTATTCACATCAAGCAGTCTGCTTTGTCTGGAGCCAGAAATACTGTATATCATGTACTTAATGTATTATCTCCAGGCAGTGCATCAAGGCTTTTAATGTTAAGCAGGTGTAGGAAAGTATGTAATACAAATGGAAGAGTTAAAGTGTAGCCACAGGGTAGGAAGGTCTTTAATACAGTATTAACATGTTGAACTTTCATACAAAAGCGTCATATTGACTTGACATCTGACCTTAGAAGTATGGCTGCGTATCAAACCTCAACACCTATTTTGTATCGACTACAGTCATGCATCAAATCTGTAATAGTAATCTTGTTTTCGTTGATAGGACGGTTTGTGATTAAAATCATCATTTTGCCTGTTTTTTGACTGTTTGTTTCATTTTGGCAAGATTATTGTGCAGCTGCTTGTGTTTGGACTAGATTTAACAACTGGGAGCTTTGGCTTCATTTTTTTAGTGTTTTTGTGGAAATAAACATTTTATTTTTATTTCTCAAAGTAGGAATATGTTTTTGTTATCGGTTAAATATAACCTAAACTGCAAAGGGACTACACCAAACTGACTTAAGATAGCTAATAGATCCAAAACTAACAAAGCTAGTTAGCATGTAGCGGTTAGATTCCATCACAGCAACAACAACAGACGCTGGAAATATCTGCCATACACTGAGAATAGACCTCTGTCATGGTGGATATTTTATCTTGTCAAACACAGGTGTAAATAATAACATTAATAATGGCTGCATTTCACTCAGGTGTGCCAGTGCCAGGGCCCTGCTACTGTACATGCTGGTTTACTGGCACACCTGAATGAAACAGGGCCGTTGTTAATACTATTAGTTACACCTGTGCTGTTCCTGCTGTGAAAAGTCAAAATGTCTGCTGTGAGAAGGGTTTATTTCCCAGATTAGATGCTGTATTGGCTCACAATGCTGTTGTTTTGATTGAACAATACTGAGTACCTATAAATGGGCTTTATTCATCAATAAAATTTTTTCCAGCTCCACAGAGAGGACAAAATGTTTTTTGTTACACAACAAGGGCTAACTAAAAACAAAACAAAAAAAACAAAAACAAACCTGGCTTTTATTTCCTAAATCCATGAATCGGTCAGTGTAACAGATGGAAAATTGATCATAAACAATGAGCGTGGGATTTCTAGTGTGAATGTCTGGCTCACTGTGTCTGATTCATCCTCCCCTCTCCATCTGATTCTACCCTCCGCATTTAATTCTATTCATCTCCTGAGTGTTTCTGCTTCTAAATCGGTTCTCCTCCTCCTACACAACACAGCACCGTGTGAGGACCGAAAGGTTTTAAGTACCATTCAGATATACTCGGCAACACCAACAGTCCACCTCCATTCTTTTACATGGATGCCATATTTAGACTCTGTGCCATTCATGCGTTTTGTTTTGCTCTTGACTTTGTGGATGACCCTCAGAGAAAGCCATTTGGACAATTGTGTAATATTTGTGTTTCTTTTTTTATTATTGTAATTCTCTCTTGTTGCAGGAGACATTTAATTTGGATTATCTGATGATTATTGCTATTGAAAACTGGTCTTCTGTGTGTATTCACTCTCCCACTCTTTTCTCCCCTCCCTCGGCCCCTGTTCCTTCGTCTTCTCCCTCTCTCAGGTGATGGAGACAAAGAACATGCTTTACTTAGTCACGGAGTATGCCAAGAATGGGGAGATCTTCGGTGAGTGATCTTTTCAAGTACAAGATCAATCTGACCTCAGTATCTTAAAATCCTTGTACCATCCACTTCATTCACGGCCTCCCCATATCAGTTGCACAAAAAATATGCACAATTGCGTCAGTAAAGTTTTTGACAAACAAGGAAGTATCAAAGTCTTGTTGAGTTTGCACTACTCTGACCTTATCCAGGCGTCAATCTCAAAGGTCACATGATTGATAAATATCTGAGAACAATGTTCTGATATGGCCCTTGTCATGTGCTGCTAGTTATTGCCGTACTAAAAGTGCTGACACAGTTTTCTTGTCGTATAAAATGACATTACCGAAGGCCACAGAGAGCCGACCTCAAAGAGAAAAAGATTGATTTATTGCCATATGTGGTGCAAAATCACTGGTTTACTACTCAGGTGGTCAGATTATGCAAGATATCAAGATTACTTTCTGAATACTTTCCGTTAGACTTTTGTCCTTATTAAACGGTTGGGATGTTTAAGAGCAGATCTGCAAAAAAGTAGCAATAAAAAAGTAGATATTTAAGCCACCATTTCCCACACACATTGGTCGTTTACATGGACAGGTACAGCTTAGTAGTTTGCTTTTATTTGCACTATACAAACAGCATTATAGCCGATAACAGAAGTGAAACACGTGACCGGGAAGGTCAAGCAAGTGCAAGCTTATACAGTGGACATTTCCCCAAAACAAGAGCTTAAAAAAAATTAACAAAATAAAATACACATAAGGACAAACAAAGTAACGAAAAACAAGACACAATATGAACATATGAACTGCACCAATCCACTTAGAATTATATTTAAAAAAGAAAAGGATAAAAAAGAAAAGGAAAATCCTGATGACAACATCATCATTCATTGAACACCACAATTTAATAATATTAAGGATTGTACTGTGCACCACAATATCTCAGGCAATGCTGACTGTGTCTGATTAGTTGTTTGGTCTTAAGAATGTTATAATATAATTAAAAATACCCATCACAGTTTGTTTCGTTTAACCAGTACTCCAAAATCAAAAGATAGGCAGTTTACTTTCACAGAGGACAAAGAAAAGCAGCAAATTCTCACATTTGTGAAGCTGGAAAATGGGAATTATTGATCATTAATTAATAATTTGGTGAAATACCGTCACAATTTCCTAAAAGCCCAAGTTGACACATTCAAATAGCTTGTTTTGTCCAATCAACTGTCCAAAAGTTAAACATATTCAGTTTATTTTTTTCTGTTGATCAACTAATCTATTAAATATGTAATCGTTTTGGCCACATTAAAATTTTCTCTTTCAGGCAAGGAAACATGCTAAAGACATGCAAACTTTATTCTTAATTGTAAGAAATGCAACACATTAAACCATATTCTGAAATTCAAAAGTGTACAAGCCATAGTCCTATTAGGAGCTAAGTACATGTCACATAAACAAGGCATCTGTGATTCATCGTGGCATCCTGAAGGTCTCATGATTATTTTTAAATCACTAAAAAGGACCAGATGTTGTAGTTTGTTTTTTCTTTGCAACAAGTGTAGAACCAGATCACCTAGACAAAAACACAACTTGCCTTATTCATTTTGGACCTTTGGAAATTATTGTCTATACCAAAGGAATAATTTTTTTCTCTCTCTCAGTCAGTCATTTACCAGGTTTTTGCGAGACAAAAGTGACAAATAAGGAAATGCACTCAGATTGGCCATATAACCATTACACAAGTTTGCAAGTGGACAGTCTGAACTTCCAAGGTACAATAATGACTTTTTGCAGTAGACGTGGTTTACACACACTGCTTTAGAGAGCACAGATAAAGACAGTTGTGCTAGAGAGGACAGACAAGTCAGAACATTGCAAGAATAGTACATGAAGATAAGAAATTATCTTGGTCTGCCACAGCGCCACATGCACTCTATCACTAAAACACACATTTAGGGCCCTGAAACAGCTATTTTTTATTTCTTGTTGATTTTGTAATATAGGTGCATTTTATTACAAGGTTAAAACAGATGCATGTTATGTTTAGGCTGAAAAAAAGGGCTTTTTTTGAACTGTGGGTATTTGTTATTTAAAGTTGCAAAAATTAAGGAAATGACACGTTTTTGACAGCTCATTTTGTGGGTGCAACACACACTCTCAATTTGTACATTATGTGCGCACTGCGATCTAAATCTAGTACATTGGACAGTGGTCAAAGAATGCACATTTATTGCACTTTTTTGCATTTGTTGCAGGATTATAAATGCAAATATCGCTATATTACTTTTCTTAAAAGCAAAACAAATAAACTATTATCGGCTATTATTCCAGATCATGCAGGCATTAAAAAAAATCATATATTCAAATTTGTATTTATAACACAAGCATAGACCTGTGTGATGTGGACTTGTCATGTAAGTGGATCATGATCCGCATAGATTATTAGCCTCACCTATTAGACTGTCTGGGAATGCTTGCTCTGCTTAGTTATTTGACTTTCAGATGCAGTAGCTGAGAGGATTATTCTAGCGGCAGTCTACATTAAACTTAATAGGTGTGTGTGTGTGTGTGTGTGTGTGTGTGTGTGTGTGTGTGTGTGTGTGTGTGTGTGTGTGTGTGTGTGTGTGTGTGTGTGATTCTGAATCCGGTATTATTCCACTTGTGATGTTGACTCAGCAGCTCCTGTGACCTACAGAGAGCTTGGAAGCAGACAGAAGAAAAAATGAATGAGAAAAGAGTGTGGTTAAAACGGTAAAGGAAGTACAATGTGCAAAGAGGTAAAGCGGAAGACTGCATCAGTACATATGTTATAGCCACTGCAGCTTATTGTGGTTAGACCAAACAGCAGCTTCTGTTAGCCTAGTCAAGCTATGTAGTGACAGAATTATTACAACACACTCACTGTACAGTATTCGCTTAAAGGAATAGTTCAACATTCGGATTCGAATAAGCTTATAATATGCTTTATTTATTTTCAAGCAGAGAATTAGAGGAGAAGATCAATGCCACTCTCATACTTGTCTGTTAAATATGAAGCCACAGCCAGGAAAAGGTAGGTTAGCTTAGCTTAGCATAACAACTGAAAGCAGGGGGGAAACAGCTAGCCTGACTCTGTGCTCAGGAAAAATAAAATCAACCGTCCTTTTTATCAGGGCTCAAAATAAATGTTTTTCTTCAGTGTCCCACAACTGTCCAGAATTCTACTTATAGCTGTCCGAGAATAAACAACCATCGGCCCAAATTGAAAATAATTAATACAATTTTACAGCTTAATTTCAGTAACTGAAATTCACTTCATTGACTCTCTCTGGTTTGTCACGGAAGTTGTGGTTGTTCCCTGCATTTATGTCTGAATAAAACATTTAAATTCCCCTAGGTGTTTGGCCACAATAAGTTGTTATTCATCGGTTGAGTTACTGTTGGTTTTTTTTCTTGTTTATTACTTTTTGATAATTAATGAATAATGCATCACTGAAAACCTATTATTATTATTATTATTATTTAGCCAAATAATCACAAACTCACTACAAGGACATCGTATTTTGGAATTAGCAAAAAAAAAAAATCTTCAAAGGGAGGGGAATATCAAACTAATTATTTCTGGACAACGGGAAATTCTAAATTTTGCGCAGTCGTGTCTATACTTTGGTTTATGTACTTGATAAACAAGAGGTGATACAAATGTTGCTTAGAGAACAGATCTATGCTAGCTGTTTTCCTGTTTCCAGTTTCTATGCTCATGGCTGTAGTTTCATAGATAACAGACATTTATGAGAGCGTTATTTATCTTTTCATCTAACTCTCTGCAAGAAAGCAACTGAGCAAAATGTCAACCTATCCCTAAATAACCAATCATGATTGGTCAACCTCATTTTCCATAATCCATAGATTCTCTCAGGGTATTATAAAACCATTGTCCTGATTCCTCAGACCCCTCTGCCCTGATTGCACAATGTAATAAAGTTATGTAAGACATTTATATGTCATCATCAGCTGCAGCAATAGCAGCATTGACTCAGCCAGGCAGACACCAACTGGTAGCTGCAGCACTAGACTAGTATTACAGTATTCAATCTCACAAAATTGAACAATCACTTCTGGTTTCCAAATATGCTTTCTGGAGGTGGATCAAGTCAGTCATGATGCACTCAGACAAATGGATAAGCTGCCAAGACAAATCTCCAGCCATTTCCTCCACCATTGCCCTCCAGAGAGTTTGCTCTGCTTTTCTGACATGATGAATTTCTCATGTGTGCTCCTAGCCACAGGTTACAAAGAACGGAAGATGTGAAGTTGTTGTGGACACTTAACAGCCCACCCTGTTACAGCGAATCAGTGAGACAATGGATGAGCCTTTCTCTTCAGACCAAACAGTAAATGGTGTTGTGATGAGCAGGAGGGGTATAGAGAGTGTGTGTGTGTGTGTGTGTGTGTGTGTGTGTGTGTGTGTGTGTGTGTGTGTGTGTGTGTGTGTGTGTGTGTGTGTGTGTGTGTGTGTGTGTGTGTGTGTGTGTGTGTGTGTGTGTGTGTGTGTGTGTGTGTGTGTGTGTGTAAAGACAAAGAAGAGGAGCTGGGTTTGGCACAAGGAGGCGGAGAGTGATGGGTTCATTCTCGCAAAGGGGTGGGTGGGCACAGTAATGGGCACAGCAGAGGTATCCATGCCAGCTTGTTGGTGTGCCTTTGTGTCTGTCTGTCTGTCAGTCAGTCAGTCTGCCGCTCCACAGTCTGCCTAAAAACACGCAGGATGGATCAAACCTGGAAATTGGGTCAGCTACAAATAAAGCAGAGTTGCAGAGAGCAGAGGCAGGAGGAGAGAGAAGGCAGAAGAGAATAGAGGCGAGAGCAAGGGACATCCATTTGAATTTGGAAGGTGCTGCGGAAATGTAGGGCATGCATATTTAAGAAAGCACTGCTGGAGAGAGGGGAGTATAATAGCTGGCAGTGAGTAGAATCACTCATACAGATCTCTGGTCTGTTGACTTCAAAGAAATACTCACGTTCTTATGTACTTACAGTAGGCTG